ACGTCTCAGTGTTGACAGTAGCGTTTTACGGATTGCTAACAAAACCATCTAAAAAAGTGTCGAGGCCACACGAGGAGCTTCAATCGCTGCAAGCCCTGTCCTCACATCCACGTAGACCCAAACACTGAACCATGAGGCCGTTCTTTGAATCATGATTTGGAGTGACCCTCTAAACAGATGGCAACTCGAGTTTGCTAACAGAAACTGGTGATTAGATGGTGCGGCCTGCCAACCATTAGCAAACGCTGGAAAGCCTTAGTGGCACAATGGTGGCTTCCTCATCATGTTAACCAGTCGGGTCTTTGTGGTGTCGTTACCATGACCTCCTCGGCTCACACACTTATCTTCAAGCTCTCCTGAACCTTAAATCCCCTAGGGTTTTGAAGTTCAGGGTTTAGGGGTCTAGGGTTAGGGGTTTAGGAGCTAGGGTCTAGAGGTTTCAGGGTCTAAGGGTGTAGAGTTGTAAGTTTTCTAAGGGTGTAGAGTTGTAAGTTTATAAACACAACGACCCAAACCGCCCAAATCGAAAAAGCCCTCAGAACCCTTCTGGAACCCTTACGGAAGCCCTTGCACACTTCTAGATTCCTTTCAAAGTCCTTGACCTGAAACCTTCCAGAGTTTTTCTGGCTTCTATAGAGCCCTGAAAACCTTGGAACCCACCTGCTTCCATCAAGGCACGCTGAAGTTACTAGAGTTGTGTATTGTCTGAGTTATGTTGTACCAAAGCCCTGAATAGCACTACCTACACCCCAAGCGTATGTAGAATAATAGCCTTGATAGGCTTCGGGCCTTTACTTTACCCACTTTACCTATACTGTTGGGGGGCTAGGTATACTATATATATATACACACACACTATAAGTATAATAAGGAAGCACCAAAATAGGACTGTTAATTGTTTCGGCCTTTATAGTATTTCTTCCGGCCACCCGTTGTGATGGCAAGGCTGCAGCAAGATTCGACTCGCTCGGACGCATGGCTGTTCCACCGAAGAGGAGTCTGCGTATGGGTTGAAAGGGAACACCAGAAAGTTGGAATATGGATTAGTGGTAGGATCCCCTATAATTTACCTTAAAGGGGTTACGATAATGATATTCCAACTTTCTGGCTTCTACTGTAGGGTTTAGGGTTTAGTATAAGGGCCTTAATCATTAGAAGAAGGCTTTGGGGCCCAATATACTATAGTTATAGTAAGGAACTCCCAAAGAAGTATGGGTAATTATTAAGGCCCCCATATTCGTCATGCCCTTACTCCCAACCGACATGACGGCCGATTAAAGCCTTTAAGCCTTTTCTTGGTGTGAGGTGTGGAACAGACATGCCTGCGGACTGTACAGGCTTAAACCTTCTATCCTGAATCGCATTCCTGGAATCCAAACTCTAAACCATATACAACTCTACTTAAAAGTTCAGTAAGGCCTCTTGGAATTTAGTGTGCAGGATTCGGAGTAAGCACGAAACCGTAGTCCCCGAACGCTCCAACCACAAGCAGGGTAAGCCCTAACTTGAATCTTAAACTCTAAGAGCTAGCCCGTATACTGCATGCAAATACTTAACCAAACGCCCGAAGCCTGGTGTCAGAAACTGAAGGACCCTGCCTTAACTTGCCAGTATCTAGCTTGTTTGGTGACATACCGACAGTCTCCTGAAGAACAAGGGCTACACTGAAACTCCACGGTAATGGGTTCCTGCAGGTCAATCATGAAGGCATGGACATAAACCTCAAAAACTCAAACGACCACTCTACATCCTCAGTCTTAACCACTGTTAGACTGTATGATATATGCATAAGCCTTTAACGTGCCACTTCGCCTACATCCTACACCGCCAAGCCTCAAACCCTACACTATCAAATCCTTAACAACAGCGAATCCTGAAGCCCTGCACCCCAAGCCACATATGGGTAGTTGTCAAAATTAAGGTCCCGTTTTTGGTACCCTAAATATTAGGTGCCGTATTATATTAGGGACTCAAAGGGGGACAGTAATTTTGACAACCATCCATATGCAGGTTAGGGTTTAGTTGTTGAGCCTTCGGATCATCACCTCTGTTTTCTTACGGCTGCCACAGAATCAAAAACAACAACGTCTTTATGCATACCTGCATACATCTAAGATCATACATGTGTACATGTTTATACACAACGTATGGAAGGTATCGAATGTCATACTCCACGAAGTATCTCCCAAGCACCCAAACCGTGAATCCATTCCGCCCAAGATCCTGCTAGGGCATCTCACAAGGAAAATCGAGACCAGCCGATCGGCTCATAGCGGTGCAGGTCAATTTTCACCTCATTTACGGGCTGTTGTGTGGCGTTTCAGGTCGAGAGGTGTCATGAGAGCCTTCGGGTAATGGGGCCCCCTTGAGGCATTCAATGTGCAGTGCCTCAGATGCAGGCACAGCTACCATCTCTTCTACGGTGGCAGTTGTCTATGGCCGCACGACAAAGAGTTCAGTACATACATAGGTAATTCTCTAACCTAGGGTCCCTTTTTGAAAATACTTAAAGGGACCCTAATTTAGAGAACTAACCACGTGGTTGTACGGCTAGATTTCGCTCAAACGCCCATGGTGTTAACCTGGTTCTCTTCGCTTCAACTCTGCGCGGCAATCAGCAGGCAAAACACCTAGATGCCAAACTACGGCAGGACTGGTGGCCTGACAGGAAGGAGCTATACCTAAAATCCAGAAACCTAAGCCCTAAACGTTGAAACTGAAAACCCGGCGCCGGCGCCCTGAACCTCCAAACCCTAAACCCTATAACCCCCTAAACCAGATCCAAACCCGTCGACCCTAAAGTCAAAACCCAGAACTCAAAGGGTAAAAGGAAGGACCCCGAATAAGGACTTAGGGTTTAGGGTTTAGGGACCCCTAGGTGTATACCCATAATATAGACATTATACACCCATTATATAGCCCATTATAGGGTAGGGGTCCCCATTAAGGGGTCCCTCCTTTTCCCCTTCGAAGAACCCCCAGTCCCAAGGAGTTGAGGTTATCGGGAGCAGGGCTTTAAGCTAAGGGTTTCGGGTGGAGAGGTGCAGCTTCAACCTCACTTAGAGGCCTCATGGCCCTCGATAGTGGTTACTTGGGGGTCTACTAGAGGGTAGTTGGGAAGTCTGTGTAGGGTGCGGGGCCGAGTTCGATTCGTACACGTTTGAATAAAAGGACTCACAGATAATATGGCTCGAAGTTCGCTTTCAACCCTATTCAACCCTAACCTTTCGATGGTGATGGAACAAGTCACTCGTACCGCCGGACACCGACCAGCCGGGTGGTGCATTGACATAGGGCCGGTCTGGGATTTGCAGGCTGGGAGTGCGTCTCATCGCAGGGTTTAGGGTTTTTGGGATGAAGCCTTAGGGATGAGTGTTTGTAACCCTAAGGGTCCATGTACCCATATAGGGTCCCTTTAAGGGTCCCTATAAGGGTTCTATAAGGGTACCATAAAGGTGTAGGGTTTAGGATTTTATGAGTCCATGTACCCAGATAGAGATACATGAGCCCCAAAGTACCTGCATAGGGACTACATTAGGGCCAATGTATGTGCTATATGAGTACATGGACCCTTAGGGATAGGGCCGGTCTGGGATTTCTTGAGGGGTCTTAGGGGACTCGGGCTCGGGGGTTGGAGCTTCATTGGGGGGCGTTGCTACAGAAGCTGGCCCAATCTCAGATACCGCGGAATTTACCTATCTACATCTATATCTATATCAATATCTATATCTCTATATATATCTATATATATCTATATATACATATATATATATATGGTGAGGGTAAGCAATTCATTTCCGTATAGTGGCAACTTAGCTTAATAAATCAAGCTCTGAAAAGACTCCAGGGTTTGTGGATGTCTGTATGGGGGCTAAATTGGAGGACCGGTTCGAATCGCTGAAACTCTACCATCTGTGTTCACGGTTTGGTTTAGGGTTTAGAAGGGGTTGAGGGTTGAGGGTAAGGGTCAGAAATGCTGAGCCTTAAACGCGGGGAGTCTCGAGATGATACTTTAGGTTCAGGGTCTGTGCTACACGGCGGGGTTAGCTTATGGTTGAGGGCTTCGGGTTCCATCTTCACCACTTGGAGGATCATGGGACTTAGTAACTAGGTTATAATTGGGGTTATAAGTCCCCTAAGTGGGGTTATCCTAATTATATCCTACTTATAACCTTACTTACTAAGTCCCATGAGCCTTCAAGCAAGCCCTCCGGATGTGTGCGTGGGTCAGCGTTTTCTTGTGGACAGGCTCAACGACCAACCATGTCAAGCGATGCACTACCCATAGGCCCCAAAGTCCTTCCTTTTTGAGGTTCATATATAGAACCCTATGAGGTAATCCCCAAAAGGAACTACTTTGGGGCCTATGGGTAGCCTAGTAGCCAATCACGTCCGGAATCTGCTGTGGTCTTGCGAGTTATCCAGGGGAGGTTCTGAGACTTCGCCATGGAAGTTTGAGAAAGCTAAGGTACGTAGCAATCGATTACACACTTTGGCTGAAACCGGGTACCGTAACGGTTTAGGGTTTAGGGGTTTAGGGTTTAGGGTTTAGGGGGTAACGGTTTCCCTGAAAGTAGATGTGTGTGTGTGTGTGTGTGTGTGTGTGTGTTTGTGTTTTTGGCTTTTGTCTGTGTGTGCGGGTGGGGGGAGGCTCGGTCTCGTTACTACAAGGACCCAGGGAGAAGCCCCGGCAACTAGACTGTCAAGACCATGAGCGCAATGAAAAACCTCAGGAGTCCGAAAACTTAAAGAGTAAGCCCAAACCCACTAGTGCTCTTCATGGGTGGTTGTCAAAATTAGTGTCCCCTTTTGGGTCCCTATGATAATACGGCAACTAGTATTTAGGGTACCCAAAAAGGCGCCATAAGTTTGACAACTACGCTCATAAAAGAGGGACCCCAAAGCCTGTTGTACTCGGAGGGCGGAAACCCTTTAAGGATCCTATTCAGCTTTCGGATGTTGCAAAGGCCCACGTCGGCGAGCGTCCTCCCGACCATCGCTTAAAGGCGTACCACCTCTTCGTCAACATCGCCCTGGCTCAGGAGGTTTTCGGGGTTCAGAGCTTAGAGAGTAAGGTTTGGGGCTGAAGCTTTGCAGAGTAGGGCTTTGGGTTTAGGGTTTAGGGTTTAGGGCCCAGGGTTTTGGTTTTTCAATTCTATAATCTGGGTTTGATAGGGTTTGATGAGACTATAGGCTTCAGGTTGTTCTTCCAGGTCTTCGGGTTCAGTGCTGACCTCAGGGATTAAACCGTAACATTTTCTTTGCGGGCCCTTTTCCGACTGAGAACAGCTAGAATTTCAAGAATTAGGGTTTAAGGTATAAGCTCCGATCCTCCAGAATGCTTAGGACTATTTGAAGCGTTGCTCCTGTAATTTTGAACAAAAACATGCCTGTTGGATGCACTCTCCTAGCCCAACCCCAAACCCCTGAAGCGTGAACGCGCACCACCATGAAAAAACGCCAAGGAACTCCGAAACCCTTCGACCGACCGCTATACAATCTTGATCAGAAGAATCAAATACCCTGAACCCTAAACCCAGTAAACACCCAACCCTGAGCCACATTTAAAAAAAAACATCGCTGAAGGAACTCTGTAATTATAAACACCAAACCGTCAAGCGCAACACCTGAAAACTACTGTAGGGGCCCAAATAATCAGAATAATGCGGTTTTGGGCCCCTGCATAGTACAACTATAAGACGAAATCCTGAGGAATAGTATAGGCAATTGCCTGGGCTTCTATGCAACCTGTTAAGCCCTGACTTAGGCCCCGCCTTGATGTGCTCCTGCTTTGCTCGACCAATTCCATATACCCGAGGCTGGTGACCTCGCGTGGTGAAGGTAGGTCTTTGGCGGGTTTAGGGGCTAGGTTGTTTAGAGATTCTGTGGGTCTTAGGGCTGTTAAGGATTTCGGTTGTTTAGCGTGTTAAGGGTTTCACCTTTGAGGGATTTCGGTTCAAGGTTTCTTGCATTGCAGGGGTCAGAAGTGGTTCGCCTGCATGTCTTTGGCTTCGTCCGAGTTTGGGTTTCGCTGGGTGTCGGATTTAGGATCTGGGAGTTTCCGAAAATCGGGGACTCTAATTTAGTACCGTGAAAAGTAGGATCCTTGTCAGAAGGACCCCAAAATACGGTACCCCCCCAACTTTCGGAAACTCCCATCCCTAAACCCTATAACCCTAAACCCTATCATCCTAAACCCTAAACCCTAAACCCTAAACCGAACTCCGAGCTTTTAGCCCTGAACCCCCCCAAAGCCTCAGAGAACTCTCGAACTCCCATACGGGAAAGAAGCTCTAACTACTGTGACTGGAGCCCTGAATCCAAAAAGCCCTTAAAGGGATCTATAGGGTTCCTTAAAGGGATCTATAGGGTTCCTTAAAGGGATCTATAGGGTTCCTTAAAGGGATCTATAGGGTTCCTTAAAGGGATCTAGGGGGTTTAGGGTTTAAGGTCTACTTAGAGGATCATGGGACTTAGTAACTAGGTTATAATTGGGGTTATAAGTCCCCTAAGTGGGGTTATATCCCAATTATATCCTACTTATAACCTGACTTACTAAGTCCCATGGGCCTTCAAGTATGGAAGCCTCAACCCTGCCATAAAGCCTGGGTACGGCCCCCAGTCAGCAATAGTTGAAAAGTACTCATAATATCGATATATTAGGACCTTAATCGTAGCTCAGCCTGCAAAGTGAGAGTGCTGGAAGGCCAGCGCATGAACAAATGTTGTGGAGATATCCTCCACCCATAGCCCTAAATCCTAAAACCCTAAACCCTAAAACCCTAAACCCTAAATGGTCGTCTGGCTCGACTGCGGTGCTTTCCTCGAAAGACACGAAGGGCCTGCTGATGCTTTTCGAGGTCCACGGTAAATTCAATTCTGCTCGCGATAAAAGTCGCGCGTGATGTTCCCAAGCTTCATGAGCATGGGCGATCGCTTCCTGTCGCCCTCACCCATCGGGCTTGCCGGAACTGCACGGGAAAGATGCCAGTGAAGAAGCCGCTGAGGTCTTTAGTTTGACATTGTAAACTGGGTGGTTCCGATGCCAGTGCTACTGTTGATGATATAAATCCTGCATGACCCATAATAAGGAATATACCATAATTCCCATATATTCCTCATTATCGGTAGTGCAGGATTTATATCATCAGCCGTAGCAGCTCTCTTTGTTATCTCTTCCTGCTCTGTTGAGGCTCCGAGGAGCTATGTTCAGCGTAACTTCGGATGACGGCAAGGAGTTGGTCGACTCTAAAAGGAGAAGGTGCTGAGAACCCCGATATACCTAGAACCATAAATCCCGACCGAAGCCCTAAAAGCCAGAAGCCCTAAACGCCCACAACCCCATAAAATCCGAAACCCTACTTGTCCATTTAAAGGGACCCTTAAAGGAACCCTTATACCTACCCATGAACCTCCAAGTAGACGCAATACAGAATCCAAACTGCACCCGCCAGACACCTCCGGTGCGAAGCAGAATGTGAGTCGATCTCAGCACCTGTGCCAGGTACGGTTGACGATATAAATCCTGCATGACCCTAAGGACCCTAAACTAGGGGAATTATGGTATATTCCTTACTATAGGTAATGCAGGATTTATATCATCAACCGTAGGACAATTGCAGGCCGTTGGGCTTAACAGAGGGGCCTTAATGAGTAGAATAGGGTTTTGGGGCCGATTATGATTATACTATAATTATAAGGGTTCCTTATGATCTCAGCACCTGTGCCAGGTACTCACTGGCCCAAAACCCACAGGAATAAAAGTTGAAGCTTTCAGAATCGACTGCCTTATAAGAAGCCCAAAAGTTGAAAAGTTGAGTTTACAGCCAATAAGGGTATAATAGGAATTTAATAGGGCCCTAATATAACCCTTATAGTCACTATTACAGGGTGGGGCCCCTTCTAAAGGACAATTGCAAGGCTTTTGGCTTAATATGAGGTCTTAGTAATTAGAGTAGGGTTTTGGGGCCCATTATACTATAATTACAATAAGGAACCCCCAAAATACATTGGTGATTATTTAAGCCCCTCTAACATTTTTTGCCGCGTGGCGCTTGGGTTGCATGCTTATATAGAATCTAGAACTTGAGCAGCTTCAGAATGCTTGACGGTGTAGACTACATGCATCGGTAATGGTTCAGGGCCGAAAACATCGAGGGGGCTTTTCTAGCATAGCCTAGTCCAACTAGAATAAGGACACCTGGAAGACAAAACATCGGGCCCCTATATCCCTAAACCGATAATTACTGGCGTGGTGGATGACCACGGATATCCAGTGCCAAAGCGGCACTTCTTCATTGTCTCGTGGCGAGCTCTTCTGAACCGCCAGTGCCAGCACGGGCTGCGACCGCACCGCGGAATGATGAGGTTCACTGCCAATCACAGACGAGAGCAGCCGCAAAAAGAAACGAGCCACAACCACTAGGTAGGGTTTTCTGTGATGTAAGCGGTACGTGCTGTCTACACCCAGAGATATCGAGCCCTACCTGGGCCCCCACACCAACAAATCTATCTTATATAAAGAGTTCATATAAAGCGATCATAACAAGGAAACTAAAAAATCTACATTTTTAGGGACCTAAGTACCCATCATAGGTCGGCTACCTTGGGTTAAAGTGAACCTTGAATCCTTGCCCCTACACTTCAAGGTTCAGGATATAATCAGTCCTGTAAATTAGATTTCCTTTCAGGCTCCTTTTATTCAGGGCGTCGTACTATTTTTTCGAACCTAACAACGGGGCCTAATTTAGGGAACTACCCATGTTCTGCCCCTTTATCCTAAACCCCTATAGTAACCCTTATTGGGAGTTTCCGAAAATCGGGGACCCGGGTATAGTACCCTAACTAGTAGGATCCTTATTATAAGGCCCCCAAATTCAGGTACCCCTCATTCTGGGAAACTCTATAAACCCTAAACCCTTTATAGAACCCTTATAGATCCCTTTCGGTAACCTTTAAAGGATCCCTGTAAAGGTACCCCTAATTTTCGGAAACTGCCTTATACTATACTGAACTTAGAACCCTAGCAAAAATTGTAATTTTAGCTGTGTCTTAGGGATCATAATAACCAACAACTAAAAATTATTTCTATGTACCCCTAAGTATAGATCCCTTCAAGAGACCCTAAGTCGAGACCGTGAGGCCCTCTCCTGCACCAGCCCAAGGGTCAAAAAGCTACTCCAAGGGTAAAAGGAGGGACCCCTACTCAGGACCCCTAGGTATATACCCTTAATATAGCTATGATATACCCATTATATACGGCGATGATTTTTAAATACCCGGACATCTAAACAAGTTAAACAGGTGTGTCATACTACTTCCGTGGGCATTGTCTCTGGGCCGCCCAATTTTAAAACACACGGAAAGACAACAACACGAGACTCCAGCCCGCAGACTCCGTCCTCCAACCTTCGCCTCTCCAGCCCTCTTCCCAGCCCTTCAGCCTTCCAGCCTTCCAGCCGTTGGAAGGCTGGAAGGCTGGAAGGCTGGAGGGCTGGACGGCTGGAAGGCTGGAAGGCTGGAGGGCTGGAAGGCTGGAAGGCTGGAAGGCTGAAGGCTGGAAGGCTGGAAGGCTGGAAGGCTGGAAGGTTGGAAGGCTGGAAGGCTGGAAGGCTGGAAGGCTGGAAGGCTCTGCAAGGCTGGAAGGCTGGAAGGCTGAAGGCTGGAAGGCTGGAAGGCTGGAGGGCTGGAAGGCTGGAAGGCTGGAAGGTTGGAAGGCTGGAAGGCTGGAAGGCTGGAAGGCTCTGCAAGGCTGGAAGGCTGGAAGGCTGGAAGGCTGAAGGCTGGAAGGCTGGAAGGCTGGAAGGCTGAAGGAAGGCTGGAAGGCTGGAAGGCTGGAGGGCTGGAAGGCTGGAAGGCTGAAGGAAGGCTGGAAGGCTGGAAGGCTGGAAGGCTGGAAGGCTGGAAGGTTGGAAGGCTGGAAGGCTGGAGGCTGGGAAGGCTGGAGGACTGGAAGGCTGGAAGGCTGGAAGGCTGGAAGGCTGGAGGGCTGGAAGGCTGGTAGGCTGGAGGGCTGGAAGGCTGGACGGCTGGAGGGCTGGAAGGCTGGAGAGCTGGACGGCTGGAAGGCTGGAGGGTTGGAAGGCTGGAGGGCTGGAAGGCTGGAGGGCTGGAAGGCTGGCAGGCTGGAGGGCTGGAAGGCTGGAGGGTTGGCAGGCTGGAAGGCTGGAGGGCTGGAAGTAAACACCCGGAGCTAAAACATACGGATTAAAACAGGTGTCTCATACTACCTCTGTTTGGATCTTGGGTTGCCCGCCCCCCACATGTTTTAAAATTCTCACCGTAGCACCTTAAGGGTCCCTCCTTTTCCCCTTTGAGCTACGATCTGACTTTGGGTTGAAGGCGTGTAAGCTAGAAGGGTTCCTTAAAGGGTTCCTTCAAGGGGTCTATAAGGGTGCCTTAAAGGGTTCTTTATAAGGGTTCCTGAAAGGGACAGGGATCTATAAGGGTTCCTTAAAGGGATCTAGAAGGGCTTTTTCAAGGGTTTAGGGCTTATAGGGCTTCCGAGAATGAGGGGTACCTGATTTTGGGGGTCCCTACAATCAGGATCCTACTTTTTAGGGTACTTTATTAGGGTCCCCGATTTTCGGAAACTCCCATATGTTTAGGGATTACCTAGAACCCCCAAGTAACCTTTATAGTAGTCCCTACTTGCCTCTGAATGAGAAATGCTAGAGCCCTTTGAAGGGTACTTGGGAGGGTCCTGGTATGCTGAGCGGTTATGGTTTAGAGTTTATGGTTTTTGCTGAGGTCAGATGAGGAGGGGCGATGGTTTAGGGTTTAGGGTTTAGGTACGGCCCCCATACAGTAAGAGTCCATAATAGGGCTATTATTAAGGTCCTACTATCTCTATATTATGAATATTAATCAACTATTACTGAGTGGGGGCCGTACCCAATTTATGGTGTTTATAGGGTATGGGGACTATGCGAAGGTTTTGTTTAGGGTTTATGGTTTAGGGTTGAGAGGGTCAGGCTTGCAGTGCATGAGGGAGTCGGGATCAGGTTCGATGTCAGCGTGCAACAGATGCGGATACGGGAGTTTCCGAAAATTAGGGGTACCTTTACAGGGATCCTTTAAGGGTACATATCACGCTTCGCATTGCAAGGCTCGTGACCCTTACCATGTCAAGAACCACTCGAGGTCAGTAATATAGGGGCCTTAGTATTTCGAGTAGGGTTTTGGGGTATATTATGCAATGCTTATAACTTATAACAAGGAACTCCCAGACTAGTATAAGTAAGTATCAACGACCCTATAGTATATCCTTGTATTAGCCCTTATCGAAATCCTTATAGACCCCTTTAACAGGAACAGATAATTATTCAAGCCCCTATAGTAGCTTCAGCGTCTCGAGCTTCTCGTACCCAGAGAGCCCAATACCCCTTAATGGAGGAATACATAGGACCTAGGGTTCCTTTAAGGGATCTATAGGCTTTAGGGTATCAAGGCCCCTATAGTAGAGAACGCAACTTCTCTCCGTGGGTCTGGGAGCGATCCAGGGGACCGTTGGGGCTTACTACTTGCAGGCTCGTGGGTAGATATAAGTGGGGTTATAAGTAGGGTTATAAGGGTTCCTTTCAGGGTTCTGGTAATAAGTAGAGTTGTAAGGGCTCCTCAAGGGTTCTATGGGGTTTAGGGATTACGGTTTTGCGTAGTTAAAAGTAGGGTTATAAGTCGGGTAACTATACTCATAACCCATATGAAGGGACTTATAAGCCCATTTATAACTACCCGTGAACCTAGGGTTTAAGGTTAAGGTTAAGGGTTAAGGGTACACTTTTTCCTGGCATTCATTCTTGATAAGGGAACCCCAAAAGAACCGGGTAAACTGGTACCACTGGGGAACCTAGCTGAAGTCCGGGCATAGTAATAGTGCCGGCCTGCATCAAGCAATAGTAGAGCTCGAACTCTATCCGCAAGTCGTTGTGTTCCCTCGCCATCTTGATCGCCTCCACGAAGCTTTAGACTGTAGAAGTCGAGGCTAAAACCCAGCCCCGAAAGGTCATGTATGTCTCTTAGACTCTTGATAGATCAGGATCCGTGCTCTAATGGGGTTTCCGAAACTGGCGGACCCTAATATAGTACCCCTAAACTGTAGGATCCTTATTATAAGGACCCCAAAATAAGGTACCCCTCATTTTTGGGAAACTCCCTGGGTCGTGGACTTCATGCATTTTCAGCTGTACAGCAAAGAGGCCACCCGGAGGGTGGGACTAGTCGTGTCATTGTTACGGTTTCCTGCCAGCCCCAACTTCTGACAGCATGCAGAACAACTCCGATAAGCCCGTCAGAAGCGAACTCGTTCATCCACCAGCAGTCCAAATTCAGAACGTGCAACATCAGAACCCAGCCAGACCAGGTACAACCTACAAGAACCGTTTCCCATCCAGCGGAATAGACGGAACAGAAGGGAACCGATTCAACCTAGATCCGAAGCACCTAAGTCCAGAACCCGAAGGCTAAGTCCAAGGTCCCGCAATCTGCAATGATAGGCCTCCACTCACTCGACACCCTAAACCCCTCAACCCGCAACCCTAACCATCCCAAGGCTTCAACCCGATCCACCCTGAACCAGAGATCCAACCGTAGACCACCGACTACCATGCACTGCAAAGACCAAACACCCAATAAGTTTGTAAACAAGACCCCGAACCCTAAGCCTCAATCCAAAACACGAAACTTAACCCTCAATCCGAAATCGGCCGCAGTCAAGGGCACTAAGAGAGTCCTCGCACAACGCTTTACCCTCAAGTCTTCTGCCTATTTGAGGAATTGGCATCTTGGTTTCGGAGACCCTTACCAACCGTGTATACGTACAGGGGCTGAAGGGCTTCGGGCATACTACCAGCATGGAGTAAAGCCCCGTAAAGTGCCCTGAAGACCATCCCCGTTATGGCTGTTGCGGCCACTTTTCATAATGATAGCCCATATGTCTATACCCTCTGGGTTGCAAGATGGTGTAACAAAGCCTCGAAATGTCCGCTCTGCTAATTATAGAATGCTCCTTGGGGCTTTCGGGTCGAGGGGCTTCATGTATAAAACCGGTAACCCTGATGTAAGGCCCGACAAAAGCTGATAAAATGCATTCAGAAGAAATACAAAATAAAGCTCTTAGACTTTTATTTCGGATCTCGTAGCAAACATCTCATAACAAATAAACCACTCTTCTCGAAGCAACACCAATTAAGGTGTTCAGTGTTCGGATGAGCCTCAATGATGTCGAGGAAGACGTGCGCATCCGGAATTTCATCGTAGATAGCTTGCTTTGAAGCTCCCTGGCCCAATGTTCGCAATAAGGGTTTAAGGTCTAGGCCACAGGATTTAGGGTCTAGGGTTTTGCGTGTAGGGTTTAGAGTTGGGGTCATGGTTCATGAATGCTTCAGGTTTACAGAGTTTAGGATCACGCAAATCCAAACCCAAACGCGTGCCTCTATTGGTCATTTCTTGCCCAAGCACGGGCAAGATGTCATTCATGTGTACGTTTCTGAACCCTTTCCAGCAACACACCAAACAATCTTCGAGGAAAACATCCAGGTCGTTGGGAGTCTTTGCACGTTACAAGTATAAACTTGATAGTAACGATATTCACAATAATAATAATAATATTAATATTAAATAATAATAATAATAATAATAATAATAATAATAATAATACTAATGCGACCCTAAACCCTGACCTCTGAACCTGGAGACACCTTCACCGCCCCAATCTCACCGACATCCCTGAGAAACCAGAAACATCTAAGGAACCCTAAGAACAGAAGCCTCTTACCATAGGGCCCCAAAGTAGTTCCTTTTTGGGGTTCATATGTAGAATCCTATAAGGTAACCCCAAAAGGGAACTACACTATGGGGCCTATGGGTAAAGCCCTTCAAGAGCGCTTTGTAGAACCCGTCTGGAGCCCTCTATCAATCCCATTTGAGAACCCATTTGAAGAACACCTGCCGAAACCCTCAACCCCGCATCCCAAACAACCCCTGAAGAACTCGTTAAGAACTAAGAACCCTGTACTGTACTGAACCCTTTCAGTTGGAGGCCTCATTGGGCGGGATGAAGCTAGGCAGGATTAAGGTTCCTTTATGAGGACTCTCATTCTGGGATTACCCCACCTACATTCATCCCATCCATCGGAGCCTTATAAACCCTAAACCCCCCTAAACCCTAATTCCCTAAACCCCTGAACCCTAAACTCCCAAACAAACTTAAACCCTAAACCCCTCAACACACATGAACCTTAAACCCCTAAACCCCTACCCTAAACCTTAAACCCTAAACCCCTACACCCTAAAACCCTCAACCCCAAACCCCTGAACCCCTAAACCCACGCAACAAAAAAAAATCGTAGCTCTTTGATTAAAGAACCCTTAAACCCCTAAACCTAAAAAAACCCTAAACCGTATATACCTAACCCCCCTGAACACACTTAAACCCTAAACACCTAAACCCTAAACCTCTAAACCCCTATGTAACCCTTTAAAGAACCCCCCAAAAGGAAGTCCTGAAAGGCCGCTCGCAAATACTTGCCCGCCACGAGGACGACCTGAGCTCTTTGAGATTTTTTGGGGTTTGGGGATTTTTTTGGTGGGTTTAGGGGGTTTGGGTTTTTGGGGGTTTAGGAGAAATTTTGGTGGTTTAGGGGTTTAAGTTAGATGGGGCCCCGGCCCACTAATAGTTCAAAAATAGGTTTATTATCAAACAGACAGGCCAAAAGTAGCACAAGGAAATCTGATCTCATTCGGTTTTCCAGGGCCAGGCAGTGTTTTGAATCCAAATATGTTTGGCATAGTTTGGCGATTAGGGCTGTGAGATGGGGTCGGACCGGCGAAGAGGTTGGGAGGAGCTATCTGCAACTTACCAGCGAAGAGGTTTGGAACCACGGTTTCGTTACCATCGCAACCTGGGCCCGGAGACCTTCTTTCAGACGGCCTGGACGCGGGGACTGGACTGGCCCGGCCGCCAGAGAGACAGAGCAAAACTAGCACCAGAAAAGCACAAAAAAAAAGCACAATCGGACCGCGTCGAGCACAAGAAAAGCACAACAGACAGAGACAATTTTGCACCAGAACTGCCGCGCGCCAATGTGTTTTGAAATCATGGAGCACAAAAAAAAAAGCACAAACATACAAACACGTTTGGTTTTTGGAGCACAAGAAAAGCACAAAAAAAAAGCACAATCGGATCGTTTCGAGCACAAGAAAAGCACAACAGCCGGAGCGTTTCGAGCACAAGAAAAGCACAAAAAAAAAGCACAAACATACAAACACGTTTGGTTTTTGGAGCACAAGAAAAGCACAAAAAAAACACAATCGGATCGTTTCGAGCACAAGAAAAGCACAACAGCCGGAGCGTTTCGAGCACAAGAAAAGCACAAAAAAAAAGCACAAACATACAAACACGTTTGGTTTTTGGAGCACAAGAAAAGCACAAAAAAAAAAGCACAATCGGAGCGTTTCGAGCACAAGAAAAGCACAACAGCCGGAGCGTTTCGAGCACAAGAAAAGCACAAAAAAAAAGCACAAACATACAAACACGTTTGGTTTTCGGAGCACAAGAAAAGCACAAAAAAAAAACACAATCGGAGCGTTTCGAGCACAAGAAAAGCACAAAAAAAAAGCACAAACATGCAAACACGTTTGCGGAAACGAGCCCGGAGGCCTGCCTAGATTGCAGAAAGAGTACAGACAGAGCACAAGAAAAGCACAACAGCCGGAGCGTTTCGAGCACAAGAAAAGCACAAAAAAAAAGCACAAACATACAAACACGTTTGGTTTTTGGAGCACAAGAAAAGCACAAAAAAAAGCACAATCGGAGCGTTTCGAGCACAAGAAAAGCACAACAGCCGGAGCGTTTCGAGCACAAGAAAAGCACAAAAAAAAGCACAAACATACAAACACGTTTGGTTTTTGGAGCACAAGAAAAGCACAAAAAAAAAGCACAATCGGACCGTTTCGAGCACAAGAAAAGCACAACAGCCGGGTCGTTTCGAGCACAAGAAAAGCACAAGAACAAAAACACAAACATACAAACACGTTTGGTTTTTGGAGCACAAAAGAAGCACAAAAAAAAACACAATCGGACTGCGTCGAGCACAAGAAAAGCACAACAGCCGGGTCGTTTCGAGCACAAGAAAAGCACAAAAAAAACACAAACATACAAACACGTTTGGTTTTTGGAGCACAAGAAAAGCACAAAACAAAAAACACAATCGGATCGTTTCGAGCACAAGAAAAGCACAACAGAAAAGAGGTTTCTGTGATCGAAATGTCGCACCCGGGTACGCCTCTCAGTACTAAACTTGGTCGAAGAGGCCAGACCCCGGCCCGGCCCCAGCCCGCCCCCCACACCCCCCCGTCCGTTCAGCTTCCAGCCCAGCCCCCTCAGCCCCCCCCAGCACCCCCAGCCCCCCCCGCCCCGCCCCCCCTAGTCGCGCAGAGGCATTGCAGCTCCTGATGTTTGCTCAAGATCGAATCCGAGAAAACAACAGGGGTGTGACTGTGTTTGCAACTCATGGGGTGGCAGTTTACTTGTTGTCTCAGTCTTGCGTTTTCCAATCATGCGAGCATGATCACAAACGAGTCAACATTTCAGCATTTCCCTGGTGCTTCATCTTGTGCTTCTGTTTCTGCCCACTATTAGTGAGGCGGGGCCGCACACAAGGTTTAAGGGTTCTAGGGGTATTAGGGTTGAGGGTTTAGGGGTTTAGGGTTTGGGCCTAAGGGCCTTAGGGGCTTGGGGTTTAAGGCCGTAGGGTTTGGGCCTTAGGGTTTGAGGGTTTAGGGCTTGAGGGTTTGAGCCCTAGGGGTTTAGGGCTTAGGGTTTAAGGTTCAAGGTTTGGGCTGTTTAAGTGTTTGATGAATTGAGAAAGACACTTCCCTCAATGAACACCGAGGCACCTAATGATAGAAGGCAGAACTGCATGCACACTAGACAAAATCAAAATCACAAGAGAAGGCAGCTTCCAAACAAGACGGCATTCTAGATGTGATTTGCTCTTCCTTACTCCCAAGTTTCTCCCCTTTTTCTATGAGATCAATAACCCAAAACCCAAACCTTCAACCCTTGACGGTAATGCGCAAAACCTAACCCTAAACCCCAAAAACCAAAGCTGAAACACCGAACCCTGTGTTTCTCTGAAGAAATCCTCCTGAGGCTCTGGCGGCCGCATAAAGACCTGGCGAGAAAAGCCCCGATTCCGTTATGGTTTGCATATTTCCTGGTACTTAGTTGGAAATGGGGGAACGGGCTATGGGGACATTGGGGATTATACAGGGGCTGCTATAGGGATCCATTCCCCCATTCCCTACTATGAGCCGGGAGGATGTTCAGTTTGCCTTTTGAACTGCCATAAGCCCCGATTCCGTTAACGCCGTCTGCTTCTGTTCAGTCTGCCTGCGAACTACCATAACCTACTTTTTTGTAGGTTACCCTCCGTAACGAAGACGTAGGTTCTGGGAGCTTCCGGTAGGGTCCAAAGAACCAAAGAACGAGATTCTATGGGTCGTTATAAGGGCCTTACAAGGGTTTATGGCGGCTTGAAAAGTTCAAAGGACCAAACACATTTGGCACCCGAGCCTAGGCTAGTAGCAATGCAGATTGCTGATGTATTTTCTCACTGCCCCACAACCCAATGGAATAAAAGTTTTTAAAATTTCAGAATCGACTACCTTATAAGAACACCAAAAGTGGAAAAGTTGAGCTTACGGCCAATAAGTTTTGAGAGGTGGGGGGGAGTTATCAAACAAAACAGACTTGGATCCGCTGGTAGGGGCAAAAGGCTTCGGACTTAGGATTTACGGCTTAGGTCTCAGGGCTAAGGGTCAGCATTTAGCGGTTGGGGTTTCGGGTTTGAGGCCGAGGGTTTGAAAGCTTACGGCTTAATGGCTGCAGTTCAACTTTGGAGGATTTCGTGGTGGCCTCACAGCATCAATAAGAAGGGTTCGAGGGTATGCCACGATTTAGGGTTTAAGGGTTTAGGGGCAATTATCAAACCTCGCCTCCAGCCGATGGGCTCTCAATAGGCCCTTATAAGCTCTGAACCCTTGTTCCCAGAGCCGGTCTAACGGTGTAGGGTACATGTGCCCTCAGGGTGACATTTGCCTCGTTGGGGTAAGGGCAGAGCACATGACATCCTCAACTCCCACGGCCACATCTCCAAGAACACAACTCCCTACACCCTACACCTCTAAAATTAAGCCAAAACCCTACTTAGACCCCCCAGCTACCCTCTAATACACCCTAAATAGCCACTATTGAGGACCATAAGGGCTCCATGAAAGGGCCATTGGGGGGCCCTGGTGCGCCTCAGCCTTTTAACCCAAAGTCCCCAGGCCCTGCCCCGGGCCTAAAGCAGACGTGTAGCTGCTACTCGCTTCGCCGGTGACGCCTGGAGATCTGGCGTTTAGTGCTTCCTTGAATTAGAGCCTCTGGGGCTTACTAAAAGATTGGTATGGTATGAGTGTGTGTGTGTGTATATATATATATATACTGGGTCTCCAACAAAACGCCCCCCAAAAAACCCTTGAATAGAATAATTCCGGGTATTTGGGGCACATTAGAGGGTAATTATTTGGGCTGGGTCGAGGTAGGGATGGGGTCTGAGGTTTCAGGTTTCAGGGTTGCTTGCAGTTTGCGGGTTTGGGGTCTCTTTTGTTTTGCTGGATCTCGCTTTTCCTCGTAGAGGGTTTAGGAGTTTGGTGTTTAAGTGACAATGGAGACCCCAAAACTATTGGCTTAAGTCCTTTTGTTCAGTGGAGCTTGTGCTCAGCAGACTTTTGTTTGATTCTCGATTCAATCTCCCCCTGCTGTGTTTCAAGACTGGTGTTGATACCCTAAGTCCTAAACCCTAAACCCCGCTAAACCCTAAACCGTGGCTCTGCACTCCTTCCCAGACATGGGAGCTTCAGTCAAAAAAGGCCCGTTAACATAAACCTTGCACAGTAGAGGGCCCCGCAACTCAAAACCACTTCTGGAAACTTTGAACTGATTCCTGGTTGCTGAACTCTTAAGCCCCCAAAAGTGTACACTTACAGTTTTATAGTGGGCAATATTATCCCAAAAGGTGTAAAGTGTCACTCAGCTACTAAGGATTATATCTTCTATGCTTTTTGGGTCCCTAATCAAGGGAACGCCGGAAGCCCCGTTTAGAAATTAGGGTTGAACAAGGCCTTGGACGTTCACAGACTTCTCCAACTCCACTTGAAGCCGCAAGGGCGTGGGCTCTTCCACCGGTAGTGCCTGTGCTTCGTCTGCGTGACCACAGGGTTTTCTTTTAATTCTTCAGTTTAAGTTTTGTTGTTATTATAATAATTATGACTGTGCTTATTGCACTCATATTCATTATGGTCGAACGGATGCTTATTCTTAGGATTCTGTGGCGGTAGAATTGAGCATGCTTCGGTTCTAGTGATTAGGTCTCATGCCATCGGGCTAAGAACTTTCCGTATGGCGCAGTCCGTCGCTCTTCGGAGATGCCAGATACAGGGCCTACCTGAACCCTGTAAAACCTGTCTTTTTGGTGCTCCTTGTTCTGATGTTCGTATGTACGTCCTTAGACAGGTAGGTTGTTTGGGTGTTAAGGTACGGCCACAAGCACATAGTGCCTCGTGCTCAATCCGACAGTAAGCCCTGGTCTCCTGACCTAAACCCGTGAATTCAGGCCCTACACTAAATAACCATAAGTAGTATACACTTTGGACTTCCCGCATATATAGGGACTACTTTAAGGCCTGAATATATACCATCATGTACCCTTATACCCTAAATCCTAAACCCCTGTGGTACCCGTGTAGAACCCTTCAAGGGTTACACAAGGGCGCCTTAAGGGAGCCCTTGTTAGCCTTAGAGTTCCTTTGGGCAATCGATATTGATATCATACTAAACTCAGCATTACGGAGAAAAGATGTACTGCATGCTTAAACTTGAAAGTCAAAGTATGGAAACCTGAAGAAAGGGATGAGGCCCCCACCGAGCTGTTATCCGGATCCGGCACGAGGATGTTGCTCCAGAGACGGCCCCATCGATGCCGCGCCTTCCATGGACGATTCGGTTTTAGGATCTATATAGGTTTTAAAGTGTGGTGTACGGTTTAGGTTTCATAGGCTTTAGGGTTCAGAGATTGAGAAGTTTCTTGCAAACATCGTGTGGGTTCATATAGTCTAAGGTATTTGCATGCAATGCGCAGTGTTGTGGGTGTGCCCGGCTTTGGAAAGCCTGACATTGCAGGCCAGGTGCTGGGATACTTGGTATATTGGGGTTACAAGTCAAGGCTTCGGCTCGTATGAGTCGAACACAAGAGTACATGTCGTTCTCATCCCACTTTTTCGCGGGACTCATGCGCCGGACCAGCACGCGGAGAGAAGTGCGCCTAAATCGAAACCTTAAAGCCCTGCAATCCTTAATCCTAAACCCCTAAGCCTCTAAACCCGTAAACCCTTCAACTCTTGAACCCTAAACCTCATAAATCCCTAGAAGCTGAGCTCCCGAGCGCAAGAGACGAGACCGGAGGGCGAAGTGCAGTTCGCGCTGACGGGAGCCTGGGAAGACCCTTTCGGGATCCTTATGGATCCTCCGGGATCCTTAAGGGTTAGGGTTTGGGGGTTTTAGGGCTTTTAGGGTTTAGGGTTTAAGGATTTAAGGGTTTAGGGGTCTAGAGCTTAGGGGCTGAAGGATTTAAGGGTCTAGGGGTTTGGGTTTTTAGTTTAGGGTTTCTAAGGTTTAGTTTAGGGTTGAGCTGGAAAGACCCGACGTGCTCTGCTGACTTACCCTGCCCGAAGCTACCGTTTGTAGGGCCCTACAACTTCTGGATTAGGGTTTATAAGAAGGGCCCAGAAAAGTTAGGTTGTGACTTATGACCGTTTGAAGTACACGACAAACCCAAACTAAGACCCAAACCCGAAACCAGAAGAATTCGACCCTAAGCCCAAAGTAATCCCTAAATCCACAGACCTGTCACTAAACAAAAACCTGAAACCCAACACTTAGACGCCCACCTGCAGTGCATGGTAGGACAAAGTACACACGATTCCGACGCAGAAACCTAAACCCGAAACCCTCTTCGAACTATTCTATATCTAGGGCTTAAGTTTAGGCTTCAACCCTAACCAATGTTTTCACCAAGAAACACCGATTTAGGTGTCTAGGGGTTTAGGGTTTTGGGCTTTTGGGGTTCAGGGTTTACAAGGGGTTAGGGTTTAGGGGTTTAGGGTTTTGGGCTTCTGGGGTTCAGGGTTTAAACGGGGCTTAGGGTTTAGGGGTTAAGGGGTCTTGCGTCCATGTCACGCACGATGTCAGAGGTGAGCCAGAGGTATGTCTTTATGGGTAAACCTTGAACCTCATCAGCCGGCTAGGGGTCAGGGAGCGGATAGCAGCCGGGGAGCAATGCCGTAGAAGAAATCCTCCATTGCTGGTGCTTGGGGCGTCAACCTGTCATGCAAAAGCTTGAGGCGGCATTGCTGTGATATAGGCGCCTGAAATAATTTGAATAGGATTTCGGGGCCCATTGTACTATACTTACAATGCAAAAGCTTGAGGCGGCATTGGTTCAACTCACTTTTCTGGGTTCCGGTTGAAGGATATATTTTAAGGTGCCATGAACAGGGATCTACGGTACATAATAGGCTTTCTCTATTATGGTAAGTTAACCTAAACCCTTAACCAGAACCCAGTCTTGATGCTCTTGGTTGTAGCAAGTGAAAAAGATGTCATCTCAACCCCCAACACAAAAAATTGCTAACTACCATGTGGGATTCAGGGTTTTGGAGATCGCGGGCGGTCATGTAGACAAGAGGCCCCGCACCCCAAACCCTGCCTGTGCACTTACAGCTAATCACCAAATCTTGACCCTGCACCATGCGGCCCTGGTACGATAGTAGGCCTATTCAACAAAAAATGAACGGTATGCAGTACACCGTCGATGGCTGTAAACTTTGCATGTGAAGGTTCCTGATGCCATGTATCCAGCCTGTCGGACGATCATGCTAGTCAGATGCATTGCTCGAAAAGCCTAGATCGACTTAACACATATAGTAATCCTTATGCTACCTCTATAACGTCCAAGGCCACGCAAGTTGCTCGACAACTTAGCAAGGGCTTGGCTCTGGGTGAAAGCACTGTTGACCTCAAGTCTGCGGTTGGCAGCAGCTTCTAAATCCGAAAAGCCACATGTAGGTTTAGGGTTTGGAGTTTCCTTATGTTTCCTTCATACAAACCCAACTCCAATCAACTGAAATCCAGGCGGAACGGAACATCTAATACCAGAATCCCGTTCGCGAACAATCGGAATCCTGCACCCTCCCCACGGCTTAAAGTAAAAACCAGAAAGTTGGAATATGGTTTCAGGGTAGGATACCTTATAATTTACCATAAAGGGTTTAGGATAATCATATTCCAACTTTCTGGCTTTTACATTAAGGCTTCAGAGTGTCCCGCAGAAGGAAACATCCAAACCTTAAACCCCAAGCCCCGCAGTCCCTGCTCCAGAAAGAATCTCGCCGAAGGCTCCCGTCGTTGCCCAGGTTGACACCTAAGCAGCCACTTGGAGGTTCATGGGTAGTTATAAGTAAGGTTATAAGTCCCCTAATTTGGGATATAAGCCCTACTTATAGCCCTACTTATAACTACCCATGAACCTCCAAGCAGGCAGGAAGAGAAGGAGCCGGGCTAGGATTGTGGCCGTGTTGCCCTGCCAACTTTTCATGCAGCCAGAGCGGGCCATTCAAACACCCGGAAACCGAAACCACAAACCAGACCGAACGTCGATGCTACGCGATACCTGCTCGCCAAGCAATGCAATCGTTCCAGGTGTCCTGCAATACCTTAACTAGCGGTCCATGTACCGTATGTAGTGTATGCCTTGACCTCACAAGGGGTTCCTCCAGAGGTACTTTGCGGTCAAAGCTTGACTAGATGGGCACGTGCACTCTAAGAGACATGACCGCCGGCTCTGTATATCAATCAGGGCAGCGCGTCAGCACGTGACGTCTCCAAGAAAGTACATTGTGTGGTACAACAACCAATGCGGAATGGCTCACCCATGGCTTCACGCGCGCGACGGCCCAATACTCAAGCCGTCGTATAGCTCGGCAAGGCTTGTGCCCGCACGGACCAAACGTGCTGAGCAAGACGGTAAATGTTACTCCAACGTCAGAACCTGCGGCGCAGAATCCCAATGCTCTGGATTAATCAAGCCGGCTCCCGGCAAGCGGCTTGCAACAAACACCTGTATAAAACCCTTCCGTACACAAGCAAACCCTAAAACCCAAAGCCCAACACTAAACCGCGGCCCTTTTCTGAGTCACAGGCTCCGAGACCAAATCTTTGGTAAGGTAATCCGCGCCTCGGTCTTCTGTTTGTGGAAGATGGTATGGTTTCTTGATCAGTCTTTATCAGTTCTAACATCTTGATATGACTTCATCCCGGGCCGCAGCCCTAAACCCTTACACCTAGATAAGATGCATATCGTCAACCTAGCAAATAACCTTAACTTAGTGACTCTATATATGCTAAACCTGTGACCCCAAACCCTGCAAAATATGGAGGTTGTGACCCTTTGATTCGATGGTCGAACTCGCCCAAACGGCAGGTATTGGGATCCTCAAGTAAACCATGCATCCGAGGTCCTTTTGGGCATAGTATCGATATTTCGAGAGTTTAGAGGGCGATACCTAGGGATGTAGGGTTCTTTGAATTAAAGGGGCTCCTGAACATGTTTCTTAAAACCCGTAACCCCAAACCCTAAACCCAAAACCCTAAATCCTAAACCCTAAACCCCAAGACCCAAAACACTAAACCCTGAACCCCAACACCCTAAACCCCAAAACCCTAACCCCAAAACCCTTAAACCCCAAAACCCAAAGCCCTAAACCCTAAACCCCAAAGCCCTAAACCCTAAACCCCAAAAACCTAAAGCCCTAAACCCTAAAGCCCTAAAACCCTAAACCCTAAAAACCAAAACCCTAAACCCTAAACCCTAAACCCCTAAACCCCAAACCCCCAAACCCCAAAAATCCTACAAAGTCGTGGGTTCCACACAGAGGGACCGTTTCCCAGAATTCTCAGCGGCGCCTCGGGGAGCTCCTCACACCATCCCCCCAGCGACTTCAAAATGCTGCAATCAAGGAATATTCCTTACCTTAATCTAACGTAAATTATAGTAGGAGCCCTAACATGATTTAAGGTAAATTCCTTATTGGTAAAGGAAAATACATTATGGTGGGATCACTAATAATGATTTAAGGCAGATTCCTTACATAATTAAGGGATGTTGGAGTCTCTGCCTTAATACGATTTAAGGCATATTCCTTAATTAAGGGATTTTGGAGTCTCTGGGCACCATTTTCATCGTGCCCTCTTCTGCAACGGAGAGTTGAGGCTTGTTCTCCACATTGACAACCGGGAAGGGGAATTTCTCCTTGTGGAGAGCCTGATGAAGCGGCCTTGCTTCCGTCCCCCATGGTCTGTGATGGATACATGGACTGATAAAACGCTGCTGAAAGAAGCCGCTCTTCAAGAAAGCTGCATCCACAGAATGATGCTGCGCTCTTTTGTGTTCTCCAGTCAGGGTCGCTGTGCCTGACAAACGAAAACATATGCGCTTCACAATCTTTCCTTGTGAGACCTGGCGTGGAAAACCCAGAGCGGCAACTGGGGCGGAGGGAACCGGTGGAGCCGTGCCGGGTACCACTCCAGAGAAAGCGCCAAACCCGTCGTCCATCCCATAGAAAGCCATCGAGCTCGCAAGAGCATCCCACACTGCCTGCGTTTCCCACCGTATAACCCTGACACATGACACAGTAATTAAGCTTGGGAATCCCCCAAGCGAACCCTTCAGCATGGAGAGTTCCTTCAGGTTTAAAGACCCTAAAACCCGCATTATGGACTCCTTATAGGAGCCTTACAGGAGCCCTTTTAAGGAAACCATAACTCCATGTTTAGTGGCAGAAATTCCAACCGTAAAGCCCTCAAGCACCACCACAGCGCCTCCTCGGTACCCGCCGTGCTGGCTTCACCTGAGTTTAGAGTTTAGCTGTAAACCCTAAACCCTAAACCCTAAACCCTAAAACCCTAAACCCTAAAACCCTAAACCCTAAACCCTAAACCCTAAATTGAGGGTTCAGGGTTTCGGATTCAGGGCTTTCTGGGTGTCGATTCCAACAGTCCCCAACATAATGTATAATACTGTATAACTAGGGTTTAGGGTTTAGGGTTTATGGTTTAGGGTTTAGGAAATAGGGTTTAGGGTTTATGGTTTATGGTTTAGGGTTTAGGAAATAGGGTTTAGGGTTTAGGGTTTATGGTTTAGGGTTTAGGAAATAGGGTTTAGGGTTTAGGGTTTATGGTTTAGGGTTTAGGAAATAGGGTTTAGGGTTTAGGGTTTATGGTTTAGGGTTTAGGAAATAGGGTTTAGGGTTTAGGGTTTATGGTTTAGGGTTTAGGAAATAGGGTTTAGGGTTTAGGGTTTCTAGAGCTCTATGTTAAACAATAAGGGAAATTAACATCATCCCAAACCGATACCGAGTTTAGGGCTTAGGGCTCAGGGTCTAGATTCGGGCTTCCTGCTGGAATTCTCAATGCTTCACGACGTCGAGCCCGGGATTTTGGGATTCTTGGTACGTAAACTCCAAGTAGTTTATTTAAATACCATATACCCCATGACCGTAACTTAACTTAAACTCCTTACCCAGAGGCTCCAGAGTGGTTCCTTCTTGGGGTTCATATCTAGAATCCTCTGAAGTAATCCCAAAAAGGGAACTACTTTGGAGCTGCCGGGTAAGAAGAACACAGCTTAAGGTTCAGTCTCCAAGGCCTCGGGTCCTCTCTTAGGTTCGGACCCTGGGGCTTCTTCTTAAGGCATTTATTGCAAGTTATCATAAACTAGGGTTCATTTATTGCAAGTTATCATAAACTAGGGTTCATTTATTGCAAGTTATCATAAACTAGGGTTCATTTATTGCAAGTTATCATAAACTAGGGTTCATTTATTGCAAGTTATCATAAACTAGGGTTCATTTATTGCAAGTTATCATAAACTAGGGTTCATTTATTGCAAGTTATCATAAACTAGGGTTCATTTATTGCAAGTTATCATAAACTAGGGTTCATTTATTGCAAGTTATCATAAACTAGGGTTCATTTATTGCAAGTTATCATAAACTAGGGTTCATTTATTGCAAGTTATCATAAACTAGGGTTCATTTATTGCAAGTTATCATAAACTAGGGTTCGTTTATTGCAAGTTATCATAAACTAGGGTTCATTTTAGGGTTCTACGAGGGTTTAGGCGTCAAGGAACTTGTTTGAAGTTACAATAATAAGGATCTATAGTGCATGATTTGGTTTCCTTTCTATGGTAACTTAGGCTAAATGACTAATAGGAAACCAATTGTTCGGACGTGAGTCATTGCACATGACGACATTGCGGATACCACTTAAAAGTCCAAAAGAAACAACTCCAAAAGAGCACCTTACCTTAGATATCATGGAAGCTGGCTTGACCCCAAAAGTATGTAGAATGATCGCCTTTTACAGGATTTGGGCCATTGTTGTACGTACTTTTGGTCGCTTGATAAGAGTATACAGAAGGTTTAAAACTCAACATTAAATCTTGAACCACCCGGCCTGTAGGGGTTGTAGGGCGATTAGGAATAGAGGGCTTATAGTGGGGCTTTGGGGCTCGGCGGGGCTTTTGGGTTTCGTTTCGGGAGCCGACAAGACGCACCGAACCACACACTCATGTCAGAAAAGTTCATAAAAGGGTAACTTGATTGAATGCTGTGTGTCTTTTGGCGTCAAAAAGTTCAGAACCACAATTGAAGTTTGAAGGCCCCTACCGAAGCAAAATGCCAAATTCGCATTCAAGCGTCAAGATCGTGCACAAATCCAAACCCTTGGTCCTGGGTCGTATAACCTCTATAGTGCTCACAAGCACGAACAGCAGACAAAAAACTCATATCCTAAACATACATGGGTGGTTGCAAAAATTATGGTCCCTTTTTGGGTCTCTATTTTAGTACGGCACCTAATATTTCGGGTGCCCAAAAAGGGACCATAATTTTTGACAACTACCCACATCCTGAACCCTAAGCCGCACACCTCAAAGCCCAAGCCCCCTTAAACACCGAGAGCTGAGCCGCACCCTAAACCTTAAACTTAAACCTTGTACCCACAAGCCTCAAAGCTGAAGAACAAAAAACAAAATAAACCCTAAACCCTAAACCTCAAAGCAAAAAACAAAATAAACCCTAAACCCTAAACCTCAAAGCAAAAATACAAAATAGACCCTAAACCCAGCACTGAATCACTGAGATTCCCCACGCCACCAGTCGCGGGACTGGTTGATCAGCAGATCCATCGGCTCCGACACGCTCGTCTGCCGCAGGTTTGTTTCTTAACGGGGTTCGAGTTTACACACGGCTTCCAGGCACCTCATGATCGGGTCCTTAAGGCGTCTAGGGCCCTAACTAACTATAAGGTCCTTGGAAGCATAAGGTTGGAGTTTAGTTACGGTCTAGGTTTGAGGTTTACCTGAACCCTACCACACCCAGGGGCCATCCTCCGGCGAAAGGCCTAAACCTCAGGCCAAAGTAGCATGTCTACAGTCTACTGACCTCTGCATGTTTCGAAGCCTCAGCTCCAGTATCCTGGGTTCTTGTTAAGGGGCTTAATATAAAATCGTATGTTTTCTTTATTATGGTAACTTACATGAAACCCTTAACGAGAACCCAGAGCATCTATCGGATCTACAGTATCGGACTTCTCGATTGTTGCCTAAATACTCGGTAATATCTGTTGATCTCTCCTACTGGCAGGCTTCTACTTCTTAACCGCTTCCACGCCGTACTTGCTGAAATATGATTTATGTAAGGGATTTAATTTGTTTGTGCTGAGATAATACATCGCTTTGACTGTGCTGTATGTCTGCTCGGTTCTTACTGATACGGTACTACCAAGTTGCTCAATTTGCTTGCCGTATCTACCACGTATGATATGTGTTTAAAACAATGGCCGAAAATGGGGTTCCGCAAAATCTCCACTCTGAATTTAACTTGAGCTTCGGATCCGGCTGACGTGGTCTCTCAAAGCATCTAACACGCGACGAGTCATAACCATCATGATTTAAGTGTATTCGTCGTTGTCTATGAATTCTTAAAGTCACCTAACCCGTACAGTTCATTCGACTGGTTCGTGTTTGTCGCTCAGATGATAATCTGGAGAGGCCTTGACTGAAATGTCGCAGGTGTCAGGACTTGAAATCCTCTGCGCCTTCATAAGTACGCGACCAAAGGCTGTGTGCTATAGCGTGAAAGGCCGGCATATGGCGGTCATGCTTCCTGTACGGGGACATATTTCAGTTTCGGATTCATGCTGGGATGAAATATGCTGATTTGTACGCCTTAGTGTTCCAAGACCGGCAACATAACTTGTGTTGGTCCTCGGCATTGAGCATTATTTTGAAACGCTTTCTGTTGTCCATCAGCTCTGCTCCCTTCTCTTTCATCCCATAGGGTTTTCCTTAAACCCACCCGTCATGGTATCAAACCAACACTGTTTTTCTTGCGTGTGCTGCTTCGTTAAACAGTAAAGCTCGACGTCCAACGGTGCGTGGTTATGAACTGCCTCATTGAATTCTCTGTGCTGGTGAACTACCAGAAGTGGGCCTCGTCGTCTGTGTTCCCACTCTATGTCGGCATTCAATCATTCTACAGACTAAGTTCTCTGTCGTTCGCGCTGAACCGGAACTACATGCATACACTTATCCGGCACATTCTTCGCTATCATCCGCATACAGTTTGAACTTATTATTGCGCATGTTGCTCTCGAAAATGTTCGAAAATCAATTACATGGCCTACGGCCTACGGGGGTGCAGAGACAAAGGAAATGCCCATCATTCAATGAATCTCAAGGTCACGGCCGCTACAGGGGTGCCAGGCTGAAGTGCTGCGCCCTGACCACTACACCCGTGCAAAGAAGGCATAAACTGTCTTTGCGGTCCACATAAAAGACTGGGTTGTGCTTTAAATTTAACCCTTTGAAAGTTATTTCTGAGTAGGTTCCCTTTATAAGGAAATAAGGGAAATTAAAAATTATCCCAAAGCACAACCCAGAAGAAACCATAACCACAATTGCAACACATGAAAGGTGTTCCGGATGCTTATACAGCTAAGAACTAACAGTCACGTGGCCTGGGACACGTCCGACGTTGCGGCCGTCGGCCGACAGAGGTGAACGATGCGGGAGGGCCACATGCTGTCATCCCCTGGCAGAGAAACGACCCTAAACCCTAGACCCCAGCAGTGAATGGTTTCGGGTTCCACCTTTACACGCCTGAAACCTACCGACCACCCACAAAACATGGGATGAAGCATCCGATAGCACGTCAGCAGAAACATCCTAGTAGCACGGGTAAGTTTTTGAGTTCATGTATGGTCGACGTGGGGTAGCATGATTTATCAGTGGCCTTTCCTTTTGTAGGGGGATCAATTAATGACTGATTGACCTTTTGAGTGTTTCTCGCAACCCTTCAGCACCGAGCAGAGTGCCGAGAAGGATCCAAATACTAGAAGACAGCTAGACTTTGGGATCAGTGCGCATGGCTGTTCAGGAAGTAAACCAAATGCTGGAAACTTCGAGCATCAACTTCATCGTTGGCTTTACACTAGAGTGCAGAGAACCCCAGCCTAACCCTGCTAAACCCATGTTCGACATTTTGGGAGTCTACTGCATCCGTTTTGAAGACATGCCTCATTGGCTCGCTCGGTTGATCAAGTCCTGAATGCCTCTCATACCTTAAATCCTAAGCCCGAAGTCTGAAATCCCTAAGCCCAAGCTTCGAAGAGCCTTTAATCCTATAAGCCTTCAAACATTCCCTTGTGATTCCCTAGGTTCCTGAGTAACCCCTGAATAACAGCTGAAAAAAAAGGGGTACCCCGTTTCCTCATACTCAGCTTTAATAAAGAAACCCCAAACTAATAGGGCAAAAGGGTACTAATATAGGGGCCTTAATAATTAGAATAGGGTTTTGGAGCCCATTATAGTAGCATTATAATAAGGAGCCCCCAAAATAGTAGAGGTAATTATTAAGGCCCCTATATTACTTGAAAACCTAGCCTTCGTCCCACCCATCGGAGCCCTTTCCTAAACCCTTAACCCCTCAGCCCCTAAACCTTAAACCCTAAACCCCTGAACCCTAAACCCTAAGCCCCTGAACCCTAAACCCGAAACCCCGAAACCCTAAACCTTAAACCCTAACTCAGGAACCCTAAGCTGCTAAACCCTAAACCCCTAAACCCCTAAATCCTAAACCTTAAATCCTAAACCTTAAATCCTAAACCTTAAATCCTAAACCTTAAATCCTAAACCTTAAATCCTAAACCTTAAATCCTAAAACCTTAAACTCACGAACCCAGCTCCTTTCCCCGAGCATGCGCGAGACAGACCCGGTCCTTGCCCACACGAGTCCGCAGGCGCACAGGAGCCTCGTGGGAATAGGTTTTAGGGTTTAGGGTTTACCCGGCGGCCCCATAGTAGTTCCTTTTTGGAAGTACCTTATAGGGTTCTAAATATGAACCCCAAAAAGGAACTACTATGGAGCCTCATGGGAATAGGGTTTAGTGGCGTTTAGGGTTTAGGGATTGAAGTTTTTTGTTTGTTTTAAGGGCTCCTTTTCGATAGGGATTGAGGTTTAGGGTTTAGGGTTTAGGGAATAGGGTTTAGTAGGGTTTACAGGTTTTTTTTTGTGTTTTTTGAGCTCCTGTTTCCGCCCGCCCAGGTACCAACAGTCAGAAGGGTTTATAGGGTTTAGGGATTGGGGTTTAGTGGGGTTAACGATTTTTGTGTTAAAGTGCAATAGGGTTTAGGGATTCAGGGTTTATTAGGGTGAAGGTTTTTTGTTAAAGTGTAATAGGGTTTAGGGATTCAGGGTTTATTAGGGGGTAGGATTTTTGGTTAAAGTGCAAAAAGGTCTCGGGATTTAGGGTTTAGTGGGGTTTAGGGATTCGGGTTTAGTAGGGTTGAGATGGGCACTGCCAGCATTTTTGAAATGGCAACGTCTCTAATGTAGGGGGCCTTCGTAATCAGACAAGGGGCTTTGCGGGCACATTTTGGTATACTTATAATAACGAAGCCCCAAAATAGTAGCGGCACAGTAGTTATATTATGGTTGTAGAGGCCCCTGTAGTAGCAAAATAGTATAGGTATAATTATAGAGGCCCCTGTAGTACTCTGCGTTAAGATTCCTGGCTTTCGGAAAACCTCCCGTATCGTGAGAAACCTCTGGAGCCCTGCCACCCCAATGTCAAGCCACGAGGGGCAGAGTTCGCAGGCTTTAATAGGGCCCCAAAAAGCACATAAGCAAAAATTAGGATAGGGACATCCCATAAAACCCCCTTATTTTTAGGATAGGGACATCCCATAAAACCCCCTTATAATGAACCCCATTAAGGTAGGGATATCCCTATACAATGCTTATGCTTATCTGCTATTTTTTGGCCCCAGTTTAAGTCAAACGACAAACCACAGACTAGTGGCTCGCAATAAGGACCGCTGAGCAAGGTACGTCTAAGCTTGCAAAATCCATAAAGTCTCTACCCAGAGGCTCCATAGTAGTTCCTTCTTGGGGTTCATATTTAGAATCCTATAAGGTAATCCCAAAAAGGAACTGCTATGGAGCCTCCGGGTAGCCCCGAGCCCCGTTAAACCCTAGACGTCTGCCTTTCCAAAAGGTGCCTCCGACACTGAGTGACTCGACGGCATTGCACAGTGTCCGAATCACGGGGTGACGGGTGTCGATCTTGTCGCTATGAGAGCACGCGGCGCAGAGACCGATTGAAGCAGCTGCCAACTTCGAAAGCTTCACCAAGAAACGCTGCACCTCGTGCAACAAGTTGGATAGCGGCTGTCCCAACGAACGCGGTTTCTGTGACGGTCAATATCAAGCACAAGCACGTTGTGGAAGTCAACTGGCACAAGGTGATAGTCCGCAATGGAAGCGCTGGCAAGTCCAACCACGTGAGCGTTTCCAAGACGAAAAACCGGGCCGTGGACCATAATCTAAAACAAACTGACCGTGTCGTGGATTCGGGGCCGGTTTAGGGGGTTCAGTGCTTGGGCGTTTGTTTTGAAAGTTTCGGGCTTTTCGAGCTTAGGTTTGGGCCTGAGAGCTTAGGATTCGCAGGACACGCCCGACCTGTCAGTGAGCTTTCTTTTTTTCGGTGGGTTCGGGTTTAGGGCTTCGGGGCGTAGACTCCAAGCGACGGCTGCTTGCGGATCCACATGGTGTCGACATGTGTCGACTGTATGTCCGCGATGAGATGTTGAGGAGCTGTGGCACATAACCAAAAAAATCCTTATTAAGATCAAATTTAGGATTTAAGGTCCAGTGTTGGGTTGAGAGTCTAGGGTATAGACCGGCTTAGCACGTTGTCGGATTCTACTGGAAGTAAGCTCGTACTCGAAGGAACAGTCAGGCTGTGCCGGTCATGGTTTGTGTGAGTTTGCAAGCAGATATGGAGACCTTCTAATTCGGATAGGGTTTTGCGGTATATAACAAGTAGAATGTAATATGGAACCCTAAGGAATCATAAGTAGGAATCATATTAGTAGTAATTTTAAGGCTTCTAATTCTGTATGTATACATGCTTTGCAGTCCCAGGCACAGACGCTTTTCACGTACTCCGTGCTCCCCAACACCGCTCGCTGCAGCGTATAGCGAAGCACCTGAACACAAACTCTGAAGAAATCCGCAACCTAAACACTAAACTCTAAAGCACAAACCTTGATAACCTGGACCCGGTAATCACGACAGTAACTCGTAATTCAGCCGAAATTCTCATAATTCAGAAGCATGAAACTCTGGCTGTGTGGGTTCAACTTTAAGGCTTCTTTGCTTGTTTAGGGGCCTGGTTCATTGCATGGGCAACTTTAGGGTTTATGGTTTAGGGTTCTTAGCGATTCATGAGAAGCTGACTACGCCCGAGTGATAATGCGTTCTTTCCAAACTCTACCCAGAAAGCCCAATACCGCTTAATTAAGGAATGTAGCTTGAATCATAATATGAAGCCCCTCATGATTTAAGGTGTATTCCTTATTAAGGGGTATTAGGCTCTCTGGGTAAACCTGACCCCTTTACTTGCCCGGGGCCCAGGGTCGGCAGTTAAACGATGTACTCTGAGCGTCTTAGACGCTTTTCCAGGGTGGTAAGGCAATGCGACCTCAGGGTCCATGTACAGTACTCATATGGGAGTTTCCGAAAATAAGGGATACCTTATTTTGGGGTCCTTATAAGGATCCTATTATTTATGGCACTATATATTAGGGTCCCCAATTTTCGGAAGCTCCCATATAATTAGCTTAGCACAGAAACTGTACACGGACCCTTCGATGTACCCGAAACTCTAGGCCCTGAAACTCTGAACCAGAAACTTTCGCCCTGACCTCATGTGGATTTACTGGGCCTTTAAGTAACCAGGGAGAAAAAAGTCTATACTTTTATTTCATAATGGTTCCCTTAAGAAAAAATATTAAAGTATGGTACTCCAAAGCCCAGTTAGTTCACATGGGAGTTTCCGAAAATAGGGGACCCTAATATAGTACCTAAATAGTAGGATCCCTATTATAAGGACCCCAAAGTAAGGTACCCCTAATTTTCGGAAACTCCCATATGGATTTAGTGTAGGGAGACGCAGGGTCAGTGTCCGATACGTGCGAACTTGAGTCCTGTCATACCCTTACCCCTAATCTCCAAAGCCTAAACCCCCTAAGCCCGTGCAGGTCTTGCTTGGAACTCGAAGCCTGGGCCCTATACCTGCCAAAGCAAAATCTGAAGCAAAACCCACAAACACAGAAGCGGCTCTATGCCGGGGAGCATATGCCAGCGCCACAGGGGGCCCATCGTCCGCCCCCTCAGAGTCGAAAGTTTACGGATCAGGGTTGAGGGTTTGCGGGGTGTGGGGGGTGGGGAAAGCTTGACTGCCTCTCCAACAAATGGACATGATTCGTTTCATGCCGTGGGTGTTGAAGCAGTTCTTCGGATTGAGGTTGTACTGATTGTGCTGCGTGACAGTGTAGTTGTGGCTGTACTTCTGAGTGTGACTGTGGTTCGGCGGCACTTTACTTATCGAAATGAAACTCCGGTACCAGCAACTGGCAAAAATGACAGATTGCACAGAAAGTCCAGTCGATGTTCATCACCAAAAGCACTTGCTCTCGAAGACTGCCAACAAGAGCCAATGGTAGTTGATGCCATACTAAACTACATGTACAAGGAGCCCGAACCATAAGGGTTCAAGTACCTAATATTCACATACTCTCTCAAGTACTAATCGTTACTCATCTACCAGCTACTACCCTAAGCCCGGCTGCACAATCAGTGGGTCCTTCGGACTTCTGGGACTAAACCCTCAGCTCCAAAACCCTCCCTGCAGCACACACTCCAGGCACCCCGGCGGCATGGTCCAAGAGTCTCTGCACCTCAAGGCAAAGACGGGTTTGGTGTACCGGCTGAGGGTTTACCAGGAGCCCCAAGTACCCGTTAAAGGGCTCTAATACCTCTCATTAAGAAGTAATTAGGGGCTACCATAAAGGATAGTTGGGGGGTCTAGGTATGGGGCTTCGGCTAAGGGTTTATAAGGTTTCGGCTTAAGGCTTGGGGTTCAGGGTTTATTGGGCTTGGGGGTTTACGGTTTCGGGCTTCGTGTGTATAGAGTTTAGGGTTGAGGGTGTGAGGTTTAGGGCTCATAATCATAAAGTTCACCCTAAGGCTCTAAGGACTCACATGTTAAGGCTTTTGGGCCCAGAGACCATACTATATAGGGCTTTTTGGGCCATCTTGAGCCTTAGGGTAAGGGTAGCTAGGAATGAGGGCTTGCAGCTTGCCTTTTGGGTATCGGATTGTAGTCGAAGCGTCTCCACGTTCTAGACTATTCTTGGTCGGCTCTTTAAAGCGCTTGAAGAATGCTCGTCTTAGGCCCAATCAGGGAACATCTAGGATGTCCAAAACGATCCTATACAAACTAACTCCTGAACCCGAAACCTCACAACCCCCCCGAACCCGAATGCCCTTGTGACCCTTGGTTTGAGGTATCTGAAGTAGGTAGTCCCGATACCGCACACTCTTGCTCCCTAAAGCTGCAACCCCTGCACTCTAAACCCCTACACCCTAAGCCCTAAACTCTTGCTCCCTAAATCCCCCAACTCCACTGTCAGAGAACTCCCCGCCTCTGTCACAGCCGCGGGAGAGGCTTTCAGCCGTCCCTGGGCCAATGCTATTCCTACTGGGTTTAGGGTTCTTGGCGAGTCTCCTGGAGATCTGGAGATTAACCTTTGGGAGTTGAATCAAAGTTTTCAGTGTTAGGGTTTATGGGGTTGGGGCTTTAGGCTTAGGGGTTGTGGGTTTGGGGCTTACAGTACGGATTTTCAGGGTCCAGAGGGTGATTCCGATTATATAACATAGGGAAGTAGGGCAAGGTTTCAACGGTGCTTAAAATTAGGGGCTTCTTGTTTTTCAGTCCTCACAGCAAGGATGAATACCCAGTGTTCTCAGAGCGCGCAGCGGTATTGGGGGTTTCGGGATACGGGGTAAAGAGTTCTGGCTTAGGGGCTACGGCAGACAGCGACAGGGAAGGTGTTAGTGGTTTAGCTCGAAGCTTAAAGTTGAGAGCCTGAGGAGTTTGGACGGTTCCAGGCATCAGGTAGGAATGATCTAAGCGCAACGGCAAGAGCCTCCGAATCGAACGAAAAGGATCGCCCAGTCCGCAGGTCTTAGGAACCTTGAGCCCGAAACCTCAAAACCTTAATTGCACCCCCTGAGACCGAAATCCTGCCAGGCCCCTAACATACCCGGAGGCTCTATAGTAGTTCCATTTGGGGATTACCTTACCCTAAGGGTCCATGTGCCCAAATAGTATATACTTTGGGCCCAATGTACCCATATGGGGAGTACTTTAAGGCCAATGTATATACCAATTAGGTACATGGACCCTTAGGGTTATAGGATTCTCAATATTAACCCCAAAAAGGGACTACTGTGAAGCCTCTGGGTAAACTCCTAAACGAGTAAACCCAAACCCTGTTCACGCAGATCCTAAACCCTACACCCCGCACCCCAAACCCTAAATCCAAACTTGCAATGCCAGGCCTGTGAGTACCAAGGCCACATCACGTCCTGGAAGGACCCAAATACCCCGAAGAACCTTAAACATGTGATATTGATGGAAGTATATTATGAAGGGGTGTGTGGTTTCGGGGACCAGGTTCAGGATTTACGGTCTGTGATTTGGGGGTTAAGGGGCCCTCTACGGTTGCAGTATATCATGTTATGGTAATAGCTGGTCAAGGTATTTTCTTATAGCCCACGTAGCAATACGACTGACGTAGCTGTATTAACAGTCTACGTTAAAGCGTAGTATATATGAACCCCAAACAGGAACTACTTTGGGGCCTTTGGGTTCGGTTAATGGATCCAAAGCCCCCAAACCCTTTAGGGCTCAGGATGCATCAACCCTAAGCCCTAATCCCAAACCCTAAACCCTATTATGTCCTAGGTCCTAGGTACGGGGCTTTCTTGGGATACTGTGAGATCAGACCTGACAATGGGATTCCGGGATTGGGCAACCTCGCGCCCTGACCTCGCGGCCTCGCGGCCTCACGGCCTCGCGGCCTCGCGCCCTGACCTCGCGGCCTCACGCCCTCGCGGCCTCGCGCCCTGACCTCGCGGCCTCGCGGCCTCACGGCCTCACGCCCTCGCGGCCTCGCGCCCTGACCTCACGGCCGCGCGGCCTCGCTCACGCCCTCGCGGACTCGCGCCCTGACATCGCGGCCTCGCGGCCTCACGCCCTCGCGGCCTCGCGCCCTGACCTCGCGGCCTCACGGCCTCACGCCCGCACGCCCTCACGGCCGCGCGCCCTCACAACCTCGCGACCTCGCGGCCTCACGGCCTCACACCCTCACGGCCTCGCGCCCTCACAGCCTCGCGACCTCGCGGCCTCACGGCCTCGCGCCCTCACAGCCTGTCGTTGTTGCTGTTGTTGCTGCTGTCATTGTTATTGTAAGGGCTATTGTTATTGTAATTGTACTTGTAGTTGTTACTGTTACTGTTACTGTTACTGTGACTGTGACTGTGACTGTTACTGTTACTGTGACTGTGACTGTGACTGTGACTGTTACTGGTACTGGTACTGGTACTGTTACTGTTGTTGTTGTTGTTGTTGTTGTTGTTGTTGTTGTTGTTGTTGTTGTTGTTGTTGTTGTTGTTGTTGTTGTTGTTGTTGTTGTTGTTGTTGTTGTTGTTGTTGTTGTTGTTGTTGTTGTTGTTGTTGTTGTTGTTGTTGTTGTTGTTGTTGTTGTTGTTGTTGTTGTTGTTGTTGTTGTTGTTGTTGTTTGTTGTTGTTTGTTGTTGTTTTTTGTTGTTTGTTGTTGTTTGGTGTTGTTTGTTGGTGTTTGTTGGTGTTTGTTGTTTTTTGTTGTTGTCTGTTGTTGTTTCTTATTGTTTGTTGTTGTTTCTTGTTGTTGTTGTTTGTAGTTGTTGTTGTTGTTGTTGTTGTTGTTGTTGTTGTTGTTGTTGTTGTTGTTGTTGTTGTTGTTGTTGTTGTTGTTGTTGTTGTTGTTGTTGTTGTTGTTGTTGTTTTTTGTTGTTTTTTTGTTGTTGTTTGTTGTTATTGTTTGTTGTTGTTGTTGTTGTTGTTGTTGTTGTTGTTGTTGTTGTTGTTGTTGTTGTTGTTGTTGTTGTTGTTGTTGTTTGTTGTTGTTTGTTGTTGTTTGTTGTTGTTTGTTGTTGTTTGTTGTTGTTGTTGTTGTTGTTGTTGTTGTTGTTGTTGTTGTTGTTGTTGTTGTTGTTGTTGTTGTTGTTGTTGTTGTTGTTGTTGTTGTTATTGCTATTGCTATTGCTATTGCTATTGTTATTGCTATTGTTATTGTTATTGTTATTGCTATTGTTATTGTTGTTGAGGTTGTTGTTGTTGTTGCTGGTGGTGGTGGTGGTGGTGGTGGTGGTGGTGGTGGTGGTGGTGGTGGTGGTGGTGGTGGTGGTGGTGGTGGTGGTGGTGGTGCTCGTGTTGGTGTTGGTGTTGGGGTCGGTGTCGGTGTTGGTGTTGGTGTGGTTGTGGTTGTATTGGTTGTTGTTGTTGTGGTTGTTGATGGTGTTGGTGTGGTGTTGGTGTGGCCTCGCGGCCTCACTTCGTGGCCTCGCGCCCTCACCTGGCGGCCTCGCGCCCTCACCTCGCGGCCTCGCGACCTCACGCCCTCACCTCGCGGCCTCGCGCCCTCGCGCCCTCACCTCGCGGCCTCGCGCCCTCACCTCGCGGCCTCGCGACCTCACGCCCTCACCTCGCGGCCTCGCGCCCTCACCTCGCGGCCTCGCGACCTCACGCCCTCACCTCGCGGCCTCGCGCCCTCGCGCCCTCACCTCACGGCCTCGCGCCCTCGCGCCCTCACCTCGCGGCCTCGCGCCCTCACGCCCTCACCTCGCGGCCTCGCGACCTCACGCCCTCACCTAGCGGCCTCGCGCCCTCGCGCGCTCACCTCACGGCCTCGCGCCCTCGCGCCCTCGCGCCCTCACTTCGCGGCCTCGCGCAGCTGTTTCATTGTCAAGGCTGTTCTGGATACTGTACGGCCGAATCCCCTAGCTTACAGGGGCTGCTTTAAGAAGGTTTGCGCTGGGGTTTAGGGTTTAGGGCTTAAGCCCCCCAGGGTTCGGAGTTTAGGATTTAAGGGTTCTATATTGGGCTCTATTAAGTTCTATCCAAAGGGATCCATACATACAACTATTCTGGGATTTGGCAGACCATACTAAGGATGGGTCATTCGGGCCTATATAATTCCATAATGGCAGCATTTATGGACCCTCTGGATGTGGATTACTTAACCTACTAGAACTGTCTTCGCGGGCTTTAGAGCATGATCCTGATGCGATGAAGATAAAGTATTACAATCCGTTATATGATCAAACTCGGACTTCAGTGCAGTTCGGGCCTTATGAGTTACTTAGAACAGCAGTCCTGCGGCTTTACGTCAAAACTGACTCATAAGAATAGGGAGCAGCGTTGCTGAGCTAAGCTAGGCTCCTACAGCACCGGAGATTGAAAAAAACAAAACTTCCGTCTTATGTGTGTAGATCATCCTATCAATGCTAGACAGCTACAGACCCAAACCTCCGTCCTACGTATGTAAATCGTCCTACTAAGGCTGCTCAGCTCCTACAGAAGGATCGATATGTCGCCAAAAGCCCAGAAACTGACCTGGATGTCGATGTCCGTGTTGACGCGAGGGTTGTCCCTTGCCAAGGAAAGTTTTTCTGTGCTTTCCCTAAGCCCTTGACCCTACCCTATACAACACTCCAAAAGCCTTCTACGACATTCCGAAGGGCAACAGGCAAACAAGGGGCCGTAATATTCAGATAGACTTTTGGGTGTACATCATACCGCAATTATCGTCGGGACTGTAAGGAAGTCCTATTACCAATCATTCAAGCCTTTATCTTTCCCAAAACATGGCACATAACTATTACTATCACTGGGGTTCACATCTGAGTTGGAAGGGCAAACATCAGAAAGGTTGTAAAGGTTGTGGGTTGAGGTGTACATGTATTGGGTTTAAACCCTGAAGGCAACACCCTCCAACCGAGGGGTCCTCAGTTTGTATCTTTTGAGCTCAAAGCCCAAGTCTAAAGAGCAGGTCATTATTATTCGTGTGTTCGCATATGCATTACGGTGCGAAGTAGAATACTTTTTGTGATGACCATTGCAATTATCATTGCTATTATTGTTGCTATTGCTAATATGGCCCGTTTCAAAAATTTAGGTCCTAAACTCAAACTTGAATTCTAAAACAACATCGTCCACTGCAGATCATCGACCTTGGCTTCGACCATTACTTCTTTTGTCCGGGGCTCTCGTAACATGGGGTCTAGGGCTTTGCACGCAGGGTTGGGCCGCAATTTAGTAGACTAGTTGTTTTTTTGTTTTATTCGGAAGAGGAAGTGATATTGGAATATAACTTCTAGTTGTATGAAGGAACCCCACGGGACATTAGCGGTAACTATTTCGGCCTCTATCTTGATAGATGAGTCGATATCATTGCAGAGGCTTCACAGAACGGGCTAGCAAGTCTCAACTGACAGGTATGAAATAAACTACACCACGAGGATTTCCCTATGGGTCCGTATAACTAGGATGCCCGGTAACCTAGGAATCGAAAGGGCTCCCTTTTTGGTATTGGGCAACTTTAGAAGGACCCTAGGACTACAGAAAGGGAACAAGGGTACTACTGGGCATCCTAGATAACTGTCTAATCTAGGTTGCTTGGTAAACCCTTAAAAAAAAGGGTACCCCTGTTTCCTGATACTCAGTTTCAACAAGGAGACAAGGAGACCCAAACTAAAACGGGCAATAGGTGACTGCTCAGGAACCAAGTAGTATCTACTCTAATTAGCGTGTCGATGGACGTTAAGAGACGAGGGAGGCAAGGATTTGGGAGGCATCGACCCCGCCGAACAGATCTGAGCTGCTGCATGTGTACTTGAGGGCCTTGCGGGATACTGTCCTAAGGGTTTAGGATTTAAGGGCTTAGGATTTACAAGTTTCGATTTTGCTGTTTAGAGCTTGGTGCCTGAGATACTGCTGCTTCGCCGAGTTGTTGTAGTTCTGGATCTGCGAAGCTGGTGACTCGAACAGCTGCAGTGCCACATACCTTTCTCAAGGTCGACGAATTCAGCTTCCGGGGTTGTTAGGGACTATCCCTAAGGCCTTCGCCCGGGATTCGGAGACTGGGGCTTGAGATGGTTGAGGTTTTGACGCAGCGTGGCATCGCTGTGAGTATGAAGTTTTGAATGTTTAGGGCCTGAATTTGAGTTGAAGGGGCGTTGGGGTCGGATTCATCTCGTAAGGCGCGGTGTAGATGTATCCGAGGCAGCTTTGTTTGGGCTCAGGCTCAGGGCATCCGGCATCAACAGTCCAGTGCACATGCCATGGGAGGACCTTTCTTGTTGCAGGTGTGGTATTTCCCTACCTGCAAGTACCTGGGGGTTGTTACGATATCAGGCCCCCCCAAACCCCAGGATAACTAAAGGCTTCAACACATCAGAAAAATCAGCACGCAGGCTTATAACAAACAGCAAGTGGGCATCCTTGGACCAAAGTTGGAACCCGAAACCCCAAACCCTTCAACCCAAAGCCCCTCTCCCTTAGGAACCCTAAACCCAAGCCCTGAAACCCAAAGCCCTGAACCCCTAAACCCTAAACCCAAACCCTTCAACCCAACCTTCAACCGGACCCCAGCATGCCTGCAAAGTTCTCTCTCGTGTGCCACTCCTCGCGCAAAGAGGCGCTTGAGAAATCCCAAAAACCCAGTTACCCATGCATTTGAGCACCGTCCTTTGTCAGGCCATAGTACAGAAATGTCAAGAATAACGTTCTAAGCCTCTAAGCCGTCATTGAACCTTAAAGCGGTGAATCCATTATACGAGTGAGTTGGGCTTCCTGATTGCAGAAGGATAAAAGGTCTGGTTGGGAAGCTGCGAAACAGGTGAAGTCCCCAGAGAGTGCCTTGCAGACTTTCGAGGTACTTGAAGGCTCATGGGACTTAGTAAGTAAGGTTATAAGTAGGTTCTAAGTAGAATAACCCCACTTAGGGGACTTATAACCCCAATGATAACCTACTTACTAAGTCCCATGATCCTCTAAGTAGCCATGGGTTTCAATGACATGACACCAGGTATGTTGAGAAGTGCCAAGAATATGATTATCAGCTAACCGAGCTCTCGAGTACACATTTCGAGAGAATGCACCCTTACATGGAGCCCTACTAGTACAGGGCCTCACAGCAAGTTGCATCGATGTCGCGACCTTTCTACCGCTTCGAGTCTTAAAGTCTTAAAGTTCAAGGCAGGCCCACTGTCCTCGACCAGTCGGTAACAGGCTAGCTTAAACTTCCTCTGTAAGCTGCCCAGCAGACATAACCCGAACATCTATGTATGCTAACTTCAAAGGGCGGAGTTGCAAAGCCGTGGGTGCCTGCGGCCTGCGTATGTGTGTACTGTGGGTTGCAAAAGACATTGAAACGTTGATGTTGATCTGCCTACCCTTATAAGGGTCCATGTTCACAGACACATAATTTCGTCTTCAAGTAGTTCCTGTGTATGTATGTATATACATATACACATACTGCATAGGCACATGGGCTCCTGCGGCATGTTGTTGCGCCTGTACATGCGTAGCCCTAAACTTCTCTCCCAGCCCACGGACCAAAAAACCTCTAACCACAATCAGCCCTAAACCCACCAAACAACCCTTAATCCTAAGAGCTCGAAGAACATGCGAAACACATTTTAAACATCCAGACAATTACTAACACCCTACCTTCTTCCAATAAATACCTCGAATCGGCGGCAACACCTTGACCACCCCCGGACAACTCTACCTGGTGATCAGAATAAAACATAACTCCTAGGAGCGCTGACCCGAAGGATCAAAGTACCTGTATAGTAGAATGCACGGCTTCCTTTTTGGATTTACTATTATGACTTAGGGAGGTATCCCCACAATTATGGCACCTAAATTAAACCCAAAACCCCAAACCAAATACCCCCAAACCCTACACCCGATAACCCCTAAACCCTACATCCTACAGATCCCTTAGAGGAACCCCTAGAGTACCCTTTAAAGGACCCTAAACCCTAAACCCCTAAACCCTAAAGATACCTTCAAGGAGCCCTTATAGACCCCTTTAAACCCTTTCAAGGAACCCCTAGAGTGCCCTTTAGAGGATCCTTTTTTGGTCCAAGACCCTACACCCCCACACCCGACAGATCCCTTAAAGGAGCCCTGTAGTACCCTTACCTTGTTTGGTCCAAGGTAGGTCCGAGCATCCGTAGCAGGCGCTGGCCACCGTCAGCTCGAGGCTCAGCGTCGCCTCGTCGATCAGGACCTGGGCTTTTCAGAGGGTTATAGGGTTTATTGGGTTTAGGGTGTAGAGTTTAGAGGGTTATAGGGTTTAGGGTACTATTCTGTATATATTTGGGTTTATAGGGTTATATGATTATAGGGTTTTAAGTGTGTTTAGGGTTTAGGGTTATAGGGTTTTAATCGGACCAGGGATTTCAGAGGATCATAAGGGCCTTAATAGTTAGAATAGTTATAGCGTTATAGGGTTACTATAAGGTGTCTATAAGGGTTCCCTTAAGGGTTTCTACAAGGGAATTTCAAAGGGTTACAGGGATATCGGGTGTAGGGTTTATAGGGTTTTAGGGTTTAGGGTTTTTAGGGTTTAGGGTTTGGACCTGGGATTTTCAGAGGGTTATAAGGGCCTTAATAGTTAGCATAGGGCTTGGGGTTCCTCTAAAGGGATCTATAAGGGTTCCTTTCAGGGTTTCTACAAGGGATTTTCAGAGGGTTATAGGTTTATAGGGTTTAGGGTGTGGGGCTTATAGGCTTTAGGTTTCAGGGTTTGTAGGGTTATAGTTATAGGGTTTAAGGTTTTTCGTTTATAGGGGTTTATAGGGTTGACCTGACAGAAATCGCATAAAATGTAGGGTTCCTTGAAAGGGGTCTATAAGGGTTACTATAAGGGATCTATAAGGGTTCCTTTAAGGGTTTCTACAAGGGATCTATAGGGTTACATATAGAGTTATAGGGTTTGGGGTTTATAAGGCTTACAGGGTTTTTAGGGCTTGCAGGATTTATAGGGTTTATGTAAGTTTATGTGTTCATGGCGAAAGTTTTGAGGCTCGCGGGCTAGATTAGGGTAGGGTTTTCTGGGTGAGTGCATTCGACAGCTATGGGCTTCAGGTGGTTAGAAAGCTAGTGAGCATGCAGCATGCAAGCAACACTCCAAGCCAAATGTGCAAACTGTAAGCATGCAGCAAGCCGCACTTATCCTGCTTTCCTGCAATGAGGGCTATCAAGGGGCATTTGGTCCTTACAGCGTGATGGCGCATTCATCAAGGTCGTACTTGGTAAAACATGATCTGAGCCCATAGAGCAAGCGTACAACACCCTCTTCAAACATGGAATCCCATACCCTGAAGCCAAACAAGCCCCTTTCAGTACCAGATCGCTCTGTCGAGCTGCAAGATCACACCATGACCCGGGACGGGTTTAGGGATTTAGGGGTTTAGGGGTTTGGGGGTCAAACATCTGAAGTTTCTGCTCTGAACCCCAAAGGCGCAGACGCTGTACCTGCAAGCCCCACGACGCTAAGAGCAGGAAGCCCCAACAGCATTCTGATTGCACATGAGCCTCGAAGATTCAAGGCGAATCCTCCTTTAAGAGGGACTGGCTCGGCTTAATTTCGACCTTTTGGGGTTTAGGGTTTAGAAGAATTCTCGGGAGTTGATTTACGTAGTTTAGACTTTCATACCCGACGTCTTCCAAGACCCGCGCCCAGCTGAAACCCAAGGCCATGACTCGCCCTGGTCACTCCGAGTCTCTGAAGGTTAAGCCCAGAGACTCCAGTATCCCTTAATTAAGGAATATACCTGAAATCATATTTGGGGTCCTACTAAGACTTACAGTAGAAGCCAGAAATGTGGAATATGATTATCCTAACCCTTCTATGGTAAATTACAGGGTATCCTACCATGAAACCATATTCCAACTTTCTGGAGTTCCCTATAAGGGTATATTTTTTTAACTAAGGGATATTGGAGACTCGGAGGGTGAGGGTTTTCGGGTGTTGCGGCTTGGGGTGCTTTAGATTTGACGATCTTTGGGTGTACTATAGGGGCCTAAGCCTTAAAAATGTGATATATGATATTACAGTATCATGGGCCCCAATCCCGAACTCTAATTATTAAGGCCCCTATTGTTGCTCATCGAAGTGGCGGTGTTCGGAAAGGGCGAGAAGGGAGAGAAGACGATGATGGGCATGAGGATGACCAGAACCACCTCAAAAGTTCGTGAAAACTCAAGTAAAAATAGGGGCCTTCATAGGGGTTCCCTTCAAAGGATCCTTAAGAAGAGTCCTATAAGGGATTATGGGGTTCAATGTAGGCCAACTCACGTACTTCGAGGGTCGGGGGGGCTTAGTAAGTAGGTTCTAAGTAGACTTATAAGTGCCTTAAAAGGGACCCTAATTGGGGTTATGGTACTTATAAGTCTCTAAAATGGCTACATACTAAGTTCCCCGACCCTCCAAGTAATACAGAGGCCTCAATGAGGGTCCCTGTCAAGGGATCCTTAAGAAGGGTCCTGTAAGGGTTACTATAGAGGGTATTATGGGGTTTAATGGGGACCTTAATAATTAGAATAGGGTTTGGGGGTATGTTATACTATAGTTATAAGAAGGAGTCGCCAAAATAGTATAGGTAAATATTACGGCCACGCTACTCTACTGTCGGCTCGTCATTGAAGGCAGCAACAAACGTCTCGTGGAGCTCTCTAAAACCACCAAATGGGCAGATCTCAACAAAACCTCTGAAAACCTGATGTAATACATGGAATACAAAGCTAGAACGATGCGTTGTCGTTTCAGCGCTGCTTGATTTGTCGTGCTAGTCGTAGGAGTAGTGAAGATATTTTATGGGGAAATATCAGTTGCAAGCAAATGGCCTACAGATCCTACAGAAGCAAGGTCGGACAGTTGCTTGCGGGGTATTGCACTGGCTTTCCGAGGCTTGATACGGGTGCATGGCTGCAGCTTACACTGGGTTCTCTCTTCGTTGTTAAGGAATCTCTAGTTTTGAGTTACCACAACGACGAAACCATACTATCTACCATAGAACTCTGTTAAGGTAACTTATAATTAGATTCAACTCCTGAGAACCCCTAGAGGCTTGGGGAACTTACCAAGCGATGCAGCGATGCAGGGTCCTCCGAGTTCCTGCAAAGCATTACATTACACTATTTTTTCGTGCAAGGCTCAAGGTCTACTGCTTACGACTTTGGAGTTCAGGGTTCAACAGTCAAGGGCTCAGGGTCTGATATGTGGGAGTTTCCGGATATAGGGACCCTAATATAGAACCCTAAATAGTAGAATCCTTATTTATAAGAACCCCAAAATAAGGTACCCCCCCCAACTTTCGGAAACTCCCATGTAGAAACGGAACCCCGAAATCCCCGCCTCTGAGGCCGAAGGTAACTGCCCCGTTGAGGTTCCAGCTTAGGCAACTACCAGCACTATAAGATACTATAAGTGACGCTAGTTTAAGGTTAAGCACATCCTCAGACTAAGCCCCAAACCCTAACCCATCACTCTTCTTGGGGTCTTCACGCCTATATCCTCTAGCAGAGTTCTCAGGGCCCTTACCGAAGACTTTAGCTTCAAGTTTAAGGCTTCGGTTTAGGGTTTAGGACATACCTTAATAACCTACCTTTTTGGGGCTCCTTATTACAAGTTCCGCTTATATAAGTCCTTAAAACGGTAGGTTATTCCGGATTAAGGTAGGGCTGAGTTCAGGGTTTAGGGTTTTCGGCACCATCGTATACTAAACCTTCCGACGTTTGTGTTTGAACCCGAAACCTCGTCTACAGAGAGCCCAATACCCCTTCATTAAGGAATAAACCTTAAATTATAATATGAAGCCCCTAATAATGTAAGGTATATTCCTTAATTAAGGGGTATTGGGCTCTCTGGGTCTACAGCAGGTTGCAGTCCCGAGGGACTAGGCACAGGATCGCCCAACCGCTGTAGATCTTCTCCTGAGGCGTGCGGGATTCGATTTCAGCATTCAGGGTTTAAGGCTGTACTGTCTCGGGGCTGCCTTACTGCGCGGGTTTAGGGAAAATCTCGGAAGCGATCTAGAGTCTAGATTTTGGGGGGGGTGGAGGTAGTGCCTGTATCGGGGTGTAAGGTGTAGGAAAACTTAGGATTTCGGGGGGGGGGGGGTGGAGATACAGAACGTAGCTTCGGACACTCAGGTTATGCTCTTAGGTTGGCTCTTGTTCGCGATCTTCTTACTACCAGCATTGTGCCAGACTTCCCCAAAGGGTCCTATGTACTGTTCTGGGGGATACTTCCCTAAGTCATATATAATAGCAAGTCCCAATATGGAAACCCTACATTCTATTACAAACCCTAATTTTCGGAAACTCTCATGTCTACTCTGCAGGCGGTACGCTCCCGCGTGAGATTTCCAGGCTGCCCTGACTCCTTCTGCGACCCCCCCCGACCACTTGACGGACTCAATCCAAGGCTCTACACTATCGGGGCCTAAACGATTAGAAGAGGCCGTGGGATGATACTATCATATGTGTGTATATATATATATAATATGTATATGCATCTCTCTCTCTCTCTCTCTCTATATATATATATATATATATTATGTGTGTATATATATACATACATACATACATACATACATACATACATACATACGCACATGTATGTAGATATGTCAGGACCAGAAGCATATAGAGCTTTTCCTTATTTAGACTTTCAGATGAGCCGGCTGAAACTGCTGGCAAAAGGCGAGGGGATCTCGCTCTTCGGCATAGTACGACTGGCTCCGAACGAACATGACATGCCTGACAGGTTCTGGGTTTGAAGACCTAAAGACTCCAAAATAGGTTTGGGGTTTAGGGTCTCAGGGTAATCTGCATTGTACCTGAAGTTCGGGATCTAGTTGTTTATAGCTCTATGGAGACAATAAGGCGATCTATCTCGAAATAACTCCGGCCCCCTGCTACCCTAACTTCTAGAGGGATCATGGAGTGAAACCACTGCAACCTTACCTACTCAGTGCCCATGACCCTCCAACTAGTTCTACTTCCTTATGGCCCCGATATCATCACCGTATACCAGGTTGCATCTCGACTCGAATCATTCGTCCCTCGGACTCTCGGGCTTTGCCTTCATTGACGACCTAAGGTGACCTAATGTACAAAAGCGAGTTTTGCGGTTGTAGGCTGTTTAGGGTTTTAGGTGTAGGAGTACAGGTGTGCGTGTGCGGTTAGGGTTCCAGGTCTGTTTATGGTTTGGGATTAGGGTTTTTGGGGTGTCCCTAAACCCTAAAACAAAAAACCCTTAACCAAGGGCATCAGGTTGCTTCAAAGTGGGGTGTGTTGGCTGCGAGAGCCTTGTTTGTAATAGTACAGGTTACTACGAGACGTACCCGCGAGGGAAGCCCGCAGCATTATTGTCCGGGGTACCCAGAGCCTCCCCAGTAGTTGCTTTCAGGGGGGTCATATTTAGAATCCTATAATAAGGTAATCCCAAAATGGAACTACTATGGAGCCTCCGGGTAGGTACAGCTTTTCCAAGATCACGTAAAACCGACTCAGGACTCTGAGATCTCGTGCTGAGAGCTTGTAAGAACCCTGAACCTGCTTATTATCTGTTGAAAACTACCCTGATTGCCTACCAATTCTAGCATTCTGAAACCTTAAAAAGTGAAGCCCTAGACCCTCAACAACTAGTCACAACTATGACCGGTGCCCTCGCAAGAACAAACCCAAGGTCCCTATGCAGCGTCTTTAGTCCAACCTGGACCGATAGAAGGCCGTATGCGCGTCTTCGACTTTCCTTTAAAGCAGGCATAGGATTCGGGGCTTGTGGTTTTGCGTTTTGGCTTTCGGGTTTAACTTTAGAGCTTGGGTCCAGAGTTTAGGCTTGCCGGGTGTAGAGTTTAAGGTTGAAGATCTTATACGTAAGGTTTAGAAGTTCGAGTTATTTCGAGCCTCGGGTTCCCAGAGAGCCCAAGCATTACAGGTGTGGGCTCTCGTTTAGGGCTAAAACGGTTTAGGGTTTGGGGCATCAGCAGCGTCACGAATCACCGTTCGCGACAAGTGCCCAAATATCATTGTATTCTGGGAGTTTAAGTAACCCCAAAATCCGAAAACACTACAATTTGCTGGGGCTTCTCATGGGGATTTCCTGATGCACTTGTGTAAGTAAGGTCGGTTTTGGGGTTTAGAGTTTGGGAATCCCTACACCAAAAAACCCTAATCCCCTGCAGCCCTCAACCGTAAACCCCTAAACTTTAAGCCCGAATCCCCAAAACAATCAATCCCCTAAACCCCTAAACTTTAAACCCTCAACCCTTAAACTTAAATTCCCACTAAACTTTAAACCCTCAACCCTTACACTTAAATTCCCACTAAACTTTAAACCCTCAACCCTTAAACTTAAATTCCCAAACCCTAAACCACCAAACCGACTGTTGGGGCTCACCATAACACAGTAAGCCCCATCAAGTTGGAAACCGGGTTAAGGCCAAATAGTGCTGGGATCCCCTATGCACTACTCTTACCCTAAGGCTCTAAGGACTCATATGTTAAGGCTTTTGGGCCCAAAGACCATAATATGTCAGGTTTTTGGGCTATTTCGAGCCTTAGGGTTAAGGACTGAGGCCATGGGGATTCCATCTTTGGGCTTCTACTGTAGGAAGGAGCTCGGGGTGAGGAGCCCCAGAGCTGAAAGATGTGGGGTCTCGATTGGGGATTAGTTACCTTAGCCTACAAAATCCATACTTTTTTGTGGGTTCTTATTATAAACCCGAATATGGAGTTTATAGGGACCCTACAAAGAAGTAGGGTTTGGTAGGTTAAGGTAGGGGATTTGAATTTAGAGTTTAAACTTTAGAGCGAGTTTAAGGGTTTAGAGTATAGAGTTCAGGTTTCAGAGTCTTGGGGTTTATGGTTTAGGGGTCAGGGTTTAGGGGTTTGCGCCCTGTCACCTTTTGAATGCTTACGGGCGGTTCCAAGACAGATTCCTGCTCCATTCGCACCGCATGCATGCTGCCCACTGCAGCCAAAGCGCCAGTACATCCACAGATCCAGGCTCGTGGGGGCCTGGGTTCAGGGTTCAGGGTTTGGGATCTTTAGGATGTAGTTCAGTCCTTTTGATTGCCAACACCAATCGCGTTGGCGACAGAAGAAAGTCACACGAAATCGTTTCACGAGAAAAGAAAATGAATGAACCACTGCATGGTCCGAAGAACTTCTTTACGGACTTTGAGTGTAGGGCACCCTAAACCCTAAACCCTAAACTCTAAACCCTAAACCCTAAACCCTAAACTCTAAACCCTAAACTCTAAACCCTAAACCCTAAACCCTAAACTCTAACCGTATGGCACCCGATCCGATTATCGAAGACATGGGGGTTCATATCAGGAACCCGAATACAATAGGAGCCCAAAAGATGGAATCCCCATGGCCTCAGTCCTTAAGAGTAATGTATAGGGAACCTGAGCACTATTTGGCCCTAATCCGGTTTCCAACTTTATGGGGTTTCCTATAAAAGCCGAAGGTTTCTGAATCAGGTTCCTACATTACAGATCTTGCTGGCATCCCTACACCCTAAACCCTAAACCCTACAGATCTTGCTGGCATGCCTCGGCCATCGCGAAGCATCCCTGTGTTTTTGCGGATTCGGGCTTGCATCTCTAAACCACACATGCAGCGCCTCCAACAGCATCTTAAGTCCTAAACCGCAAAATGCATTCCCGATATGGGAGTTTCCGAAAATATGGGACATAATATAGTACCCCCAATTTGCAGGATCCTTATTATTATAAGGACCACTCCCGCGACCCCCTCACCAAAACAAAGGTACCCATTATTTTCGGAAACCCCCATATCACTTTTTAACCCCATGCTTCCAAGGACCTTATAGTAAGGGCCCTAGGGCACTCAAGGACCCAATAATAAGGTCCCTGGAAGAGTTGGGTAACAAACCCAAACTCTATCCCATGCCAAACAGGGAGGCAGTCCCTGAGCCTGCTCTTGAGCCCCGCACCACGGTCCAGTCGACAATGATGCGGATGTCGTCCACAAACGGCATGTTGTAGTGGATCATGAAAGCGAAGTAGCGGATCTTTTCCTCATGGCGTTTACACTGACACTGAACTACATAACCCCGGTGAAATGTGAACCCGTCGCCATGGAGGCTTATTGACAGCTGGCAGAGGCTGATGTCGCTTACTGTAGGGGCCTTAATGATTAGAATGGGGTTTCATGGCGCTCCTTAGACAAATTATAGTATGATCATGATATACCCCAAACCCCTGTTCTAATGATTAAGGCCCCTGTTTCTGGGCTTGGGTTTCCAGCTCAAAGGAGTTAGCACGAAACAAAGGGCGTCTTTTGCCTCAACGCTTCCGACCACTGGAGGTATAAAGTGTGGCTTATGCATCTTGAGATACTGTCAGCCAAGAAAGCCCAGAGATTAGTTCATGAAAGCCGTGTTGCAGCCAGAAGCGTGAATGAACACTACTACTTGCTCCCAGCTCGTAGTTCCTGCAACTATGTAAAGTCGGCCTGCATTGATAAGGCTGCAGAGTATACACCGGCAAAATCAAGTAGATACTCTTCCTCGATAATTTCGCACATTGTGAGAACAAAATGGGCAGGTCAGGGTTCCTTCTTTGCACTGCGGGGCTAAGTTTCTTATATGGCATCTTGCTGTACGGATCCAACGGAGGGTTTTCCAAAACTGTGGCAGCTGATGGCTCCTTCTTGCGAGTTTTTTAAACTAAGGACCTTCAGATTTCGCCTTATGTCTAGGTTCCCCAGAAGTCTGCGAATAAAAATAATAATAATACTAATAATACGGATACACTTGTTCCGGCCTACTGTATAGTTTTGACAAGTGAATCCAAAAAGAGAATGGGCAAATGTGTACTACTGGAAACCTAAACGTACGCCAGTAGCCTGCTAGACGTACTTTTCAAGAGCGGCCTCGTTGTAGGTTTGCGCGTTCACGGCTCAGGTCCGGTAGAAAATCGGCCAAGCTTCGCTTATGATGGAACTCGCAGAGAAGAGAGATGATGTCCTGAGTGGGTTCAGGGTTTAGGGGTTTCGGGTTTACGGGGCGGTAGCGACAACGTAGGGGTTGCACCGTATGGTCTCCCATAATCAGGATCTGCTACTTAGGTCTCTTTTGGGCTTCCTCGTTTTCTGAATCCCCATGTGGGCTGTCATGTGCCGGGCATGATCTCCAGTACTCTCGAATCCTAAAACTCACAGCCTCAACAAGCAGACATGACCCATCGGTTCCGAAGGCCTCTAAACACCTGTTTGCAATCCTGCGGGGTGTCACAACCGAAACGTCTCGAAGGTAACAAGCACGCATCCCAGCCGGGTCATGGCCGCTGCAACGACCCACCGCTACCCCGCCAACCCCTACGTGCTCCTCCTGAGCTCTACAGGCCCACCCTCTGGACCAATCTTCTTGTGGCATTCCCGAAGAACCGAAGAGCCCACGACTCCTTCCAGAAAGCCGCTGAAAAACAAGCATTTGGGTTCTCAGAGATCCAGGTTTAGTTCGCATACAGGCTCTCATAATTTTTGTGGTCGTGTGTGTCATGTACCTGTGGAGGCAATGCAGAAAGACTCCGGTGCTCAACTGACGTAATTAGCACCCTTCTCCGGCATTGCCGTGCTTGTAACGCTAGATACACTTCTGGTCTCCTATGGTCTCCTGGTACAAGCAGGTACAATTCGGACCTATCTGCAACAGACAGGTGACTTGATTCATGACCTGTTTGTTGGAGTTCTCCTGCCGCTTGAGACACTGGTAAACTTGGGGTGCATGGCAAACCCCAGGCCCGAGAACCCCAAACCGAAACCCTGACTTATGCTGCCACTGTGCTACAAGTAACACGGGATCCAAACCCCGTAAACCCTAAACCCTAAACCCTTACGTAAACCCTAAACGGGTCAAAGAGCAAACCAAAAAATCAATTCTCTCAGCCCCGAAACCTTCGAGATTGAAAGTTTCGTTGTAGGTGTTTTACAATAATTGGGCGATGCCAAGGCCTCTGAGGCTGCAGCCTCCAAGTTCCGCGATTTGGTTTAGGATTTGAGATGCAGGGCTTTCGGCTTAAGGGTCAGGCTTTAATCCCGGGCTCATATGGCCGCGTCCAGTCACACCCCGACTTGCGAAAACAAAAAGGAGATTGAAACCTAGGATACCCAGTAACCTAAGAATAAAAAGGCCTCTCTTTTTGGTATTGGGTAACTTTATAAGGAACCTAGGACTACAAAAAGAAAATCAGGGTACTGCTGGGCATCCTAGAAACATAGCAACTTCGACCGGACTTCTACTGGAGTTGCTGTCTCTGAAATCACCGTTGCGCAAGTACCTCCATTATCTTAAATATTCAACCCCGTCCAGTGCGGCCGGCTTGCTTGGGCCGAAGGGAATCGTTGCTCAACGACGGCAGTGAGTGCTTTACTTGCAGCATGCAGATGATCAGGTAGAGCATCCCACCTGTAGTTGGCGGTGTTCTTATTCCTAATGTGTAGCGTTCGAGGTTCATGTTCAAAGCCTATATTGTGCACGGTCTCGGGATGCCGCTTGGATTCGGACCCTGTGCCTTACGCTGGCCTGAATATCCGTGTTCCGTCTTCCTTTGCATTTACTGCTGCTGCCGCTGCTTGTGGTTCGGTTGGTTGCTTAAGATGTGGGCCAGTTTGGGCCGTGCAACTTTCGGCGCCGCGCATGAACAGCTTTTGGTGCTTGAACTATTTGGTGTGCAACGCCGGTCTGGAAACAAAAAGGTACATGCCCGTGAATCCCAGTAGTTCACCGGCATGCTCAGGTGGTTAAGGAACCCTTGAGGTGAGTGACGATTCTCGAACCGGCAAACAAGCTCAAGGATTCGAGTCCGACCCGTGACCACGATCTCCAAGATCAGAACGACAATGAAACACTACGCCCTAAACCTTAAGCCCTACGCCCCTAAGGCCGGCGAAGGAGCCAGCAAGTGGATCAAGCCGAGGGTGGTTTGGGATTACGGTTTTGGGTTTCAGGTTTAGGATTTCGGGCGATTTCGCCCGGGCGACGACAAGCCGCAGGCACTACACTGCAAAACCTTGCACGACGTAGCCCGAAACCCTACGTACGGGAGACCCATAAAACCGCCTTCGGAAGTGGGGAAAGAAGTGCATGCGGCAAGGGCAAGGGCAAGTCAGCTAGGAGAAACCCTAAGCGCCCAAGTACTCCTCCTTATCATAAACGAACTTTGGAGGCCTTTTCGGGAAACAGAAACCATGAACAAGGACTACTTGGACCTTTAAGGAAGCATCAGATCAATTTCGGTTCATGGCAGACACGAGGCTTCGCGCAACATGACGAGGGTGCACGGTTGCTATGAGTGTGCAATTGTTCGGCGCACACCGTGGGCCTGAAGCTGTTACTGTTATCTTTGTCATTTGTTGGCGAAGTGCATCCCCCCAACTAGAAGCATCAATCTCCAAAGCAGGGCTACTCTCTTGCTTTCAGGTCGAACTCCTCCATTGATAATTCAACAATCCTAGAACCTGAAACCCTGGCAAACGCTGAAACTCTCTAGGTTCTTGTGATCATCGGGGTTTGGCGCGCTGGTCATGGCAAAGCCCTCAAAGAATGAACAGACAAAAATCACCAGTAAAGACAGTCTGCATGGCGATCCACGATGTTCACTAGGCGGATCGGGTTTTCTCAGAGATTCAGCTTCAGCCTAAAGCTACAATCTAAATCCCTAGCGAAAGCGTCAGGCCTGAGCCATTGTTTGCCTAGACGCCCTAGCAGCAGGGACCCCGGTTTGGGATTAAGTCCATAGGTGAACGACCCAGAAAAGAACGAACCCTAAACCATGACCCCTCAAAACCGAAAGCTCGGGCAATTCTATGCGAACTCGGGTAGGCCTTGCGGCCTTGGAAATGGCAATGGGGCTCAATCCCAAAGCCCAATAAACACCCCTAAACCCTACTGGGATCTTTTTCATGGGCGAACACCCCCGCACGCCGAACCCAGAAAGTCCATCCACCGCATGCAGGGCTTGATTTCTCGAAGGTAGTTTTAAGTTGTGTGTTAGCACCTTATGCAGTTTGAGCTTTCAACCAAGGCATCATCTCGCACTTGAACTTCCGATGAACCCTGATACCCTGAACGCTCACAACCCGAAGCCCTGCTATGCTTATGAGCCGCAGGCCAAATCCAGTCGTCTTACACGAACATGTGGCTTCTGGAACCCCTAAACAACACAGGCGCTTGACATAAGCGTTCTCAGCTCCCCATTGCCAGGCTGAGGATGCAAAACTACAAGCCGAATTCCTGCACGAACTCCTTCAGATAAGGGAGTTTCCGAAAGTAGGGGACTCTAATATACTACCCTAAACAGTAGGATCCTTATCATAAGGAACCCCGAATAAGGTACCCCTAATTTTCGGAAACTCACATACCTGTTCAGGGTCTTGGGTCTTGGGCCTGATGAGCAACTGTCAGAAACTTGTAAAATAGAGGCCAATTATCAGGTAAGGCGGCATGTAGGAGTTTCCGAAAATTAGGGGTACCTTATTTGGGGATCCCTATAATAAGGATCCTACTACTTAGGGTACGATATTGGGGTCCCCTATTTTCGGAAACTCTCATGTAGTGGACCCTAAACCCTAAGCCTAAACCCTATAAGAAGCCTGCTATCTGCTCAGGCAACAGATCTAGTAGACTCCTAAACCCTAAACTCCCTACACCCTATATGAAGCCTTTTTCAGGTCAGGCGGCATGTAGCAGATCCCTAGACCCTAAAGCCCATGAGAAGCCTCTTATCAGGTCACGCGGAAGATGTAATAGACCCTCAGCCCTGAGCCCCAAACCCTAAACCCGAAACCCGAGGCCCTGAAGCCCAAACCCCGAACCCGAACCCGAAAACCTAAACCCTAAACCGCAAACCCTGAACCTAAAACCCAAGGACCTGAAGCCTAAACACGTCAAGCGGCAGATGTAGTAGGTTAAAGCCCAATCCCTAAAACCGAAACCCTAGGCCCTCAACCCATGTCAAGTGGCAGATGTCGTAGGTAAAGCCCAAACCCTACACCCTAAACCTAAACAACAGAACCCTATAATACCCTCTAGATCCCTTTAAAGGGACGCCTAAACCCCTAAACCCTATACTACCCTCTAGATCCCTGTAAATGAACCCCTAAACCCTATAATACCCTCTAGATCCCGTTAAAGGGACCCCTAGCCTGAACCGACGTCAAGCGGCAGATGTAGTAGGTAAAGCCCCATTCATGATACCCTTATAGTAACCTTATGGATCCCTTGAAAGGAACCCCTATAGATCCCTTTAAGGGAACCCTAAACCCGAAACCCCTAGACCCCTGAACCGACGTCAAGCGGCAGATGTAGTAGATACACAGCTCGAAGTCGCTAGCCAGCGAGATTGTGGCTTCCCGGGCATTCACAGAAGTCCACAAGATCCTTTGGGTTAGAGGGTTTAGGTTTTAGGGTTTAGGCTTTAGGGTTTGATTAGGGTTTAGGGTTCAGGGATTTTTCTTTAGGGTGTGATTAGGGTTTAGGGTTTAGGCTCTAGGGTTTGATTAGGGTTTAGGGTTCAGGGATTTTTCTTTAGGGTGTGATTAGGGTTTAGGGTTTTGGCTTTAGGGTTTCATTAGGGTTTAGGATTTAGGGTTTAGGCTTTAGGGTTTGATTACGGGATGTGACTTCAAGAGAGCTCAAGAGAGCATAAATGGCCTCCTTTGCTGTTCCTGTCGCCCATGGAGCGAAGTCCCCTACAGGCCTCTTCATCCCGAAGGCTGTGCGCCTGCGTCCCAGTTTGGGTACGCAGCACCAGATCAGCAAATCTTGCTTTTCCGAAGCAGGCAACCCTTCTATTGCCTCTGGGAGATTGGTGCCGCCTTGTTTTTGTTGTTGTATGATGTTCCCCACGACACGAGTCAGGACTTCTTTGTTCTCCTTCACTAGCTGGGAAATAACTGCCTTGCCCAAGTCGCTCTCAAACTGTTGCTTGACTCTCTCGATGTCTTGAGCTCTGTCATCTCCCGCTTCGACATGCCTCTTCCACTTCTCAGTGGCATCATCGGCCTTTGCTTGTGCAGCCATGATGCAAAGGATTTAGGGTTTAGGCTTTAGGGTTTGACTCGGGTTTAGGGTTTAGGGTTTTTCTTTAGGGTTTGATTAGGGCTTAGGGATTAGGCTTTAGGGTTTGATTAGGGTTTAGGGTTCAGGGGTTTAGGGGTTTAAGTTTAGAGTTTAGGGTTTCAGAGTTGAGGGCCACTTCCTTGCATAAGAAACATAGAGTAGCTAGCCGATATGGAGCTGTTCTATGATAGTTTTTCTATGAGAGTCATGCTGACATCCCAGAGATCCCAATATCCCTTAAGTAAGGAATATACCTTGAATAATATGAGGGATCCTACTATAACTTAAGGTATATTCCTTAATTAAGGGGTATTGGGACCTCAAGAATGAAATATTGGGGTTCCAGGTTTACACAGGGTTTGGGCTTCACATGGGGTTTGCGGTTTAGGGTTTAGGGGTTTAGGGGTTTAGGGTTTCAGGGGCCTGGGATAAGACGTGCAAAGAAGGGATAAGTGTGCTTGGTTAAGGGTTTAGGGCAACTGCGGCCGTATCTGGCAGGTTGTGGGCGCTGAGCCATTGCCCCTGGAGAGCAGAACCGAAAACCTCTTAATTAAATCCAAACCACAACCCCTAAGACCCAGAAACTATCCCTTTCAAACGCTAACCACAACCCCTAAGACCCGGAACCCCAAACCTCGAAAACTATCCCTTTTGAAGCCGAACCACAACCCCTAAGACCCAGAACCATCCCTCTTTCAACCTTAACAAAACCCCTTGGACCCCGAACCCTAAACCTCGAAAACTATCCCTTTGAAACCTTCAGCTGGGAGTTAAACAGGGGACCCCAATATAGTATCCTAACTAGCACGATCCTTATTATAAGGACCCTGAATAAGGTTCTCCGAGGCTTGGAGACTCTTAGGGGTTCTGCGTGTTTGGGTGTCTGGCTGTTGGGGTTTAGGGTTTAGGGTGTTTGGGTTTAGGGTTTAGGGATTAGGGTTCAGGTTGTGTGGGTATGTCGCTTGCTGGCTGCAGCGCTTTGTTGCAAACTTCAAAGAATAGTGTAGTTATCCTGGGCTTTGCAGTAACCAGCGAGGAAGAAGCGTGAACTTACCTGTTCGTCAAAGGACCTTAACAAGCATTACGGTATGGCCCCCAGAGCCCAGCATCTGCAACGGGGCCTTTACGGGTCACTACAAGAAGTCAGCTCATCCTTCGGCACCAGAAATCAGAAAAAAAAGCGCCCATTAAGGGTTTTAGGGTTGAAGATGTAGGTTTGGCGTTTAGGCAGTGCTGAAATTAGCGTTGCAAGGCTCGCAATGGTGTGCCAGTGCAGGAACACGAACTCTGCTAGGAAGATCCTTGGAGACAGGGTCTCAGGATTTGGGGTTTGAGGCCAGGCTTCCCTGAGACGTCGGGGTTCAGGGTGGATGCCTTGCTTAAACTGGCATTAGGGTTTCCTCTTCTCACTAAATGGCACCGTCTGCAGGTTCCTGAAACCAGAGATTTGGGGGTCTCTGAACATACGGGGCCGTACCACTTGATCTCTCTTAGACTCCTAGACCTTCAACCGGGTTTGGGGTTCAATGATGAAGATCTGCGGGCTTGGGATTTTAATTAGGGCTTTAGCTTCTACTTGAAGGTTCATGGGTAGCAATAACTAGGGTTATAAGTAAGGTAACCGTACTTATAACCTATATTAGGGGACTTAAAACTCAACTTGCAACTACCCATGAAACTCCGCTCACGGGGCAGCTTCCAGGTTTGAGGGTTCGAGGGCATGGTTCTTAGGGTGTAGGGTGAGTTTAACTTCGGTGTAGTCTATGGAGGGTCCATTCTGGCTACATGTAACAATGTAACAGGGCTTTTTGGTTCTAGCCTCCCAGGTAGGACGCCCAAATATATCCTCGTCCAAGCTCCAAAGTAGCCCTATGTTGGCCCTTGGAAAATAGGGGGACCCTAATGTAGTATCCTAAATTGTAGGATCCTTATTAATTATAAGGACCCCAAAATAAGGTACCCCTATTTTTCGGAAACTCTAAACCCTAAACCCTATATATAGAACCCTTATAGATCCCTACACACGGCAACAGTCTACAACCTGCCGCAAAGCGGCACAAGTCCTACCGAGACCCTACCCGCTACAGTACACTCCCAATCCTCGAAGCCGTTACTCATACTATTCCTTAGGCTTCTTTATTCCAGTTATCGTAAAACCACGTAGAATACAGCCTGAACGCTAGTCTAATTCTAGACCCAAGAGTAACCCAGGCATAAAAAGGATCGCCCTTTTTGGTTTAAAGGGGCTTAAAAGGGAACCTGGACCCTAAAAAAGGGAATAAGGGCCTACTCTGGGTCCTAGAATTACGAGTAGCCAGGCCCTCACGAAGTTCGCAGGATCGTACGTTTGAGCCGCGAAATGCAAAATCTGTTCCTGCGTCTACCAAAATCCAGCGTAGTACAGGGGCCTTAACAATGACAACAGGGTTTAAGCCGGATGGGGGGTATATATTAGCCTAAGGAGTAATAATTGTTGGCAAATATTACCTTGAAAGCCTGCGAACTTTAGTTGGGAGCGGTAGACCTTAAGACCTATTCAGGCACCTTAGTATCTTACAATGTGGGGAGTAACTTCACTTATGCGTGTCCCGGGGTTGCCTTGATGAGTAAATGATGCTTGCGGTGTCCGATTCGTGAACTCCACATGCCACTGCGATAGCACCAAGATCTGAAGCCTAGCAGCATATATGTATACTATGTATGTATGTATGTATGTATGTATGCATGCAGGTTTTTCTGTATGTAAGCACGTCGGTAGCCCTAAATTCTGAACGAAGCGCCTTCGTAAGTCAACCTCATCTCAGAACCGACCTGACTGCGACATGACAAACATGACATCTTCAACCCAACACCTAGAGCTCCCAAGTATACAAATAGTATGTACGTGGAGGTCTCAACCCTACGAACAGTAACTTACCTTGAGCTGCTTGGATCCTCAAGGACCCTGCACACTCCGCCTCCTGCGCAACAAGCACTTGACATAATCACCCATTCAACAGCCCAATCTCTAGTAAACGCCCACCAGGAGGAACCTTTAGCCACCCCGCCCAAAGGCAAGCTAAGTAGGCTAGAAGCCCTAAGACTTGGGAAGATCCTGCCCTAAATTGGGAAATAAACCCGAGGGAAGACTGTGTCGAATAATACGGGCCTTATACTGTCATCTTAGTTATGTTGACTGTAGCTCATCTGGACCACAACCGAGCAGCACCATGCTGATGAGTTCCTGTCTGCCACCGAAGTACGGTTTGGGACATAGGGGTTTCACCGACCAAGATCCATTCGGCTGAGGGGGACCGGTTTCCATTGTCAATGCTTCCGGGGGTCTCCTAATTCCTAAACACTAAACCCTACTTGAAGGCTCATGGGACTTAGTAAGTAAGGTTATAAGTAGGTTATAATTAGGATAACCCCACTTAGGGGACTTATAACCGCAATTATAACCTACTTACTAAGTCCCATGAGCCTTCAAGTAGAAACCCTACACCCTCAACCCTAAGGGATTCAGGTGTTAGTTAAAGTTTGGAAGACTCGGATTTTTGACGTTCCGCTGTTTGGTTGTAGGTCTGCTGCTGTCATCAGCGGAATAGGGCTTTTGAGATCTACCATGCTATAGAACTATAACTATAATGCTATACATCGACGATAAGTAGGATTGCTATTGCTAATTATTCCGACACCGATCGTAAACCCCTACTCCAGAGCCCAGGGTCATAGAGATGCTCGGCAGTTTTCCGTTGGGTTTAGGGTTGCAGGATGTTTCAGAGTTAAGGTAAGATTTGTGTTTGCCCGACCTCAGATGGAGTGTTGGACAGCGCCGTGTTTTAGAACGACGAAGGTGAAAATACAAACAAGGTCAAGATGCAGGATAGAATACATCGTAGTAGCATGTACGATAGGAGCAAAAGAGTCGCAATGCCCAAGCGAGCCATGTACCTGACAGTAGCATCACTATAACTGTGGTAACCAGAGTCAGAAAAAAGTGCTTACGCAGCTGCAAGGCACCAAAGGCCCAGCTGCTGCTGACAAGTATATCGAGCTCACACAAACTCGAAATCCTCCAAGGTGAACCCTAAACTCCCAAAACCAACGACACCCGAAACATTAAACCCTCGACCCTGAAACCCAAGCAGAATCAAAAGGCTCCGATGGCTCCGGATGCTTACGTTCTGCTCGAAATCTCCATGGGTAGCTACAAACGCTCGAGACGACAGGAGGTCTGCTTTGTAAGTTTAGGGTTTCGGGCTCAGGGCTTCGGGTCAACAAACACCTGAAGTCAAGATTTGGCTACAGCAAGGGTTAGGGTATCAAGGAGTGCAGGTGAGGTTTTGAAAAGCCACCTCGACTGCCTAAAGCCCTCAGATCTTTTCCCCTCGGCCAAAACCCTTCAAGCTACTAGCAATTCAATTGACAGCCAAGCTTCGATGATATGGAGTGTTCTTTTGCTCCTGCAAGCGGGGCAACTTTCCGACATTCCGTGAAGTACAACCCCGATGGCCCAGGCCCAAACCAATGCCTAGGGTTTGGGTCCTCCCAGGATTTGGTTCCAAGTCTCAAGACCCGAAGGTTTACTTTAACCCCTATTAGCCTACCTTGTTGAGGACATAAGGTAAAAGCCAGAAAGTTGGAATATGATTATCCTAACCCTTCTATGGTAAATTATAGGGTATCCTACCATGAAACCATATTGCAACTTTCTGGAGTTCCCTGTATGGGTTGTTGTCAGAACTAGGGTTCCATTTTGGGGACCTTAAATAATAGGTGCCGTATTATAATAGGGACCCCAAAAAGGACACTAATATTGACAACCACCTAGAGGTTTCAATATAAGGACATCATACTGTTGATGATATAAATCCTGCACGACCCTGAATAAGGAATATACCATAATTCCCATAGTTTAGGGTCCTTAAGGTAGTGCAGGATTTATATCATCAACCGTAGTAAGAACATTAGAACTGCAGCATTCCTAGGGTCCACGTACCGTCTACGGGCCTCCGTTTTCTGGCAGCTTGGGGATGGATCGGCCTCATCCCCTCCAGAACCCTAAACCCCTAAACCCTACTTGGAGGGGGTCCCTTTAAAGGGATCTATAGGGATTATATAAAGGTATAGCTCCTTGGAGGTTCATGGGTAGTTATAAGTAGGGTTTTAAGTCCCCAAATATGGGTTATAAGTATAGTTACCGTACTTATAACCCTACTTATAACTAGCCATGAACCTCCAAGTAAACCCTAACAGACCCTTGGGGGAGCCGCCGAAGACCGCGGATCCCACCTTCAACGTCAACCCCGATGTTCCCAAAACTGATCTTGAACCGCAAAGAACAGAACCTCCTTTTGCCATCTTAGCCCCATCCCTCCAAGGACCTCATAGTTAGGGCCCTAAACCCCTTAAGCACGCCATAGTAAGGTCCCTGGAGGCATGGGGTAGACACTGGCACCGAAACTCTACACCCCAAAAAAAAGTTGAAACACTAAAGAATAAACCGATAAAGCCTACCCAACCCCCGCTTTGGGCCTTCATGTTATGTTCATTTCAAGACGCAGGTATACAACCCTAAACCCGAAACCCTAAGCTAAAGCACAAACCCTGAATGAAGACTGAAGACAAATCTTCTAACCCGGAACTGTCTGAAGCCTACGTGGGTGTAGGGTACAATGTATACGTTTAAGGCTTAGGATTTAAGGCTTAGGGTTGCTGGCATGAAGTATAGGCAAAGGGCCTGGGGCCCGCTTTCCAGTATTGTCTGCCTGGAACTACCATGACCGAATTTCTTGTAGGTTCTTAAGATAAACCCTAATATATATATATATATATATATATATATATATTTTTTTTTCATATATATATATATAAATATTCATATATATATATATATAATATGCACATATAGAGATTAGATAGGTGCCCTGCAAAAAATAGGTCTGGGTAGTCTGAAACGAGAAAAGGATCTCTTGTGGAGCTAGCAGGTACTACAGGGGCCTTAATAATTAGAATAGGGCTTTGGGGCCCATTATACTATAATCTTATAATAAGGAACCCCCAAAACAGTGTAGGTGATTATTGAGGTCCCTAAATTACATCACTTCATCCGAAGCCTTCCTCACACTTTACACCCTCACCCTCTTCGGCCTCGATCCCTTCGGGTTTTTGTCGGGATATGGGGCATTTAGGGTTGAGGGTTTCAGACGTTGAGGTTTGTGGTTTAGGATTTATATAAGGGTTTAGGGTAAATAGGGTTTAGCGATTACTTCTCAGCATAAACTAAGCTCAGTCACTACCCCCAGGATGGGTCTATTTCCGGACCGAACCGGTGGGCCTACGTTTCATTGAAACCAACGCGAACCCGACAATCAGTTGTCTCCTCTTTAGACAGGAGCAGTCTGTGATGGATGCTGTGTCTCGGGCTTCGTGTCTAAGGCTGCAGGCCCCTGATGTTAAAAGCATCAATACATGGGCCTGGTGCTGTAGTGGGCTTTGAAAAAGATGCGATCCGAAATCAGCATCGTAAGGTGCGCCACAATCCTCGATTAGAGAAGCCCCTCGATTGCTTTGGGGGATCGGGTCGGCATGTCTACTTCACTTGCTTCGGGTTATACGGTTATACGTAGCCAACTAGGAAATAGTTCGAGAGCTGTGCTGATGCCAATTCTTCTGAGTACCAATCCTTACAGGTTCATGTGCCCAAATAGTACATACTATGGGCCCAACGCACCTTTATCTTTCAGGTCGAAGTATGTACGAGTTGCGAACATGGACGCTTAGGGAATGATTACATGACGATCCTGACCACAATTCCTAAATCCCTGCACCCCGGAAGGATGACTGCTTAATCGCGCGTACAAGTCCTTAAAAGCAAGGTAGGTTATTCAGGCGGTAGGTTTTCGGGTGCACCCCCAGTACAATGGACTCCCTTTTGGTATTGGGTAGGCGGTTTTATAAGGAACCTAAGACCACAAAAGAGGAAACAGGGCCCACTAGGAGGCTGGGTGTTCAGGGGAGGAGATTGCAGGCTCTTTGTCTCATGGCGTTCTATACTCTGGTGCTCCTAGCTTCTAGAGGGACTTACCTAGTCAGTAGTTAGTTTATAGGGTTCCACATGGGTTTAGGGCTCCTAACTTAACACATGTTTCGCCTAAACCCTAAACCCTAAACCCTTTTCGAGACTCTGGGCCTTTAGAGTTTCAGGGCTTAGGGCCTCAGGGTTCTGTTCCAGAATTGGAGGACAGTAGGGTTCCAAGGTATAAGGCAGCGGTTTCTCTGGAGTTCCAGTCTAGGGCTTAGTGCTCCGGTGTTTGAGCTTTATAGATTTTGGGAGATTTAGGCCTTGGGTTTGCGCTGTAGGGTTATTGGGTATGTCTGTTACATTTTTCGTGGGAATACTATACATTAGTATGTTACTGAACCCGAGGAACAGCATTTCTTGCTATTCCGGCGCCAATACTATTTAGATTCACATATAGCATTTGGTTGGCCGCCCTCATGCCTCGAAGACAATGGCCAGAGGCACTGAACCTTAAATCCTCAAACATAAACAATGAAACTAGCGACCTTCGCGCCCTAACCCTAAACTTCAAACCTTCCTTAGACCCCAGAGAACCGACCTTTTTCGGGACCTTTACGGGGAAATCAAAATAAGAACCCTAAGAAGGTAGGTCTTAGTGGGTCCAGGTCAACCCCATATCCTCTGCACCCTGACCTCAAAAGACTGTTTTGTTGGGGCCGCGGCAGCTAGAAACGGCCCTCGACCATGTCAGGTGGTGCACCAGTCTCGCAGAAGGAGACATTCTCGTAAGCGTTGTCCGCAAGAGTGGGCGCGAGCACCGGGACCGAAGCCCAAAAGCTGTGAATTCATCGAGTGCACAGAGTCTCCATCGATCAGCCACTGATTCAGGACTGCAGGGACGACGGGCTGCGCCTGCTTTGCGGGAGCAGCTCTGTAAGTCGGATCTCTTCGCATCAAATCCCGTGCCGGCTTCCAGGCTGCTCACTGTGCGCGACCCCACCATGACAGGCGCCTGTGCTTCCTTGGGCGGATTGTTGCGTCTCATCAGCAGTCTGATTGTATCTGAATACAATCTTAGAGCATTCTGGGTTTAGGGTTTAGGGTTTTAGGGCTTATTCAAGGTTTAGGGGTCAGGGACCCTTGAACCCGCATGCTCGAAACTCCCCAAAACTCGATCCATAGCGATAGATCTTGAAACCTGATGTCGAAGGCTGCGGTGCCATGATACAAACCCTATATGGGCCCCTATGTGAAGAACTCTAAAAGCATCCCTAAATGCTCTATTGCCCGAAATCATGAAGCGGCCGAAGTGCAGCAGCAGGGTGGCCACGCTAAAGCTGCTCTCCTGTCGGCGGCTCCGATGTTGAGTGGCAACCATGCTGGCCAAGACAGGTATGCTTCTAAATAATAATCGTCACAGACATGCTGGTACGAATAACTGTTCCCATGACAAGTGAAACGAAACACGTAATAGCGGTGGTTGTGGTGGTGGCGGTGGCCGTGGCGGTGGCGGTAGCAATGGTGTCGTCGCGCTCGTCGTCTAGTGAAAGTTGCGCGCGTTTCGATACCAAGCATATACTGAACTTAGAACCCTAGCAAAAATTACAATTTTAGCTGTTTCTTAGGGATTATAATAACCCAAAATTAAAAAGTATTTCTAAGTACCCCTAAGATAAGCAGATATGTCTGCCTTACATGGGCCTAGGGCAGAGGGCCGTACGCCGTACATCTTTCAGAATCCCTGAACGCCACTCTGCATCCAAAAAGTTCTCGACGCTGCCCGGTAACGTTTGTGATTTTGTGTTTTAGCTGATTTTACCAAGAGACTCCAATATCCCTTAGTTAAGGAATATACCTGAAGTTATATGTAATAGGATCCCTAATATGATTTAAGGTATATTCCTTCATTAGGATATTAGAGTCTCCTAACCTCTAAACCCTATAGGTCCCTTAAAGGATCCCTTAAAAGGACCCCTAGGCCATAGGTGTGTTCCCTAATTAGAAAAAGGAAATTAGAAAAAGGATATTGGAGTGTCTGATTTTAGCTCGTTGTCTTCAGACGCAAGCTCATCTTGTGGTTGGGGTGTTGCCTTTAGGGGGTTTAGGGTTCCTTTACAGGGATCCTTTAAGGGTTCCTTAAACGGATCCATAATAAGGGTTCTATAAAGGGTTTAGGGTTTAGGGTTCCTACAGTAGAAGCCCAAAAGTTGGAAACCCAATAGCCTCAATCCTGAAGAGCAATGTATAGGGAATCCCAGCACTAGTTGGCCTTAGTCCGGTTTCCAACTTTATGGGGTTTACTGTAACTCCAAGTCTCCCACGCACCAGCCGCCGCGATTTGCTGTTCACCATCCGAGCTGCCAGCTAGACCCCAAACTGCTTGCAGTTTCGGTACCATGACACCTGCCTCGAGAAGCTGTGGCACAGCCAAACACCAAAGGAAACTACAAATGGATAGTTCTCAAAATTAGGGCCATGAACAGATTTCGAATCCCTGTCCTGCAACGACTGGGAGAAAGACCTCTCTTCTTCTTTCAGGACGGCCTGTCCCAAGATGCCAATAGGGTTTTGGGCTTAGGGTTTGGATGGACAAGTAACTAAAGTGGAACATCATTATCCTCACGCCCTTAATTTAGGTAAAGAAGTCGGGATCCTGGCACAAATCATCCTAAACCATCTTCCAACTCTCTGGGGTTCGCTGTAAAAGCTCAAAATACCGCAACAACATAACCCTTTGGAACTTTGCAACTTTCAGTTCTGGAACCATGGGTGAAAGGCATTATGACCAACAGCCCACATCTTGTATCCATATGTTCCATGAGATCAGTCCAGACCCAAAGCACAAAGGCCGAATTCGATCTGAGAGCCAAACAGTACTCCTAAACCCTATACCCCACCACTACTACAAGTTTAGGGTTGCGACGACTATGAAAGCTACTCCTGCTCTTATTAGGGCTCGGGACCTTTCGTTTGGCAAATGGAACGGGGGATCCGAACCTTCTGCGAGCACCAAGCGACAGTGGGTAAACCCTCAACATCCAGCCCCAAACCTCTACAACCCTGAAACCCTAAGTCCCTAAACCCTAAATGCACAGCCCTAAGTCCTGAAGTCTTATAAGCCATCTAGAGCTCCTGCGCCCTGGCCATCTCAGGGTGACCAACCCGCAACCCAGAGAGGTTTGGGGTTTAGGGCTTAAAGGAAGAAAGCTTAAATCATAAAATGAAGCCCCTGACCGATTGAAATGTGAAGTATGCCTTAGAAGCTGCCCCCAGCCTGTAATAGTGACTAGAGGGATTATATTAGGGCCCTATTATATTCCTATTATACCACTATTACAACGTGGGGGTCCCTTCTAAGGTATGCCACCTTATAAAGAGGTATTGGGCTTTCTCGGGGCCAACCCACAAGGTCCGATCTGTGGCGCATAGATTGTCATTGGGTTTCATCGTCGGTTTAGGGTTGAGGGTTCCAAGTGCTGCTCAAGGATTTGTTAAGGTCTATAAAGGTTGTGACATGGTTCAGGGTTTAGCAGTTTTGCTTTCTAGGGTTTGGTTTGAGGCCTCTTCCAGTGCAGCAGATGCTGCTGCGGCTTACATACTGTGTGCCTGATGATTGGGAGAGCTTGAGGGGCCAAACAAGTCAACCAAAGCTACACGAACCCCGTAGTCCCAAGTTTTATATACTCAAACCCTATAGGGATCAAAATAGCCCAAAAGCCCTAAATAGTATGGTCTTTGGGCCCAAAAGCCTTCATATATGAGTCCTTAGATCCCTGGGGAAAGTCACGGCACCTTGTTATTCAGCAGAGCGTAGCAAAGCATCACCAAGCTCAGCCCATACCTTGCAGCGATGTGCGGTAGAAGTTGGATACTGCCCCCATACACTAACAGTCTATATTAGGGCTACTATTTGGGGCCTAATATATCTGCATTAGGACTGAGTGGGGGCAGTATCCAAGGTAGAAGCATGATGGGCGCAGATAGCTTTGAAACTGCACAGAGCTACTGGGGGGATTTTGGGCGTATTGATAAATTTCATAACGAATGTTGCCTGGAAGTTGTTGGATGGATGGATGGATTCGGGGGTGAGGATTTAGTGACGTGCGTTTCAGCGATCACCGGAAGGTTCCTGGCATCCGCCTATTTGACGAGTGCTACGCTGTGACGCCCTATCCATAAATCCCCTCCCGGAAGGACTAAGCTGGGCTTTTCCGGGCAGTGATGTCATGCATAAGAGATGCCGTGATGGGACTGTGAGGAGAGTGGCATGCTCGGAAGCTTAGTATGGCATATCTATCTGTTAAAGAACCGAACACAAAATTGCTTTAAAGTTTGAGGCATCTACCGTAGTCGACTCTCTTGAGTTGCGAATGTGAGGATGTGGTGACTCCAAATAACCCTCGATCAAGGGCACATATGGGCGGTTATCAAAATCATGGTCCCTTTTTGAGTCCATATTATAATACGGCACCTATAATATTTAGGGTACCCGAAAAGGGACCTTAATTTTGACCACAACCCACATACGTTTCACACTGTGACTTGCAGGCAGGCAGCTTGGCGCTGTAGAGCGAAATGCCTCGGAAGCATCTTTTGCCGACACCCTAAACCCTGAAATAAGCAAACGGCCTGTCCTATCTGTTGAGAGAGGTATGCCCGCTCCGTTTTCATCCACTAAAAAACTTCAACACAGAGGCCGCTTTAATCAGTGTAGATCTTTTGATTTTGGTGTATTCATGATCATACAAACTTGATGAAGCACGCCTAACATTGCTAACCAGCTAACCATTAGGCCCTGCACTATCCTGAACTGGAGAGGACCCCCTGAAATCGGACCAGTCACCTGGCTTCATCAGCTTTCCTCGAGGCCGCTTGCCTGCGCTTGCTCTTGCTGCGGCCCCGCTCCGGGCTTAGACTTTGCCCATAGGCCCCACAGTTCCTTCTTGGGGTTCATATGTAGAATCCTACAACGTGTAATCCGAAAAGGGAACTACTATGGGGCCTACTGGTAAAGAGTCGGAGCTCAGGGTCTTGGGCTTCGGGTCTCGCGTTTTAGAGTTTTTGGCGGTTTTGGGGTTTAGGGGTGCAGGTCTGGCTGCGAATCACTTCCGACGATGACTCTGTGATTGGGGCACTAGACTTTTGATCTAGTTACTTGAGTCCAGGGCCTAGGGCTTATAGGGACCGAATTGGTGCAGAATCCGCCCTCACACCCTTAAACCAAAACCCAAGCATGCCACAACAGCGACATCTCAATAACTCAGGGTCGGGACTGGTTGGACATGCACTGTTAAGGTTTAGGGTTTCGGGTTGTATAGGGTTTGAAGGATGTAATTACGGGCTCTTGGACGGACTTGATATTCTGTGTTTGAGGTATCTCACTACCCAGCTTCCTCAAGTTTAAGCCCCAACCAAACTAACTAACTACCCCCAACAACCAAGCCCAAGTCAAAACCAACACTAAGTCAAGCTCATCGGTAAATCCAAACTACCAACGCAGGCTTTTGTAAGTGTTCTGAGGTTTGGAGTTTCGGAGATCAGGGTTTAGGTGTTAAGGCTGCCTGGTCCTGGGGTTTGGCGGTTGAGGGTTTGGGGTTCTCTGTACAGTAACTGTACGGCCTGCCATGATATCGCCGGCACATGTCTTGCAGATGTTGAACACCTGGAGTGGCGAAGACAACTCTACCCATGCTTCCGGTGAAAGCAGTACTTACTCCAGGGACACCCTAAACTTAAGCAATGCTGCTAAATGTGCGCATGTGTCATCCGGATCTTTGATGAGGGGCCTTCAATCGACGGCACTTCGAAAATCAGTACATGGTGGATGCGAATGTGTCTGTATAATTGTATGTGTATACAAATAGTTACACAGGTACATCTATACATGCATGGACTTATGTAAAACAACGGCTAATATCGACAAAAACATCCCCACACACCTGTGTGTCGGCAAGTATGCAGGCATGCAGGTTGCAGGCAGATCAACGTGATCGGCCCCTTCGGTGGGCCTTTCGAACAAGTATACATACCTTTACCTCAAGGCCCAAAAGTAGTTCCTTTTGGGGGTTCATATATATAGAATCCTATAGGGTAATCCCAAAAAGGAACTACTTTGGGGCTTCTGGGTATACACATACTTAAACAAGATGCATCAAAGGCCGCGAACTTCTACCCAACCCTGAGCCCTGAACATGTAGCCCAAAATCCCTATACTGCAAGCGTACCTTAAGCCCCCGAAAGCCTCACACATGCCAGGAAATCGAAGTAGCCAAAGACCGGCATGTACAAGTTAGTCGCACTGCGGAGCCTAATGCGCCAGTTTTGCGGTTAGTCCTTCTGCTAGCCCCTGAGACCCACAACCCCACCTAAGCCCTATACCCCTTAAAACCCCAAAAGACCCTTTACCAAGGCGAGCATCGCAGCTGGGGCAGCTCCAGTGGAGTTCCGATGGCGAGATAAACCTGGGTTTAGGGTCTAGGGGTTCAGGGGGTTTAGGGGTTCAGGGGTTCAGGGTTTAGGGTAAGATGGGTCTGCAATCGGGGCTTAGAGGGATCTATAGTAGGGCTTTATAATATAGGGGGCCTTAATAATCGATAGCAGGGCTCGTATAGGATCAACCTGGGTCCGTAAGATCATGAACACCCTCCAGGCTTTCTTCGGTAGGGTCTATTTTATTGAATCCCTCAACCATTCACACCGAGCTGCATGGCGCAGCTTTCGCAGGCCTCGGCGCATTTCGGGAGAAGCACTTAAGGGGGTAGGGTTTAGGGTTTAGGGGTAGGGTGAGATGCTGCATCCTCGACCCCAAAGCCCTAAACGACAGAAGACCGAATCCCTGGGATGTAATTCAAACCTCCAGACTCTGGATCTTACCAATGGTTTCCATTGTAGTTCCTTTTGTTCTTCAACCAGTCTTTTGTATGGAAAGCCCAAAGACGACACCTTTAGAACTCTTGCAGACTTCTCTTACCTTTGGTTAGTAGTGAAAGGAATGGGGTACACTTATGACTACTATTACTACCATTCTTCCATTCCCTACTAACCAAAGGTAAGTTCTTGCGAAACCCTGTGAACTCTTACACGGGTTTCAGAGGGTGAACGTCGACTCATAGCCTTCGGGGGAGTGCGGGTGGGGGGGGGGGGATTGTTTCAGACTTCGAAATACAGGGCTTACCTGGGCCTTTAAGTAACCAGGGCTTTTATTTCATAATGGTTCCCTTAAGAAAAAGTATTAAAGTATGGTACCCCAAATAAGCCCAGTTACAGGGCTTACAGGGGTTCAGGGTTCATAAACTATAGGTCTACAGGGCTTGAAGGGTCTGCCAAGAAATATTCTTCAGTTGCAGACTCATACTTGAACAGTGGCAAATTGGAAAATCACTTTACATGCAAACCCCTGCTTACTTGGAGGTTCATGGGCAGTTGTAAGTACGGTTTTAAGTGTATAAGGTAACTATGCTCATAAACCATATTCGGGGACTTATAACCCCACTTATAACCACCCATGAACCTCCACCTAGGAGAATCTTCCAATACAGTTGAGTGTCGGCCACGCGATCAGACAGACGACTCGCCACGAGATGGTGACCGGTCCGGGCGTACAGCCGCGCCTTGGGTTTAGGATGCGGGGCTTGGATTGGGGTTTAGGGTTTATAGGGTAGGTGGCTTAGAGCTTTAGGGGTTACAGGGTTTATTAGTGCTTTGAGGGCTACGGTTTGAGGTAGGGTTTAGAAACTTAGGCCTGAAAGGGGGCTTAGGGCCTGGGATGGTCAAAGGGCCTTGGAATTTTGGGTTCGAGGTTCCCGAGCAAAAAAATCAGCAGGAAGCGAGCCCGTTTCCCTCTTGCCATAGGGATCTAAGGACTCATGCATTAAGGCTTTTGGGCCCAAAGACCATACCATATAAAGCTTTTGGGCCATTTTGATCTCTAGGGTTTCAATCTCAGCAAGGTTCCCCATAATTACACGAAAGCATGCAACAGACTTGGTGGTACAAGAGGACCGTAGAGTAGAAGCCGAATAGATGGAACACCAAGCCCAGCGCGTTCGAAACAAAGTTTCGCGAATCCCCGCACTCGTCAGCCTTCATCCATGTCCTAACTTGTTGCGGCCTACAGCAAGGGCGCAAGAACAACATAGCATGTCCAAAACATACACAAACCTTCAGCCAGCGAGGAGCTGTTGGGATTCAGTTGTGCCTAGAACCCAAAATACACCCTAATTCTAGTTCAAGTACAAACACTGATCCAAGGACCGAATTGCTATGCACTCTCCAAAATACTAACCTAGATTAACTACTATGCTGAACCCGAGTACCCAACCAGTGGGTCCTTTGGACCCTTAGGGTATCAGTAATGATCGTCCTGATGATAAAAGTACTAATACCAATACTACAATACAATAAATAACCCCTAAACCCCCCATACCCCTAACCCCTAAACCCAACACCCCAAAACCGAAAACCTGAAACCCTGCACCCTATATAGACCCAATGATAATCCTATTGATGACGGCACAACGCGGCCCAAGCTACCAATACTAATACTAATATACACTAATCCTGATACTAATACCAATACTGTAGTACTCAGAATTATAGTCGTATTCAAAGCAACCTAAACAGTAAAACTCTAACGCTTAAACTCTCAACCATAAACCTAGTCATAGTCGTATTGAAAGCAACCTAAACCCTAAAGCTCTACAGACCCAAGCCCTAACGCCTGAATCCTATAAGCCCTAAACCACAAACAGAATCATAGCCGCATTCAAGACATTTTATAACGCGGGTCAAGATACAAATCCTAATACTGTCTGTTTATATATATATATATATATATATATATATATATAGATACACACATATATGTATATAGATATATACAGACTAAAGAGTCATATTGAAGGCAAGTTATAATGCGGCCCAAGGGGCCCTCCGCGCCAGAAACCGGCTCGCGAGCACCTGCGCCCAACGCAGCGCCTGCTCCTCCCTGCAGGAGAGTCCAGGTTAGACATAAGATAAATGAATAAATACATATATATATATATGTATATACATACACACATACATACATATGTGTATATATATATATATATATGTATGTGTGTATATATGTATATATGTACAATACACATGGAGCTTATAGATAAACGAAATTATAAACTGCAGTATATATATATATATACATACACATAGACACACTCATTTATCTATTGTTTTATTGGTTGTTTATATGTATGCATGCATGTATGCGAACGTAATGTTGCACGCACACATCATTTTTGGTTGTAAAACTGTTGGTGTGGGTGAGTTGTTCTCCTATAGGTTTTAGGGTTAAGGCACATCTTGGGTGTTCGGTTTACTTCATCCTGGTCTTCTATCGGTTCAAGGCTTGGGGTTTGAGGCATACCGTCGTTGCTTTGCGTGCTAAGCTTCTTCTCTAGACTTCATGTTTGGCTTTGTTGGGGTGTAGGATCAGGTTTTCGGGTACCAGGCATCTTGAAGGTGGTTGTGGGGGTGAATAGGCGGTTCAAAAACCGAAGCTCGGAGCAGTACATACTGCCCTGTCGGTTGCAAAACGTTTTGCCTTACAGCTGTAGTTGGGTTTAGGGTTTAGGGTCTGGGATCCGTGAAGCTTCCTACCTGCAAATGGGAGCCGCAATCCCACGAACTGCCGCTCATTCCATGGATGGCACCCGAGAGGGTCCAAAGATACTAACGCTATGGAAATCAGATCCCCGAGCCACAATAAGGATTGTCTTTCGGGGCCTAATTCCATAATTGGTCCATAAAGGTAGTATATGTGGAGCCTCTACGTGATGCTAGCGTATCAGTAGAACATGTCAAGAGAATGTAGCTGGCTCTCCCTCCTCCGTAGGTTTCTAGTTAGGCAAGGGATAATTATGGTGTACTAACTTTCCTGCACACGAACCTACCCGAAAGCGCGGTTTAAGCCCCAAAGGTAACAACCAACAGCCTTCAAACCTAAACACTAAAACCCTAAATCCTAAACCCAGTCCTAAATCCCAAACCCTAAACCCAATCCTAAACCCCAGCCCGTAGTCCTAAAACTTAGACCTTGAACCCTATCCTAAGCCCCAAACAAAACCCCAAAATACCCGAACCCGACACCTTCTTTCTGAACATGGCCTTGCTGTCCTCTGACCCCCCGGGGCTTCTAGAAGGACCCCTAACCCTAAGGCTCCATGTACCTAAATAGTGATGTAGGAACCTGATTAAGAGACCCTGGCCCTATAACCTCCAATATATTAGGATCGATTCTTATAAGGAGCCCTAATAACGACCCAGGGTTTATTGATCAGGTTCCTACATTATATGCTTAGGCCAAAACGAGGAGGCCTTTGAAGGGTTCCTATACAGGTGCTTTCATGCCTAAGTCATACTAGATAGGTCAGGTACGTGCAGCCTTGGTATAACTTTCCGAAACGCGCAAGTGTCCCAAGTCCCAAGCAGGCCACCCTAAAGTCAAACCCGAAACCCTCAACCCCGAAATCAAACCCTAAACCCTACACCCCAAAATCGAAACCTAAATCCTATAGACCAAGCTCTGAACTCTAAAGTCAAATTCCAAATCCTGAACCCTAAGGCTCTAAGGACTCATATTTTAAGGTTTTTGGGCCCAAAGACCATAGTATATAAGGCTTTCGGAAAAAATGTTGAGCCTTAGGGGAAAAATCGAAGTGAAGGTCCCCTTCGCCGCCTTAGGGCTTCGATCTCTTCGGCGTCGAGGGGCTGCAAACCCTGGCGAAGTTGAGTTTGGCATATTGTAGGGTTTAGGGGGTTCCTTGAAGGGATCCTTTAAGGGATTTATAGGGGTTCCTAATAAGATCTATGAGGGAGTAGGGTTTAGGGTTTAGGCGGTGTGGGGTTTGGGATTGAACTTTTAGGGTTTCAGGGTTTAGGTTTTGGTGGTGTGGACTGTTGTGGGTTGAAGGTGCAAAGCTCTGCCTAAGTGTAGTTGTTCGACACGGTTCTTGACAGAAGGGTCCTGGATTTCTGAGCTCTATCTTGACTCGTTACTCTTCCTCATTGAGGGTTGGGGCTAAGGTTCAGTCAGGATGTAGGGGTTGAGGTTTCGACTATTCCGGGCGTAATTCAGTGTCCTTTTGGGTTTAGGTCATTCCGAGACAGCGGTCTAGAGCTGCAGTCATGGTTTAGGGCGTAGGGCAGCTCAAGGGCTTCCGTCTTCGCGATCTACGTGGAGGTTCAGGGGTAGTTAGAAGTAGGGTTATGGCTAGGATAGCTATATTTATAACCCACATTAGGGGACTTACAAGCCCACTTATAACTTCCCATGAACTTCCAAGCAACTGTTGCGAACTTGTCCACTTTTCAGATCAGTACTGTAGGGGCCCAAATAAATACCAATACTATTTTGGGGGTTCCTTGCTAGAATTATAGCATAGTGGGCCCCCAGACCCTATTCTAGTTGCTAAGGCCCCTATGTTAGTTGCTCTGATGGTCCCCCCAAAAACTTAGACTTGCTTTCAAGCGTTGGCTTACCAGCAGTGAGGCACAGTTGCAGACCCCCCCCCCTTAAAAATCGTATCTGCAGTGATGACAAGAGTGGAACAGCTGCGACAAAGACAGAAACGAAGGCATAATCTATACCCCCCCATTAGAACCCTAATACAAATATGTGTTTAATGCTCTTGGGTTTAATTGATGGGTTTATTGAACAAAAATAAAAAAAATAAGCAGACTATAGTAATGAACCAAACATCGAGGACCAAAGCACAAAGCATCCGATCAAACCCGTACAAAACTCCGGACCGGACCTGATGAACCTGTTCAAAATGCAATCTCTGGAAACCCTTAATGTAGGAACCTGATTAAGAAACCTTGGGCCTTTATTAGGGCTTCTTATATGATTCCTAGTATTCTGGGGTTATAGGCCCAGGGTTTCTTAATCAGGTTCCTACATTACCTGCACCCCACACGTATGCAGAATAATCGCGCATCTGTATGTGTTGGGCCATTGCCTTGTCGACGGTTGGGTGTGTATCAGTAAGCCTCAACCGTTAACCCTGAACTGCGTCCTTCGGCTGCTCCAGCGCATCCACGGCCCCTCAGCTGCAGAGTTCTTATCAAAGCTGTGAGTCCTCTGGCTTTAGGGCTTTAGGGCGTGCAGGGCTAAGCGTTTAAATCTTATGTATGGCTTAAGTAAGTATGCTTTAGGCTCTACCCATAGGCCCCAAAGTAGTTCCTGTTTGGGGTTACCTAATAAGGTTCTATATACGAACCCCAAAAAGGAACTACTTTGGGGCCCTTGGGTAATGCTTGGGGCCCGTAGAGTTTAGAGCCATCCCCAACTTCAAAAACTATTGAACTCGCATCAACCGCTTGATTCTCAAAGTTATTCTGTGAATGCTGACCTTAGAACCCTAGGGCTCTAAGGCCTCATATTAAGGCTTTGGGGCGCAAAGACCATACTGTTTAAGACTATTTTGATCCCCAGGGTAACCTAAAACACAACGAGCTGCATGTTTGAAGTTACTGCAGTTGGCTCCTTCTCGCACAACATCATGGTTCCTCCTTGCACTCGGACATGATTGTGCAGGATTGGAATGGTGGCATGGCCCTGCTTCACGGTGCTCCACTGCATGACCCTCCTGCCGCTGGCCCGTGAACAGCTCGCGCAGAAGGGTCGACGCAGCTTGGCGTTTCCACCAGCCATTAGTTCATCTCCAGGTCGCCAAACCGGATCGGCTGAACAGTCCCGCCCTCTGGCAATGACAGAGGGTCCAGCTCTGTAATGACCCCAAACTCATCACCATCCTCATTGCGGCAAAGCCCGAACTAATCCCATAATCGTAGTATACATCCCGAAATCGTAGTATACATGGACCCTCTAGTAGGTCCAAAGCTCAAGATCCAACAGGGCCGGGCTGAGCGTTCACTCAGGCTCAGGGTGTAGGGCCTAGCGTGTTAGGGTGTAGGGGTTTAGGGTTTAGGGGTGTAGAGTTTAAGGTTTAGGGTTTAGGGGTTTAGGGTTTAAGGGGTTGGGCCCTCCATGCATGCTGCCAAAGCCATCATCCCATCACAGCCTCTGTAACACAAGCCGAAGCCACACAGAATAACCCTTGTGCACCCTAGACCCTGAGCCCCTAAAAAAACCCTAAAAGCCCTCAGCCTACCAGCCCAGAATCCGAATCCTGTTTCCTGCGCCCCCCACAAAATCACTCCGTAATTAACCCACCCCCCCCACCCACCCCTTCTTCCCTTGAGGATTTAATTCAGGCTTGTAGGGTTCTAGGATGTAGGGGGGTCTTGTTTCAAGGCTTATGCTACATAGTAGTTCCTTTTGCGGATTTCCTTGCAGGATCCTAAACAACAGCCCGAAAAAGGAACTACAATGGAGCTGTGGGTAGCTTTAGCAATTTTCCGGATTTTGTGGTGCAGCCAAAGGCACTAAGCACCGGGAAAAGCAGCCTCGCGGGCATTGGACTTGGACTTTACCGACGGTTTGAACACTTGCAGGCTCATGGGTCGGTAGATATAAGTAGGGTCATAAGGGGTTTAGGGTTCCTTTTTAAGGGTTCTATAGGGTTTAGGCAGGGTTACAAGCAGGGTGACTATATATACATATAACCCATATTAGGGGGCTTATAACCGCTTATAGCTACCCATGAGCCTCCAAGTATGTTCGGAAACCGAAGTCGTTGAACTTTCATGCAGTGTGTTTGAAGCTCTGATAGCCTCCAAGCAAGGAGGCTTCATATACAGGCAAGAACGATTAGACTGGGTTTTCAGTGGCTTTCATACAGCCGCTATTACTACATCATGGAATCCCACGGCACACATCGGAATGATCCTAACATACACCCTACAAAGCAGAAGGGCGCAGCATTCCAGCGTAATCCCCTACATTACCTTCCTTACGGGCTTTGGGTATCGAACTTCGCATACTTCCAGCTCGAAACCACCGGCAATTATGACGCGCCCTCCCTGCAACCTCTCATGAGCGTACACTTTCTGTTGCCATTCCAAATCAGGTTTCTCCATGTATTCATGAAACAAGGTAAATGCAACGGCACTCCAAGTACCTAATTATCATACACTCTCCAACTCTCCAAAATAATGACCTCCATAACCATTGTCCCAAGCCCGAGAACCTGATTATTGAGTGCTTTGGACCATTAGGGCAATAGGGACTTCTGCAACCCAGCAGGCTTCGCGGGGCAGAGCACACAACAAATGGATGCTATTCTGACAGTCGAAGGCTACTGGCAGTTGCTCACACTTTGTCCTTCATTCGGGCTACTCATAGTCCTATGATATCTTTCCGCACACAGTCAGACGAAATACTCAGCTTCGGTTTGGGGTATCACGGTTACACTTCTAAGCCAGCGACATCAAGGCCGCTAGGGACTCACCCGTAAACCCGACCATAAACTTCTCGTTTCTTCCATCTGCCAGAGACACCTGGCATGGAAATTTTAACTCTCATTCTTCCTCTAAGCCGCTCCTATCGCATTCTCCTGGTCACCAGCAGCAATCAAAGCTGTAGGGCTCAGAGTTTACTTCGACCCCTGGCTGATCAACCCGCTTGCTTTAAAGAAGTCTTGGCATGATCCTTGCTAAGGGAGGGGTTTATTAATCGGGGCCTACTGCCGCGAGAAAAGTCGCAGTCATTCCACGAAACACAAGGGCATGCGAATCAAGAGGAAGGCTTGCTAAACCATTCGCAACCTTACTTGAGTGAGCCTGGGTGGTGCAGTCGACAACTCCCGTGGAGGGCGGCAGCTCTTGCTGAAGAGCCTTTGCTTCTTGAGGGGAAGGTCTAGGAGTTAAACCACGAGCCTCAGACGCCCGGGAGGATCCAAAATCAACAAGGGAGCCGATACTAACTACGCAAAGTTATACCTCCGCATTAAGGATCTACCTTTGGGATCCTTCCAGGGGTCTGGGATATTGAGGATTCGTAAGTAACGATTAACTGATTAGCAATTCTTAAGGCATTTGGGTGCGTCACTTTCTGGCGTCCACTGCAATTGTTGAACCGTAAGCCTGCTTGCAACTATATATTCCTTAATTAAGGGATATTGGGCTCTCTGGGTACCTAATAAGAGGGTGTCTTTCAGAGTTTCGATAAGGGCTCCACTAGGGGCGCCTTTACAGGAGCGTCTAAGGGTTTCTGTAATAGGGCCCCAAAGTAGCACATAAGCAAACATATGGATAGGTATATCCCATATAAAGCCCCTCATAATGAAGCCTAATAAGGTATAGGGATATCCCCATAACATGCGTATGCTTATGCGCTTTTCGGTTCCCTAATTTAAGGGCTCCTTTACAGGAGCCTCTCTGAGGTTGCGGCTACGCTAGCCTACGCCCCCTGATCAAAACACACACACACACACACACACACACACACACGCGCACACACACACACACGCCAAAGCCTGAACCCAGCAGCTTACGACCGATACATCGCTGAACACTGAACTTAAACATACTTTACGACAAGTGTTTCTTGTAGACATATACATTGGCCTTACAGAGGTTCCTGTATAGAGGTAGGGGGGGCGCCACACGCCTGACCGTCTTGTTTTGATAGACGATAAAGCTTTTGAAACAACAAAACGGGCCTGAAGATCTTCCTTCCCCAAAACTTGGAATATTCTAACGGCTCAGTAGAAGCCAATAAGCTTTCAACCCTAAACCCTTGCTTAGACAGTCATTGCCCCTCGGCCCTCGCCGCTGCACCCTCAACCCTGAGCATAAACTATTCGGAGGCGCCCGAAACCCTTCCGCGTGGACACCTTGACCTGGATCAGGGACGAGGTTATAAGCTGTTGGGGTCCAGGATTTCGGGGTTGAGGAGTTGTGGGCATGATAGTGCGCGAGGACTCTGGGATGAGATTGACTGTGTGAGGACTACGTAACGTGCTCTCGGCACTAGAGTCTTACACGGCGTAGAAAACGCGAGTGCTAATACCGCAATCGTCCTGAAGGGGTGCTGATCCAACATTCAGCTTCCTTAACACTACGACAAAGGTGCAGGAAGAAACTCTTACCCTAAGGCTCAAAACAGCCTTACATAGTATGGTCGTTGGGTCCCAAAAACCTTAAAATATGTGTCCTGAGAGCCCTAGGGTTACCACTACGACAAAGGTGCAGAAAGAAACTCTTGAGGTATCAGGGCCAAGTCAGCCGACACGATCGAAAACGCAAAGTAACAGCACGAGCTGCTGCCCTAAGGCCCCATAGTAGTTCCTTTTGGGAGGTTCATGTTTAGAATTCTATAATTAAGGTAATCCCAAAACGGAACTACTATGGGGCTTATGGGTAGTACATACAATGCGAACAGCGCACCTAATCCAATGTCACGCCAACACTTCTAGCACAAACCCTAAACGCTCGAACCTGGAAAAACCCTGTAAAACTCTGTAATTGCAGCTTTCTGAACCTCTGCACCCTATAAACCCCTAAACCCTAAACTCCCAGATCCATAACCCTAAGACCTAAACCTTATACATCCCTTTAAAGGTACCCTTATAGATCCCTTTTAAAGGAACCCTTGTAGATCCCTAAAACCTAGCCTTGAACCAGCTGGACCACTCCGAGGGATGTAAAGTCCGCCTCAGACTGGCGCGAGTTTCCGAAAATAGGGGACCCTAATATAGCACCCTAAGCAGTGGGATCCGTACTAGAAGGACCCAAAATAGGGTATGGGGGTTCCTTTGAAGGGATCTAAGGACGCATAAATTAAGGCTTCTGGGCCCAAAGACCATACTATATAAGGCTTTTGGGCGATTTTGAGCCTGAGGGGTTTAGGGTTTAGGGATCTATAAAGGTTCCTTGAAAGGGATCTATACGGGTACCTTTAAAGGTATCTATAGGGTTGAGGCCTTAGGGTTTAGGGTATTAATAGGGTTTAGAGTTGACGGTTCGGGCTTTAGGGTTTAGGGATCTATAAGGGCTGCTTTAAAGGGATCTACAGGGTTTGGGCCTTAGGGTTTATGTAGGGGTTTAGGGTCTTTGGGTTTTCGGGTTCAGGGTTTTGGGGTTTAGGGCCAAGGGTTGTAGAGTTCGGGTTTCGGGTTTCAGGGCTCAGGGTTTATGGGCTTCAGGCATTAGGGTTGTAGGGCCTAAGGCCCAACATAAGGATTCTACAAGGGTATTACAACAGTTCTAGATTAATATAGCTACATTAATTGGGCCTAAGGAAACTATTTACTAAGGGTTCTACATTAAGTAGTAGGGCCTTAAGGACACTCTTCATGGTTCGAAGTACAACCCATCCGGCCCAGCTGCCGAAACCATGGAGAACAGGAGTTTCCATCCGGGTGTGGGTTTGGCAGGATGGCGCTCCAAACCCTAAACCCTAGACCCTAATACATTGCAGGGCCCAGGGCTTCAAATGCGCTTTCGGGTATACCTTAAACCATAATATGAAGCCCCTAATGGTTTAAGGTATATTCCTTAACTAAGGGGTATTGGGCTCTCTGGGTTTTGTCCTCCTTAAGGCGGCTAAATGCTTGCACAACGGACTTTAACGAAGCTTTCGGGTCTATTTCAACTTCCTGCGAACGGCTTCCGGCCCCAAGCCCGAAAGGCCCTGAAGACCCAGAAACCTTAAAGCCACAAGCTTAGAAACCAGGGTTTAGGGGTGCCCGTACGGAGCTTTGACGTCCCAACGCCGAAGCGTAGGATTGGGATTTATATAAGGTTATAAGCTTTGTGATCACCTTAATCAAACCCTAAACCCCAAAGCCACAAACCCTTATGACTTACAAGGGTCGCCTTTGGTTTGGGGTTTTGGGAACCATGCCCGAGCTTAGTCCCAGCTGCGTGGTGGACATCACCAGGCCGGTATCGATCGTGGACATACTGCCGCTCCTGCCAACCCACTCGTAAAGCTGAGCTAGGGTTCAGGCTTAGAGTGTTAGGGCTTAGGGTCTGGGTTTTAGGGTTTGGGATTTAGGAATTAGGGTTTAGGGTTTACGGTTTAGGATAAAGTAAACCCCATAAAGTTGGAAACCGGATTAAGGCCAAACAGTGCTGGGGTTCCCTTTTGCATTACTCTTTAGGATTGAGGCTACCCGTAGCATGGGATTCCCTTAGGATCAGGGGTTTGAGTCTTCAGTTCCATAACCTGAGCCCCCAACCTGAGCTTCCTCTGACTCTGAGCCCTCACCCCCCCTATCCTCGGACCTTAACCCTAATCCATTCCATGAGGCCTATCTTCGTTCTGCGCTTCTTTGGGGCAGGATGCCATGGTTGTTTCTTTGCTTGATGCCGTCGCTGTGTGGGTAGAGCTTTCACCTCCTGGCCTACACAGCTGGTTGAGGAACGCGTAGATCGACCCGACTACTCAAATACCCGCTACTAAGGACCATAAGGGCTGTGTTAAAGGGTACTTGAGGGGTCCTGGTTTGGCTTCTGGTGATTAAGGCCCCTGTACCATAGCACCCTTATAGATCCCTTATAGTATGACCATCGCCCTTGCCAAAGGGCTGCCGCGTAGGTTTGTCACACACAACCTGGACACTGACTGTCTTTCACACATATGGGTGGTTGTCAAAATTACGGTCACTTTTGGGTCCTTAAAAAAAATCCCGGCACCTCTTATTTAGGATACCCCAAAAAAACCCAATTTTGACAACCACCCATATACCTTGTGCCTTATGTGTTTTGTCACAAACACAGTTGAAACTTCCCTTCACCTTCATGACTTACTTCCAGTTCTTACCAAATTGGAGTTTCCGAAATTAAGGGACCCTAAGGGAGTACCCTAAATAGTAGGATCCTTATCATAAGGACCCCAAGATGAGGTACCCCTAATTTTCGGAAACCCTAAGCCCTATACCCTTCATAAAAGAAGCCTTATGGATCCCTCTAAGGAGCCCTTAAAGGATCCCTTTGAAGGTACCCCTAATTTTCGGAAACTCCCAAATGCACCCCCGGGCGGAAAGAGTCCTCGCAATGGACGACGGGAGGCTCAGCGTCCTCGAGGGTATCTTGTCCTGCGCCGCTGGCGTTCAGGAGAAGCGTGGTGGTAGGGCTGCGCATATACAGGGCAGTAATGTTAAAATGATAGCATTCAAGTTGAATTAATGGTGGATCTGGATATCACCAGATAAGGAGCTCAAGTTTAGAAGCTTAGATGTTATTGATGTGCACCCAAACTGGAACCGAAGCGACCATCGTTGAAGTCACGGACCAGACACACCCCAACCAAACCACAACACCGAGAAGACTCAAAACGTCTCAGAACCCTAGACCCTTAATCCTCAACCGCCAAACTCCAGACCCTCGAAGACCTAAACAAACAAAAGTCACAAACCCTAAATCCCAAATCTGTGACAGCCATAAAACAACACCTCTAACTCTTCAGACCTAGAGGCCTTAAGCTTTCGAGTCGGCGAGTGAGAGGGGAGGAGAGTTCTGTAATGTAGGGGCCGTAACAATAATCAGAATGGGGTTTTGGGGCCCATGACAATCTAATTACAATAAGGGCCCCTGAAAATAGTATTGGTACTTACCTAGGCCCCGGTATTGTCTGCGGAATCCCCTTGCTCAAGGGTTGAGAGGTTTTCGGGGTTCAGGGCTTGTGAGGTTCAACGTTGGGGGTTCAGGGTTTGAGAGGTTTAGGTTTAGGTTTCGGGGCTTAGGGCTTGAGGGGTTTATCAAGAGGTGGGGTTACTGGCTCAAGGTTCCAGCGGTTTAGCGCTAGTTGGGGAGATTGGGAGGCCTTCGCGCATGAGGCTCTCTTCCAACTGCAGTGCACGCCTGGCTGTGGCATCTTCTGTGGTTCCTTCTATGTCGCAGGGCACATCATGCAGCCGCACGTCAATGGAATCTGCCAGCTGCGACTGGGCAGCGTCACGGGATGCCGGGCAAATGGCGACCTTAGCCAGCGGCGGTGCATGCGGGCAGCCCGCCAATATACCACGCGTGGCGGCCGTCGGAGGTGAAGCACGCCCTTCTGCTTCCATTACCCGATAACCTCTATACACCGTCAGGCCGACTTGCGGCAACAAGGATAAATAACCCAGCTGGAGACCGCCTTCAGCGAGACGGTCATGCCGCACCGTCTCGTAGAACGTTGTGAGGTCTATGAACAGCGAGACACAGGGACGCTGCCTGGCCTTGGCCACCTTGGCGTCCAATAGCCTCTAGATGCTAAGATTTAGGCTAGCAGCTCAAATGTTTGAGGGTTTGGGGGTGCGCTGCTCGGTGCAGCATGCAGGGATTTTCGGATTCAGGTGTGCGGGATATGGGCTGCACGCCCCTTGAAGCAGCTTAAATTTAATTACCCCTGACGAGCCGAGACTTCATTTCGATAGACTCCGCGTGATCACGTAAAGCTAGAGTCGATTAACAAGCAGTACCTTCGGTGGGCTGTTTGGAGTGGTAGGGTCCGACAGGGTTAATGGGCCTTGTGTTAAAGGGCTTGGGTCCTCAGTTTTTGCTCGCAGCTTCTATTCGGATGGGTGCATCACAATCAGCCCTAGTCTTTAGGATTTAGGGTCATCCTTACTTAATCTCTTGTTTCAGGGTTTAGGGTTTAGGGCTGCCCCCAAACCCGAATCCGTTTCGGGTTAATTACGGGTTATCCTTCTTTTCAGCCTAAAGCCCCACCCGCCCAAAAGCCCTGAGTTCACAACCCAATTCCAATTCTCCCACAGCCCAGCAAGCCCCTATGGTGACTTCCTGAACTGACTTTGGGCCTTTAGGGTTGGTTGAGGATCCAAAAACCTACCGCTTTAGGGGTTAGACCATGTAATTGAGGGGTCATGTCGGACTATGTTGTTGTAGAGTTTGGGGTTACAGTGGGGCTTATCTCTCAAGGATAGGTCAACCTGAACTTTGCGACAAAGCTGCCGATGATGCCGACTCCCATGTACAGCAATCCCAAACCTCCCTAAGGGCCTTGACCCTAGTCCCGAATCCCTCACCCCTAAACCTCGATCCCTAAACCGTCTACTGTAAACCCCCATAAAGTTGGAAACCGGACTGGGATTCCCTATACATTTCTCTTAAGGATTGAGGCTATTGGGTTTCTAACTTTTGGGCTTCTAATATAAACCCTTCAAAGACGGACCTGCAGCGCCAAGGACCCGGCTGGTGAGGCCTTTCTTGACTTTAAATCTTTGGAATTTAGGTTTTAGGGTTTAGGGTTCAATGGATCGAAAGTCCTAAACCTAAGCCTAAACCCTACCTTCACCACCCAAAAACCTGGGGTTCCTTATTAGCTAATTCGGATATCTTCGAGGATAGGTTTATTTATTTAGGGTTGACCCTAAACCCTGAAACCCCAAACCCTAAATCCTTAGTCACTACAGGCCTTGGGGTTTAACGTAGGAACCTGATTAAGAAACCTTGGGCCTTTATTTCGGTTCCATATATGAATCCTGCTATTTTGGGGTTATAGGCGCAGGGTTTCTTAGTCAGGTTCCTACATTACCAGCGGGATAGGCTTGCATCATCTCCTGCCCTGAAGAGCTGAGCTTAACTTTGCTTTTCTGGTTTAGGCGCGTGGGGTTTAAGGTTTAGGGGGGATTTATTAGGGTTTCGGAGTTGGGGGATTTAGTAGGGCTTTAGGTTTAGGGTTCAGGATTTAGTTTTCGGGCAAGAGCATTCGGCTTTATTTGTCATGCTGCTAATTGATTAATTTTGAGCCCGCAAAGCACAAAGCCAAAAACCAACTTCGAAACTGTCTTCCAGGTGTTTCGGGTGTGGCACGACACTAATTGCAATGGTTTGGCTTTCGGGCATAGGATTTGGGGTTGGCGGAAACAACCCCATCGTGTTGCCACACAGTTTGGGGAAAGCTGAGCAGCCTAAACCCGAAAACCAGAACCTACACCCCTCGAGATAAGAGTCTGATTTGAAAGACATGCACACTTTCGACCTGCACCCACTACCCTGATGCTGCAAGGATTGAAGCTAGGTTGGCCTTTAAACTTAATGCCGTTGAAAAAGTGCGCAAACAAGATCCGCCTGGGCCCAGAAAGGGAAGCTCTAAAATGTCCCAAAGGCCTAAACCCTAAACCCTAAACCCTAAACCCTAAATCCTAAATCCTAAACCCTAAACCCTAAACCCTAAACCCTAAACCCTAAACCCTAAATCCTAAACCCTAAAAGGCCTACCCAGGAACACTAAACCTGAACCTTAAAGTCGCCCCCAGGCAGAACCTCGTAGTCCTACACATCGTAGGCCTGTGAGCCCCAAGTCTAAGGCAAGAGCTGGCTGATAGATAGGATACCCAGGGATCTATAGGGCTCCTTAAAGGGGTCTATAAGGGATCTATAGTAGGGTTCTATAATATAGGGGGTTAATATACTAGGATACCCAGTAACTAAGAATAAAAAGGCCTCTCTTTTTGGTATTGGGTAACTTTATAAGGAACCTAGGACTACAAAAAGGGAAAAAGGGTACTACTGGGCATCCTAGGTTAGGTTCCATGGCTTAGGTTTAGGGTTTAAGGCCTGGGATTTTATGCGGCATTCGTTCAGCAACGTTTATCCTCAAACCTGCAGCATTCCTTAGAAGGGGCCCCGACCCTGTAATAGTGACCATAAGGATTATATAGGATTATACTAGGGCCCTATTATATTCCTATTATACCACTATTACAGGGTGGGGGCAGCTTCTAAAGCATTCCCCAAAACTGGCCTCGGAAGACATCTCAACTTCTGCAGTCGGCTTGAGCTTGGGAGCCTGGAAGCTTTTAGGAAGGATGCGGAAGTTTCCGCAAGTTAGGTTAGGGTACCTTTCCAGGGATCCTTTAAGGGCTCCTTAAAGGGATCTATAAGGGTTCTATAAAAGTTTAGGGTTGAGAGTTTCCCCAAATTGGGCAAACATTCTACTATTCAGGGTACTAGATTAGGGTCCCCTATTCTCGGAAACTCCCACGTTAGGTTTGCGGCTTATACGGCATGTCGGGATTCGAGACTTTGGTGACCTTTAGACTTTCTACGGCCTGGCGTTTTGTTTAGAGGGCGGCTTCCCAACGCAATGCTTTTAGGATCTCATGGCCCCTTGCAGCTGAGAGTGCTTTTGGCAATCAAGGCTCAAAAGGATGAGGTAGTCCGCGTGAGCCACCAAAGCTCTAAACCGGACAACCCCAAGCACTGACGTGTAAACCCTACAGCCGCAAACCTCTAAGATGCTTGTAGAGATTAAGCTACAGGGCTTTGCGGTTCTACGGTTTCAGTCAGTGCCGAAAGACCATCGTAACAAAAACAAACATCAAATCTCAACCCGTCGAACAATCCACGAACCCCCCACGTTGCCCATGGGGTGGAGACTGATATGATGCCCTCGGACACATCGGACTTCGATCCGTAATCTTTGAAGCGGGAGGCCCTACTATTTGGGAAGTCGGACCTTTAGGGGCTCCGTTAAAGGGATTCTGTAAGATCCTATAGAGTTTCCGTTAAGATCCTACAAAAGTTCTCTAGGGTGCCGTTAAGGGCTGCGTTGGGGCCAACTTTACGGGATCCTTCGACATGGTCGAACTGTTCCTTTAAAGTTCCATTACAGGAACCCTCGAAGGAGCCCTAAACCCTAGCCCCTTCAAGGAACCCTGAGCCCTAAACGTTTAAAAGGAGCCCTTTTGGGGCTTTGGGTTCCTTTGAGGATGCCTACGACAAGAGCCCTTCGGCGTGGTATCGCCAACAACGCCTGACGGAGATCGCCCCAGAAGCTAGCCGATTCAGAAGCTGGGCGATCCGCGTGCGGCGCATGGGCCGAGCACACCGTAATGGGCAAACGCGGGTCGTTGCAGGTGACAACGATATATCTTGGAGAGGCCGTTAATATCCGCCAATCGGCTAGCACAAGCGGAGGCTCGAGCTGGTCCGGCCGTATCCACACTTCGCACCCGTATTGCCCTTTAAGGCCTCCCGATCTCCACGAAAGCCAGCCCCCAGTGGACCATCGCCCAGCAGGCGCTCTGGTTTCCTGTAGGCAGACAACATCAGCATGCATGTCACGGAGCTGGCAGTACAGATGCTGTCTACGCGCTCCATGCCCGGAAGGGTTGAAAGGGCTTCGTGGAAAATCTTTGATAGATTGGGTTACTTATAAGGGCTGAGGTTCCGTTGAGGGCTCCTTTCGGAATAACTCGGGTCCCTAAACCCCAAACCCTAAAACCCAAACCCTAAGCCTGAAAACCCCAAAACCCTAAACCCTATAGACCTCTCCACCCCTAAAAACCCCTAAACCTGAAAACACCAAAACTTTAAACCCTATAGACCTCTCAACCCCAAAAAGCGCTAAATTAAAGAGCCCCCCAAACCCTGAACAACCTTATAGATATATATATATATATATATATATAAACCCCAAACCCTAAACCCTGAATTAAATTTAAAGCCCTAAGCCCTAAAACCCTAAACCCTTTAGATCCGGTAGACCCCTAAACCCCCAAAAAGAGCTGCCGTGACCGGGCCTGGCTGGGAGACGCCTCGCTCGTTTTGCTCACCTCCGAAGCTTCCCAGTCAACTAAAGTAGGGGCCTTCTTTGTTAGAATAGGGCTCCTTAAAAGGGTTCCTTAAAAGGGTTTAGGGGTTAGGGTTGGGTTTAGGGTCCTGCATTACCCATAATAAGGAATATACCATAATTCCCACAGTTTAGGGTCCTTAAGGTAATGCAGGATTTATATCATCAACCGTAGGGCTCCTTTAAAGGGCTCCTTAAAAGGGTTTAGGGTTTAGGGTTGGGTTCACATAGGGTTTGGGGTTTCTGCGTTGTCCTTTAAGCCCTTTGAAAATTATTTACGATTGCGATTTTCTAGAACATAGTAGTGGAAATTAAAAAGGATCCCAAAGGACACACTCCAGTAATGTAGGAGCATTCTTTGTTCGAACAGGATTCCTTTAAAGGTTTCCTTTAAAGGGCTCCTGTAAGGGTTAGTATGAGCATTTAGTGTGGGGCCTTAGTTTCTGGGGCCTAAGAACTGTTCATGGGCCTAAGAATCAAAATAATGCTGTGTGATTCTGAGGGGGTGCAGATTATCGTGGAGTTACAAGCAAGAAGGAGGGAACCCTAAGAGACAATATCAGTAACTACGCATTCAGGCTTTTACATTTGGTTTCGAGAGTTCCCGATCTTCCACCACTATATTTCCTCTATGATTATATCCCCGATAAAGCCCCAGCACAACCTATGAGGATGTCTGAACACAGCTTACTGCATGTAAGATACACTATATTCTAGACCATAAAGCAGCCGTAGAGAACAGCTGCAAGTAGCTGAGCTTGGATGCGTGGCGAGGAGCAGTTTGAGTCACACGCCATTGAATGGTGCCATGAATGGGAAATCTCATCATCCCGGAGACGTGCATCATCACCCTTGGCACGAGGATCCGCCTGGGATCAAGGCCTTGAATAGCGCATGAAGCGCTCGCCCTTTCTTAGGGCCACTCAGCGGCAGTGATGGCATCGGCTGTATTCCTCATGGCTGAGCCGAAATGAATCATCAAACAGCTGCTGCAATCCGACCCCACGATGGTGCAGAAGTCTACCCATTCTTTACGGCCTTCGTCGCCGGTGAGAATGATGTCATCCAGGTGGATGCCAGGACTCCCCGCACTTCTCCTTCGGAGGACATAGACCGCCACAGGCACGGATCTGTCTTGCACACGGAGGCGCCCAAACTTCTCAAGGTGGCACTCAGGTTCATGTACTCTCCCAGACCTTCCAAAATCCCTTAATTAAGGAATATACCTTAAATTATAACAGGATCCCAAATATAAATTAAGGTATATTCCTTAATTAAGGGATTTTGGAAGGTCATGGATTCTCGGGGTGCCGAGGTCAGACCATAAGCGGATCCCAGCAGCTCCAACATCTGGCCAGGGGTCAAGTTGAAGGCTTCAGCGAGTTCTGGAAGAGGCCGTGGTCCGTTGCAAGCTTTTGTCTATAAACCATAGAGGAACCCGTAAAGCCAAAACCCTTCACACTAAGCCCTGTTAGAACACTATTAATCGCAACCGCTAAACGCTGAACCCTTTAAAACCCTTTGAAGCCTTTCAGAACCGTTTTCAACCAAAAGCCCTAAATCCTGAGCCCAAACCCCTAAACCAAAAGCCCTCAATTCAAATTCTGAGCCCAAAACCCTACACCAAAACCCCTCAACCCAAACCGAAACCCCTAAACACTGAGCCCAAAACCCAAAACCAAAAGCCCCAAATCCTGAGCCCACCCCTTTCGGGAAAAGTCTAGGCCTCGGCTTCAGCCTCACCCGCCGCGCGAACGGAGGAGGCCGCGGGCGTGCGCACGCCCGGATCCGCCTAGGGCGGTTCTTTGTAGGTTCTAGGATGCGCAGTACCCGAGGAATAAAAAGGGCTCCGTTTTTGGTATTGGGTAACTTTATAAGGAGCCTAGGACTACAAAAAGGGAATAAGGGTACTACTGGGCATCCTAGGGTTAAGGGTTATAGGGTCTAGGGTCCCAATCGGGACTTCTTACCCAAGGCTTCCAGGGACCTTATTATTGATTATTGGGTCATTAAGGGTTCTAGTGCCCCAACTATAAAGCACCATGGACCTTATTTTTGCGTCCTTAAGGGGTCTAGGCTAGGGCCTCAACTATAAGGTCCTTGGAAACATAGCGTAAGTATCTCCAGAAGGATTCCTTTGTGAGGGTTCCTTCACAGGATCCTTCGAGGGTTCTATGGGGGTTTGGCGCAAGCTCTGCGAAGAAGCCGGGCCTTGAGCTTGCAGCAACTGCAAGGAGGTTCATGGGCAGTTATAAGTGGGGCTCTAAGGGTTTAGGGTTCCCATAAAATTCCCAGCGGGTTAACGGTTTAGGGTTTAGGCTAATCATAAATGGGTCATAAGTCCCCTAATATGGGGTATAACTACAGTTACCCTACTGATAACCTTACTTATAACTACCCATGAGCCTCCAAGTAGAGGGGCCTTAATAACTAGAATAGATATATAAGAGAGGTCGATGGTATAGGGGCGTATATTATAGTATAACTGTAAGAAGGAACCCTCCAGAAAGCACAGGTAGTTATTGAGGCCCCTATATTACTGGGCTTGGCGATTTCCAGGCGCTGCTTGGTTGTCCTTGCTAGTTCCCGTCGAGAGTTCAGTCGTTCGGCAGCATCGAGGTCGATTACACACATACTGTTCAAGCTTCTACCGACCGCGTTTGGGGCTTAGGTCTTGTCTATGCTCGTATCGCTATAATGAGTCTGAGCCTAGATGGGTGTGGGATTATGACCCCAGGCCCTACACCCTGGACCCAAAAACCTTCGAGCCAAAGCCCTGAACCCTAAACTCGCCCAAAACCCTACACCCTCTAAGCCCTGAGCCGTGAATGCCCCAAAAACCCTAGACCAAACCCTACACCCCTTCAAAACCCTACAGCAAACCCTTTAAAGTTGGGAACCGGATTAAGGCCAAATAATGCTGGGATTCCCTATACACCACTCTTAAGGATTGAGGCCATGGGGTTTCCAACTTTTGGGCTTCTACTGTACACCCACCCTACCCCACGGCTCAACATAGCACAAAAGCCTTATGTAGTATGGTTTGGGGCCCAAAAGCCTATTAATATATGAGTCCTCAGAGCGCTAGGGCTACACCCTAAACATCTTCCTCAGACCAAACCCCAGCCCAACGCTCTACCTCTTAGGAGATCTCACAGCTACTTCGGTTGATGATACAAATCCTGCATTACCTTAATGATCCTAATCTAAAGGAATTATGGTATATTCCTGATTATGTGACATGCAGGATTTGTACCATCAGCCGTTCCTCCAGATCCTGTAAGCTTGGGCTTAGGGTACGAGGGTGTAGAGTTTCAGGTTAGGGTGCAGCAAGTTGCGGAGAAAGTCAACCCTAAACCCTAAACCCTAAACCACAAGCCTTAAAGCCCAATGGATCATTGAGCGTTGGGAGCCTTAGAGCTCCGAACTCCCAAAAGTCTAAAGCACACCCGAACACGCTTTACTACTATTTGCTTAAGAACCCCCCCAAAAAAATAGAAAATGATAATCCCTATATTATCCCTATAAGGAATATATATTTTTTTATTTTTTGGGGGTTCTTAAGCAAATAGTAGTTTATGAGGTTCAGGGTCCAAGGTTTAGAATACCTGCTGCCCACGGCGTAGTCAGAATCGCAACTTCTGTTCCTACAAGATGCCTGAGAGTTTATAGATAGTATAGGCTTGGATGTGTACTTGACATTCCTTTTTAGGAACATAAAAGCCCGTTGACCTTAGAACAGCAAGATGTCAGGGGCCAAATTCATAGTTATTCAGGCTCCTATTGATTGCCTGTTCCCGTCAACCTTGCAGCAACCCACCCTTAAGTGCCCTTTAGAAGGAACCCTTAAAAGCAACCCGTGAAAAGGCAAGGAGCCCTTGCAGACCCCGTTAAACGGAGCACTTGAGAGGCTATTCAAGCGATCTTCTAGCCGTCGACCCCTGTACAAGCACTGTATCAGCGGGGCATCGGAGGGCGGCCGATGGCCGGTCGGCGAGTGGGTGGGCGGCCCCGGCCGGGGGCCGGTGTGCATGGTGGCGGGCGGCCAGCACAGTTCATGGCCTTGGGCTTGGGCTTGGTCTTGATTCATCATCTTCGCTGACCCTGGCTCGGCTCCCTTGAGCTTTGCCTCAGAAGCTGCTTCTCGACGCCTTTAGGAGGAGCGCTTGAAGCAACCCTAAACCCTCAACCCCAAAAGCCTTGAACCCTAAACCCCTACACCAAAGCTTTGAACCTCTAAACACCTACACCCTAAACTCCTCAACTTACCCTTAAACCCTAATCCCCAAACCCCCTAAAGCCCTAAACCTCTCAACCCCTACACCCTAACCCCTAAGCCCTAAAACCCTAAACCCCTACATCCCTGTAAGAGGAACCGACTCCGAAAAGGAGATGGGGGCGCTGCCGGCTCAGCATCGGCTTCGTCACCGGAATCCTCCTCGCTGCGGCCCTGTTAGGAAAGCAGGGGTTTAGGGTCTACCTTAAACTACCAAACCCCACTTTTTTGTAGGTTCTTATTACAAAACTTAAGTGTTTTTAGAACCCCCGGTGCTAAACTGGTGTACCCAGACGCTGCGGCAATTGTTTGGAACTTGCGGCAATTGTTGCGACAATTGTTCGACTGTCAAAACAATTGTTGCGACAATTGTTTGCTTGTCGAAAAATCTTTTGCGACCATTGATCGACTGCCATAACAACTGTTACGACATGTGTTTGATTATTGCTACAATTGTTGCAAAAAGAACACAGGTTGAATGGAGAAAGCACCAAATAGATAAGAGGGCATTAAGGTGAAAGTAGAGAAGCCAAGGTTCAAAGTAGAGAAACCAAAGTTTAAAGAAGAGAAACCAAAGTTTAAAGTAGAGAAACCAAATTTAAAGTAGAGAAACCAAATTTAAAGTAGAGAAACCAAATTTAAAGTAGAGAAAAATTGTCGCCACAATTGTTTAAAAAATGTCGCGTGAATTGAACAGTTTCCGAAACAATTGTCGCACGAATTGAAACAATCGAAAAACCACCACAAACAATTAAACAATGTTTGTACACGATTTAGGAGGGGACTTGCGGACGGGGGTTCTAAAAACACCTAATACAAAACTACCAAACCCCACTTTTTTGTAGGTTCTTATTGCAAAACTACCAAACCCACTTTCTGGTAGGTTCTTACTGCAAACCCTAATATGGAATTTATAGGGGCCCCACAAAAAAGTAGGTTTTGGTAGGCTAAGGTAGGGCATGGGCTTAGAGTTTGGGGCTTCGGGCCCAGGGTCCCTAGGGTTTTAGTTTAGATCTTATACTTGGAGGGTCGGGGGACTTAGTAACTGGTTATTCTAGGGACTTATAAGTACCATAACCCCAATTAGGGTCCGTTTTAGGGTACTTATAAATCTACTTACTAACTACTTACTAAGTCCCCCGACCCCCCAAGTAGGGTTTAGAACCGTTGGGGTGTAGGGTTTGGGGTTGCGAGTGTAGGGTTAGGGGTGGCGAGATAAGAGTCTACAGCAATTAGGGGCCTGTTTTGGGATTCAGGTTTTTGGGGGCTCAGCATCAATCCATCAGAGCTCTTGCGTACCGACTAAACATCATGTCCGCAGACCAGAACTAAACTGAACTTAGAACCCTAGCAAAAATTACAATTTTAGCTGTTTCTTAGGGATTATAATAACCCAAAATTAAAAAGTATTTCTAGGTACCCCTAAGAGAAGTGCATCTAGTAGGATCCCCAGAAACCCAAGAACGCAAGAGCTCCCTTTTGCTGTTGCGTGGTGTTTTGCGGGATTTGCACCCATACAGTGGGCCCCCGGGAGAGCTTGCCCTAAGGGTCCATGTACCCAAATGGTATATACATTGGCCTTAATGTACTCCCTATATGGGTACATTGGGCCCAAAGTATATACTGTTTGGGCACATGGACCCTTAGGGTTGCATATCAAAAAGCTCTACAGCACATGAAAGACGCGCTTGAATGCCATCGTCGCCCTGCTTCACTACAAGACAAGCTCACATGGGCAACCCAAAGCTTGTTGTTACAGGCTAAGTTTTGAAGCGTCTGATAGAGGCAACATATTACAGTTTAAAGCAGGAAAAATTCCAAGAACAACGATCTTTCGGATTTCTTGCCGCCAAAAGGTCCAGCCGAGCCCGATTCATGTGCTTGCGCTCATACGGCACACGATCGGCAGCATAGCACTCCTGACCATCGCCATCACAGAAGCATCCTGTGTAGAGCCCACAGTGGACACAAGGTCGGCACAGGTCATCATAGGATCCTTATGCGAGAGCCTGCGGAATCGGTGTCTCCCCCGAATCTTTCGGCATCTCCTCCGACTTAAAAGAACACCAGCATGCAGTGATCTACGCAATCGTATAGTGACCCTTGGTATAGTGAACCATCTCCGCGAAGCATGTCGAGTCGGGTTGCAGACTCGACTCTGCCGTAGTGGCCACACTAATCTGAATAGCATTTTGGCGGCACAGTATACAATAAGCGAATCTCATTCCTATTGATCTGACCTCTATGTTGTGCCCACGACAATATCAGCGCCCCGGATAAGTTAAAAGTTCCAGCGCTCTGCAAATGCACGACCGCAAACCCTCTGGCATCCTTCAATGAACCCTACACGTCCCAAACTCGTAAACCCTGAAACCCCTACATCCCTGACACCAGCCTCTGTGGAGCCCTTGTCTAAGCTAAGCCCTATAGTCCCCAAAACGTTAATCCCGAAACCTAGACCCTGAACCCTAAAACCTAAGCCTTTGACCCTAACACCTAAAACCCTGCCTACAAAAAACCCCAAACACCCCCTAAACCACAAAACCCGCCCTAAACCCCAAACCCCTAAACACCAAAACCCTGAGCCCTAAACCCTAAACCCTCAAACCCCTAAACCTCTAAACCCCTAAACCCTAAACCCTAAACCCCAAAACCCCTTAAACCCCTAAACCCCCTAAACCCCCATAACCTCTAAACCCTAAACCCCAAGACCCCAAAACCTCTAAACCCTAAACCCCAAAACCCCCACACCTCTAAACCCTAAACCCCAAACCCCCAATACCCCATAAAGCCCAGAAGACTGGCAGCCTCGGACGGGACATCTTCGGACTCCACATCCTCTTCGGGGTGCACCGGGAGTTTAGGGTTTAGGGGAATTTAGAAAGGGTTTTGGGGGGAATAAGATTTGAAAATTTAGGGGCTTATAGGGTTTAGGGTTTAGAGCTTGGGGGTTTAGGGGTTTGAGGGTTTTGGGGACTCGGGTTTAAAGTTTAGGGTGTTGATTGTTGTGGGGTTGAGGGTTTTGGGGACTCGGGTTTAGGTTTTTTTTTTTAAGATGCAGTGGCCGGGTTTAGGGTTTAGAGCTTGGGGTTTAGGGTCTACGGCTTAGGGAATCAAGTCTCCTGGGTTTAGGGTTTAGGGGCCGCAGGGAGGGAAGTGCCGTGATGACTTCAGGCTTTCCCTTGGGCTCAGGGTTTAGGGGGATCTATAGGGTTCTTTGAAGGGATCTATAGGTTTCTTTGAAGGGATCTATAGGTTTCTTTGAAGGGATCTATAGGGTTCTTTAAAGGGATCTATAGGTGCAGGGTCTAGAGTTGAAGGACCAGGGGGGGTTTTAAGTTTAGGGTTTAGGGTGCAGTCGGGATTCAGGGTTGTGGTTAAGCCTTTAGGGGTGCCAAGTGTGCAGAAGACCCGACTATGCAAATGGTCTCTATGCTGCGTCTCGGGCTTCGATTTAGGGTTTAGGGTTTACGGTCTAGGGTTCGAGGATTGGGGATTAGGGTTTATAGATAGGTTTTAGGGATCAGGGGTAAGGGTTTCAGGGTATCTCGATACTTGTTGCAATCTCCTCCTGTAGGGCTCGATTACCCAAGCGCACGATACACCGATACACTGTAAGGTTCCCAGAGAGCCCAATACCTCTTAATTAAGGAATATATCTTAAATTATTAGGGGCTTCATATTAAGGTTTTCGGTATATTCCTTATTTTTCGGGTATTGGGCTCTCTGGGTTTGCGGTACCTGAAACCTATGTATTTGGACATCTGGACCCTCGGGGTCAGGGATTCTGAGGTCCATCTGCAGGGCTTACAAGGAATTTCATTGCAGTTGCCATGACAAGAAAAACATACTATTCGCTATAGATCCTTATTATGGCAACTTAAATTTCAGTTCGTTAATAAAAACTCCGGTCTTTGGCCGTCGATGAGAGGAAGACTGGGACGTTTTCTCCAAGTCGGGGTTCATGCTTTAGGGTTATACAGGTCTTGGTTGGCAAGTGTAGCTCCGGCAACCCGGCCGCCAAACCTGATAATATAGGGGCCGTAATCGTTTTGGGAACCATTAGACTAAGGTTTGAATAAGGAAACCACAAAACAGTATAGGTAATTTTAAAGCCTAAGCCCGAAACCCGCAATGCTGATAAGGCCTCTGACGGCTCTGCGACACTCAGGTAAACTCTACCTAACCCCAACCCCCCCTAAAGTAGTTAAACTACTTGCCAAAAACCTATAAAGGGCTCAACCTTGCGCGGCATTGCTGTCAGACAGTCGCGGCTGAATGTCAAAGCCTCGAACAATCCGCACGTCAGCGAACTTTCAACATCGAAGCCGAACCAAAACAGAACCCATAATCCCGATTTGCGTGCCGTGGAATCCGAATCCAAAACGCTAAATCCCTGAAGCTAACCCCCCCTCCCCGATACCTCAAACACTAAAAATCAAGATCGAAAACCCTGAAGGCCAAATTCAAATCCCTCGAAGCCTACACCCTCAACCCTGAGCCCTACATAAACCCACACATATGTGGCGTGCAGCTTCCATCCCTCGGTTCGTGCCTCCGTGTCAGAACCTTGCTCCTGGTATTCGTGGAAGAGGCCATCCTGGCAAAGGTTTGAGGAGGTTCTGCGGTTTGGGATTTGGGGTACTTCAGGGTTTTGGGCATAGGGTCATGAGGATATTTATGTTATAGTGCGAGGTGAGCTTACGTCAAGTCAAGTGTGCTTCTTGCTTCGCAAACTTTGGTGTTCGGGGCCAAACAAAGTGTACAGGGTTTTGAGATGGAGAGATAAGCTTTAGGATTGAAGGTTGAGGGTTTGGGAACGGTTCCTAGATCATTGGTACTTAACCCCTAAGTGGCAATTTCCCTGCAAACTTTCCCAGAGTTTTCGGTATTTGGGGTGCAGGGAATTGAATCTTAGAGGCTCTGAAGCGTTCATGCACGTTTTTTACGGGTTGGTCTTTGGGTTCGAAGGGGCTTAATAGGATAAAAATTTTAATGCATAGGTTCGCAGGTTAGCTATTAGGGCTAAGGCCCTGCGCCCTAAGGTCTTCCAGAACCTCAAACATCGAAACCCAGGATGCCTGACGCGTCCGTCTATCGAAGCCCCATACACCCCAAAGCCTTCACGCCCTGAACTGTGCCCTCCACGCAGGCCATACCTGCACCCGAAACCTTTTTAAAGATAAGAAAATGATAACAAGCAGCCCTAAAAGGATAGGATGTTTGGGGGTTAAGGTAAACCGCCCACCTGTTTCCTGAACTCCTTGATGAAGTCCTGTGTGGCGGTGAGAGGTGGGATTCATCGCGGGCTTTTCATTGGTAGGATACACAGGTCTACTGGCCCGGCTCGGGGTCTAGGGTTTAAGGTTTCAGGTTTCGGGGGTTCAAGACACTACTACAAGTCTTACCAAGGGACGGATTTGCATGTAACGGGGTTTCGGTGGCGGAACTCTGAAATGTATAGCGCAGATACAGTTCAATACCGTACATGGTTTAGGGCTTGGCCGAGGTTCCATGCTAACCCTTTCTTTACATATGATAAAGAAGGGAGGAAGAAGAAGAATGGTGCCTTTCTTCCCATAGCGAAATTTTAAGGTGACCCACCCAACACAAAGCCCAAGGTACTTCGGGAGAATCTAGCCCCCCTCCCGCTGAACCCATTGATCTTGGGGTTCAGGCACTCCGGCTTTACTTTGCAAGGTGCTGGCTTCCAGCTTCACGGGTTCATTATCACATCCTTAAGGAGAGTGGATCCAGCGAGGGCACTACGCACCTTTCGGGAACCCTATAAAACCGCAGGTCGTTCTGTCGAGCATTGGGGACTAAGTGCTAGATTGCATACCCCTTGAGCATCCTCCGAGGCTTAGGGCTTGGTGCTGCGGCTTTCAAGGCACTCGATCAAACGGTTTAGGGTTTAGGGATTGAGCCTGACCTGCGCAAGCCCTGCCTCTGAGTGTGTATGTATACAAGAAATGGCAGCGAGAGTGAGCGACAGTGTACGTGTGTGCACATCCAACTTAACAGCCACATGTGTAGTGCTCATACTATGCTGAATGCCGAAGAATAACGCGCTTCGAAAAGCCGGACCACCACTGGAACTCCGAAATTGGAAGAGAGAGAGAGAGAGAGAGAGAGAGAGAGAGAGAGAGAGAGAGAGAGAGAGAGAGAGAGAGAGAGAGAGAAAATCAAAAAGCACAAGCACACCGAGGGAGGTTGAGTCCCATGTATGTCTATGTCCGCTCAAGTGCATCTATGAGCCCATCTACACACATGCACGCGGCTTTAGGGGTTTAGGGTTTAGGGAGAAATACGGAGAGATAGTTAGACACGCAAGCAGACAGACCGACGGACGATAGAAAGAAAGACAGACGCACCCTGCATCCATACAAGTCGGACGACATCAAGATATTGGAGTTGCACATGTAAGAACGGAGGAAGGGCACTGCCCCTAAACCTTCAGCCCCTGAACCCCTAAACTCCAAACCCTAAGCCCTCCCTATATGAACCATGTAAACCCTGAACCCCTTGCAGATACCTTTAAATTTTTCCTTTTTCAGGAAACCCTAAACTCCAGACCGTAAACCCTTAACCCCAAGCCATCCCAAGCCCAACAACATGGCCACGGCTCGGTCCTTTCTCAACTCCCACCACCTCTTCACCAGTTCCTGGGCTTATGGTGGCGATTGTTCTTTTGATGTTTTTGAAGTTTTTTTTCCGCCTGGTTCGCTGTCAAATCTAGGGTCGAGGGTTTAGGGTTTGCAAGGGCTAGGCCTTGCAGGGTTTGGAGGTTTATGTATTCACGCTCAGGTCTATAATCAGATACGAACTTGCCTTGACATGGCTGTCAAGAACGGTCCAAGATTTTGGCAGGTGCTGTAGTGCGGTTTTCAAGGGCACCTGTGGAAGCCAAGCGTAGATCTGTCCTTGCCCGACATTAGGCGTCTGGCAAAGGGCGTGCTCGGAGAGGCGTGCCGACTCGTGGTGCTATGCAGCAATCGTCTCAAGCTTCCAAGCTGAACCATTTTGAGATTAAGGAGTTTGGGTCAGTTTAGAGTGAACCCAGAAAGTTGGAACATCATTATCCTCATGCCCTTAAGGTAAAGTATAAGGGATCCTAGCACGAATCCTCCTAAAGCCATGTTCCAACTTTCTGGCTTCTACTATAGGTAGGGAATGAATGCAAGCGGGTGGAGGTCTGAATAGAGACTATCAGAAGCCCAGGGCCCTGTGGCGTCATCCTGGGCTTAAGGCCATAGGATGTAGGGTTTGGGTTGGAGAATTGAGGCTCAATCCCAAAGTGCTTGAGGGTTGAGGGGTTTAGGGGTCAGAGTCTTTTAAGATTTGGGGATCCAGACCATCCTGTACAAGCCTGGTGGAACTATCCGGGGCCTTGGAGAACGAGTTAACGCTGCCAGCGATGGGCATGAGATGTCTCTCTGTCAAAGCCTCGGAAGCACGTACTCTTCACTCGGACCATAGATTTGGGGTTTACGATTTTAGAGCTTAGGGATCAAGACAGTGTTACAATGTACGTACTGGGCATAGGGTTTGAAGTGATGGATGACCGACTTCTGTCCCCGCAGCCACTTGAAAGCTTCCCCGAAACCATGGTAGAGGCAGTTGCCGTCACGGGGAACTGCCTGGATTGCGCAATCGGCCGGAGCTTCACGGAGTGTGATCTTAGCGCGCTTAGCGCTACTCTCCGGTCTTGCTAGCGCCGTCAGCAGCGGCCGTGGGTGCAGCAGCAGTGTCAGCCTGTTCGGTGTCGGTTTCCATACTCTCGGTCCCATCAGCGGCCTCGGTACAGCTCGGGACCGTTCTGGTGACTGGTGACCGGCGAGCCGTAACCAGCATCACATACAGCCGAGTTGGGAACAGTGTAGCAACTAGTTATATGTTTCGCTTTAGGATCGCACCGTACTGTGCTCCTATTATGGATGCCACCGAGACCCTCATTGCAAACCACCCCCAAAGAATTCACAAGTCGTACGGGTCTTAGGGTTGAAGCTTAAGGTGTGGGTATTGGGCATGCCTGACGCACTCTTTGAGGGTTTAGGTTCAAGGCGCAACTACAGCGCTTGCCAGAATGCTGAATTCTACATTCCAGCCCCCAACATTGAACAGTCTACTCCCTTAAGCTCAACACAAGCCTCAATATCGTCTTTCTTAAACCCTCAACCCTAACCGTTCGAACCCAGCCCTCCCCTAAGCCACCCTTATCGGGCTTGGTGCATAGGGTTAGGGGTATGAACGCCCTAAACCGCAAATTCGCAAACCCGGCGGCTGCAGAAACTAAGCCCGAGTCGGTATGTTCTTCCCGGAATCGGTGACCCCACTGGCCAAGGTTGTTATCCTGGCACAGGTGCAGGCTCACGTAGATCTCACCCCTTTGTGGGTCCATGTACCCAAATAGTATATACTTTGGGATGTGCCTATATAGGGAGTACTTTAAGGCCAAAGTATCCACTATTAGGGTGCATGGAGCACTGGGCAACTTTAGCGGGTTTTACAGGGCTGCTATAGCTTTAAACAGTTTCCTAGGCCCTAAATACCCTTCGGTGCCTAAAGCTCAAAGCTGCATGTACTGTAAAACTCAAAGCCCAGAATTCCTAAACATTGCTTCTGGATTGGAGCCCCAGTCCGTACCTATCCGTAAATCGTAACTAAACCGGTGACCCCTTGGAGGTTGTTTCAACACTAGATTCTAAGGGTTGTACAGAGGAAGAATACTGCGAATTGTTGAAGCCGCAGCTCAACCAGTACTCAAACTCCCCACGCCTGGGCCAAACCCGAAGCCTCCAGCAAAAAGCGCCGGAAACCAATCGCCTCCCTGTGAATTTCCGGGCTTCAGAAGCACAACAAGTATTCAGGACTTCAGGGTTCAAGCTTGGGGTACTACTCGCGCATGAACCCTACATTCTCGCAGTCGCAAAATCCGTAACCCTCACCCGCGAATACTCTAAACCTCAAAACGTCAACACCCTAAACCCTAAACGGCCAAATCACCAAAACCCCCAAACCCCAAAAACCTAAACCCCAAGCCTAAAACCCAAGAGCCTGAACCCCAAAACTCCCCCCCAAAGCCCTTAAAGAACCCAAACTCTAAACTCCGAAACTCTAAACTCTAAACCCTGACCCTATAACCGCTCAAGTCTACACTCATAGGGATCCTTAGGGGTGTAGGGGGGAGGGGTGTAGGGGACTATATTTCCTTAAATAGGCCTTATTAGTCCTTATTATGGGCATTAAGGCCCCCTACCCCCCCTCCCCCTACACCCCTAAGGGTCCCTATGATACACCAAAACCCTAAACTGCCAAGGCTCTGGACCCCCGAACCGCGGGGTCTCCCTAAACCCTGACCCCTGTACTTGGAGGGTCATGGGTAGTTATAAGGGTTCCTTTAAGGGTCCCTTTAAAGGGATCTATAGGGATTCTATAAGGGTATAAGGTTTAGGGCCTACTTGGAGGTTCATGGGTAGTTATAAGTAGGGTTATAAGGGTTCCTTTGAAAGTCCTATGGAGTTTAGGGATTAGGGTTTATAAGGGGTAGTTGTAAGTAGGGTTATAAGTAGGGTAACTATACTTGTAACCCATATTAGGGGACTTATAACCCCACTTCTAACTACCTGCCTCCAAGTATTCCCCAGCCCCCGACCCAAAGGCTCCATGTACCCATATAGTGTATACTTTGGCCTTAACGCGGTTCCTATATAGGTACTGTAAGGCGTATAAGTGTGTACTACATGGCTACGATGGAGCCTTAGGGCAAGCTGCCGAACCGGAGCGTCCCGAAGCCTGGCCTTAATATCGCAGGTCTCGTTGTATGGTACTGCTCCCTCGAGCCCACCTCGCGGATGCTTGGTTTTGAGGTTTAGGGTTATGTTTAGGGACGGGATGCCGGGTTCACGCCTGAGGGTTTGAAACCTCAACGTTCGGCAATGGTGTATGGCAGCCTGCAAGGTAGTACGGGTTCAGACACCTGCATAGGCTCCAATCCTCAACCCTGCCAGCCGGAAACCGCGCCTCACTCTATCCAAAGAAGAGGCCCTAACTCTATAAGGCCAAACTCATATGGGGACCTTGATAATTAGAATAGGGCTTTGGGGCCCAGTATACTGTAATCAATAATGCGGAACGCCCCAAATAGTATTGGCCTTATTTAAGCCCCTATAGTAAACCCCAATCAAGCCTTATCCACCCCAAGAAGCCGGGCGACCCTGCACTGAAAGCTGAGCCCCTCACGCAGCCAGACTCTTTGGCTCTGCTGGTCGAAGATGGCCTTCGTGCATACTTGCTTTGGGGGTAGGCGTAGGGGTAGGGTCATGGGACTTAGTAAGTAAGGTTATAAGTAGGGTATAATTAGGATAACCCCACTTTGGGGACTTATAACCCCAATTATAACCTACTTGCTAAGTCCCATGATCCTCCAAGTAGGGTCAAGGGCTCAGGATTACTTTCCTGGCGGGGATGGGGCGGGCTTTGAACTTTTTGGAGAAGTTTGGAGTTTCGGATTTGGGTTCTACCCGGAGGCTCCATAGTAGTTCCTTTTTGGGATTACCTTATTGGATTCTGTATTTGAGCCCCAAAAAGGAACTACTTTGGGGCCTTTGGGTAGGGTCCAGGGTTTACGGCTGCTTTCTTAGAGGGGGGGGGGGGGCTTTGATGCGATATTGTCTTAGGGCAGGGGCCTAGTGTCGAGGGTATACGGTCACTTTCATTCTTGGGGTGGGTTCCGGTCGGGGTCTACTTTGTTTGGCAATTAATTTGCTCAGAAGTTGAGAACTTCAGTTCTGTGCAGGGTTATACAAACCCAAGAAACTGAAGTTTACACATTCGGCTACTGAGTTTATCAGGTCTTGCAGTACTTTGTTACACCTTGCGATGGAGTGCCGGGCGTTGGTGGAGAATCATCACATTGAGTCATTCTTCAAACTAGGGTCGTGTTGTGGGTCCTTTTTATATGGGCCCCAAACCCTAAACTTTTGGGATCCTGAAAGGGAACCCTAATTTGGAGAACTACCCACATGTCGCTGTTTGATCAAGTCTTCAGCCCTCAAGAGCCCAATACCTCTCAATGATTGAAATCTAGTTTAAATCGTGTTCTCAGGCCCCTTATACTTCAAGGTATATATTCGTAATTACCGCGCAGATAAGACCATGCATGCTTAAGTGTTTTATCCAATGCAAGGCACGGCCACGAGCTCATAACCACAGAAACACTGCTCTACTCACATCCCCTCAACTGAGCTTGCAAGATTACGGAAAAGGCCGAATTAGGTTAGGCTCGACAACTTCAGAGTTCAGCAACGCTAAGCCCTCAACGTTTTCGGGTTTAGGTTTGAAGGCTTAAGGTTTCAGTTTCCTCCTGTGAAAATTCCTGGGCGCGCGGCGAACTTCCCAATGCCATAGCGCTCGAGCATCCATTCGTGCCTCGGGCAAACTATGCAGTCTTGGGAGCATCAATCTAAGCAGGAGCTTGTTGCTAAGGAACCTAACAAGGGCCACAACATGATCCCCTCCTTTATGAAGGCCTTGGACGGCCACAGGGGCGCACACATCCAGGAAGGCTGGGCAGAAAGAAAACCGACAATGAGGGAACAACTCAGCAACCCTCATCCCCAGGGCCCCATTCACCGAAAGAGAACTTTTGGGGTTTATAGGGCTTATATGGCTTATAGGGTTTACACCGTGCAGGGTTTAGGAAGTAGCGGGTTCCTGATCATACATTTTTTGTGTAACCCAGTAACATATCGTTTTGGTAACTGAAGCTCCACATAAGGTAAGACAATGCTTTCTCTTCGCCCCCACCTGCAAATCCTGGTGACCAAACTGAAGTTCTTCTACAAGCCCTTGGTGCTATGTGAATGAAACGAGCACAACCAAAACCCAGCACACAGAGACTGCAAGAAAGACTACCTAAACCGCAACCCCATGGACGGTTTCATTTTTGCCTGCCCTTAGTCTCATTCTGCTGAAGCCTGAGTGTCCTAAGGTTGCAGAGACCTTGCTGATTCCGATCGTGGTATCTCATCCGAGTGCTGTTGGTTCGGTGGAAAGCCAGGCTCGGCACTGCACCACTTGAAGGCTCATGGGACTTAGTAAGTAGGCGGTTATAAGTAGGTTATAATTAGGATAACCCCACTTTGGGGACTTATAACCCCAATTATAACCTACTTACTAAGTCCCATGATCCTCTAAGTACCCGCATGATTCCCAAGGCTCTGGTTCTTAGTAGGGAATGGTGGGATTGGGTTATTTGGGGCTACTATAAAGGGTTATAAGAGATTATCGTAGGGATCCATACTGAGAACCAGACAGAAGGAGGAGAGTGGAGACTGCCAGCCTTCCTTCAGGAGTGAAACAAGCTGACACCATCTCGCTCATGGACTCCATGGACTCAGGTTCGATGCCGTCCCGCTTTCCTTTCACACTGCACCTTCTCAAGGCAGTGCCATCCGCGGCTCGGATCCCAACTCATAGCTTTCAAGCGACGTATCGAGAAAACAAAGAACTCGCCGTCCGGGGAAGACGGGGGCTACAGAGGGCGATGTGACATCAACATTGTTGATGGAACATGTCTCCCGCGGCACAACAGTGTCCTGAGTTAGGGTCTAGGGCTGCAAGTGCTTAGGGGCCTGAACCACAACCCCCAAACCTTAAGCTTGCGGTTCTGGCGGTATTTCGGTAGTCAGGGTCGGGGCATTCCGGCATTAAGGGATTTAGAATTCAGGGTTGGCTTGGGATTTAGGGGTTCGGGCTTGGGGTTAGACCCCACTCCGGGGATTTCTTCAGGCCTCCTGCCTGATGCGTGGATTTTCACGTCTACCGGTACCCTTGATCGCAATAGACAAAGAAAGAAGGATAAGAACAACGATAAGAATGAGAGGAAGAGGAAGCCTAAGGAGGTCAATAGAAGCCTGATGGTCATTTTCTAAGCGTTCCTAGTAATAATTTTGGGCTCAGAGAGCCTAATACTCCCTACTAGTTAAGCAATATACCATCAATGATTAGGGGCTTCATATTATGATTTAAGCTATATTCCTTAAAAAAAGGGGTTTTGGGCTCTCTGGGCAAGGTTAGATGATCGCAGTTTAGGGTCTGCCGTGTAGGGTTGCGTCCCAGCCGACCGACAGGTAATTAAACCCCAAAATACTCAAAACCCTGAACCCGAAAGCCCTGAACCCCTAAACGCTCCTAAACCCCTTTCCTTGAAGCACAGGGAGCCCGACGTCAGAATCGCCCAAATGCAGAGGTGATCTGCCCAAACCTCATCTGTCGGAGAAGTGTCGCAGGACAGTAGGGGCCTCAATTAACGGGGTTTGGGGTTTAAGGCCTTCATTAATGCTTACCTTAACCCCTACCTTTTGAAGGATATAGATATATATATATATATATATATATATATAAAGAAATCATAATAAGGAACCCTAAAAAAGGTAGGTTCCTTAGGGTCCAGGTAGTAAAGGGCTCTGGAGTACAGTATCTCACGATGTTTGGGGGTCCCGGTGTTCGATCTGCCTCTGGAAAAGGCTTTGCCCCAGGAGTGCACGTGACCATATGGGCGGTTGTCAAAATTAGGGTCCCTTTTTGGGTCCCTATTAGAATACGGCACCTAGGGTACCCCAGAAAGTGACCCTAATTTTGACAACTACCCATATAGTATGTACTTGACTTTGGCACTGAAGTACCTGTATATGGGGGCTGCTTCAGCCGAAATCCTAAACCGCGAACCCTTTCCAGTGACACACACACACACACATCTCAAGGGATGCAATTGAACAGTTACGATTTACAGACCATTAGTGGGCCATCCCCCCAAGACCCTGCTTGGAGGTTCATCGGTAGTTAGAAGTGGGAATATGAGTCCCCTAATGTAGGTTATAGGTATAGTTACCCTACTTATAACCCTACTTATAACTACCCATGAACCTCCAAGTACAGTAGAACCCCGAACCCCTGATGCCTCGACCAAAAAGTTCTGCAGAAAACCCTACATGATATGACGGGACCCAAAGCCTCAAAGCCTGCAAACCCCTAAAAAACGTGCAAACGTGCAGCCAAGCACTCACTCTTCATGTCCCCACTGCTTCCGCTCTACATCTTTCTCTGAGGCAGGCTCAGGGTGTGGAGTTTTGGTGTTTCGGGCTCGGGCTTTTACAGTTCAATAGGCTTCCGCTCGTCTTCTTCATTCGAAGCTTGTCGTGCAGAACCCTATAACCTAAACCCCAAAGCCCTAAACCTCACCAGCAATGCTGTGCGTCAGCAGTTGTTGTTATCATTCGATTAGGGTTAAGGGTTATCGGCGTCACAACTGTCATTCGTGTTTATAATGCTGCTGGTAGCGACACCGAACGGTGGTGAAATGGCAGCTATTAGAGGCCTGAGTCCCGAAACCTGCAAGATTTGGGTTTACCTGCAAGACTTGGGTTTATAGGCCTGAGGATTGCCACGAAAGGAAGGCCCACCCTGCAGAAGCTGCGCGCGGTTTCTCGCAGGCACATCCCACAGGAACGGTTAACAGTCATGAAGTCATGGTTGGAGGTTCATGGCTATAAGTCCCCGAATATGGGTTATAAGCATGCTTACCCTACTTATAACCCTAATTATAACTACCCATGAACCTCCAAGTGGTCCCATGCGCTAGCTAGCTCTTCTGGCATTGTAGCATCTTCGGCTGCGGTTTCTGCCACAAGCAGACGAAAGACTCAGGGACCAGACCCTCCGGCGCCCGGTTGCCTAGATTTTGGTCAGTTTATCTTACCCTAAGGCTCAAAGTAGCCCAAAAGCCTTATATAGTATGGTCTTTGGGCCCAAAGCCTTAAACTATGAGTCCTTAGAGCTTTAGGGTTATGTTACAAATAGTTATACTGTAAATGTATAACATAGCATGGTGATGTTATGCCTTGTACGCCAGGGCCTACAACAGAGCTCCAAACTTTGAGTTCCTGAACTTTGAAGCCTAATAATTTAACTGGTTGCGTAACC